TTCAGCAGCACAGAGCCCTTTGCAGGGTTATTAGAAATTCCAGCCCCTTCCCTTTGGTTCATCCTGATTCTGTGACTTCCTACATCTGCTGTCTTCATGATAATTCAGTGTTCACTTGTGGCTTTTTTAGTTGCCTAGTTAATAGTTCTTTATGTTACATTTTCTTTGTTCAAATAACTGGTTTGGTTTCTGTCTCTTGACCCTGTCCAGATGGCAGGGCCACCTGTTCTTGTGTCAATACTGATTGACACCCTCTTTGAAATGTCACTCTCCTTTTCACTGTTTAAGTCCTGCCCATCTTCCTCCGTCCCTTCCTGTCAGAGTGAGTCCATGGCTTCTCGGTACCTGTGTGGTCTGCACCGGGATTGGGTTTTCTTTTAGCTAATCAGTCTTAATAATTTTTATACACTAGTATAGTGTTTTATTGTGTCCTTAGAACTGTTTGAAAATATTTAGCATGTTTTAGAAAAAGTAATCTTTTCCTTAGACTTTTCCTTCTGGATCCTTTTCAGTACCCTCTATTTTTAAAAGATTAGCACTCATTAACATAGTTGACTTTCTGTTGCTTGATTCTCTTAGTTTCCTTTTCAAGCTTTCATTTTGGGTTTGTTTCTGTAGTCCTTCCCTGTTCATCAGACTGGCCCTGGTAGATCATGTTCATACACTCATGGACATTTTTACAGAACTGTGTAAAATGCATAAGCAACTCAGTGTTATCAAGAGAACAGGAGGGACACTGGATGAGGGAGGCCCAGGAGCTGTAGGGTGGTTGGTGTGGAAAGCGACGAAGAGGGGCATTGGGGCTGCAGCCTTGGCCCACTGTGCCTCTGCTCTCATCTGCCTCACAGCTGGTGGTCCCTGAGGTGGGCGGAGGGGCCTTTTACCCGTTTTTATGGATGAAGAAATTATGTCACAGAGGATCAAGTAATTTTCTAGACAGTGTGGCCACCAAGTGGCGTCCTCAGGACTTGATGCTCCCGGCTGGGAGGGAGCCAGGGCTTTCCCCCGGGTCCCACAGTGGGTGTGGCCTCTTCCTGCCAAGTGCAGGAGGAATCAACAGACTTGGGTAACGTATCATCAGACCACTTCAATATGCAGAAATGGTGAAAACTAGAAATTAAAATAAACACACCACACTCTAAAGTATTCTAAACAACAGATGAATAATGGGTTAACTATTTAAAAAGCCATTTAACAAAAACGGGAGTGAAATAGGATTTTTGTTTTTCTTCTGAGCTCAGATCAGGGAATATCAGATCTTTAAAGAGTTGACAGCTTTCTAAGTAAGCTTTAATAATAAAATGACAAAGGAAAAATGAGTTAATTCAGTTTTATTAAAAGTAATAACTTTTATAAAATAAATACAGCCTAAATAAGATGTAAAGCAGGAACAGAATGAATGATGTGCACCACTCTTAATGTAAAGCACTTACAACTCTATCTGAACAGATGCAGACATGGTCAGAGCAGAAGTCATGACTGGACAATTAGCACAATAGGGTGGACAGAGTCAGGGAGAGTCTCAGCCTCACGGGCATCAGAACCGCTCATGTCAGAGGAAGGGTCTCGTCAGTGGATGGCGCTGGGTATGGACACAGTACAGCAGGCAGGTTAGGAATCATAAAAAAGATTAGTGCCCTTTGGAGAGTCCTGGGATTGTATTTAAAAAATTATTATTATTGTTGATTTTAGAGAGAGGAAGGGAGAGGGAGAGAGACAGAAACATTGATGAGAGAGAGCATCTATTGGCCACCTCCCACATGCCCCCCACTGGGGATCAGGCCCACAACCTGGGCATGTGCCCCGACTGGGAATCGAACCAGCAACCTCTTGGTGCATGGGTCAACGCTCAGCCACTGAACCACACCAGCTGGGCTAAAAATTATTTTAAAGTAGTAAAAAAGCTGTGTGCCTGATCACGTTCATTGCAGATTTCTTCACCATAACTAATAATTTTGAAAATTAAATGTTCAATCAGTGTGTTCAATAGATACAGTACATGGTTTTAAAATAGTTGGTGTGCCAACTTAGTGAAATATTATACATTTGTTAAAATGATAGTTGAATGGGATGGAAGTGTGAAAATAGAAGAAGTAAAATAAAAGCAGAATACAAATTATATAAACATTGAGCATTTTTGAGCAAGAATGGAATGGGAACATGGACACAGTACAGTGGTTCATGGTTCAATTATGGAGGGAGTATTTTTTGATTTTATGAATATTGCTGTTTGCACATTTTGAACTGGCTTGAAAACTCTGTGAGCCGTTGGGGTTTTGTAGGAGTTTCCCCGAATGTTTGAATGTTTTGTTGGACCACTGCCAGAGTGGGTGTGTCTGCAGTGACAGTGGCTCATTGCTGGTTGGGTTCTTTCCCAGATGCTCTTCTTGTGGTGAAATGAACACATCAGATTAGTTGGGATTGTTTTCTTCACGGTAAAACACAAGGTATCATTTGGTTCCCCCATAAGATATCAAGAGAAATTGTGGTCTTCAGTGGCTGTTTAAAACACATAGTTCCACTAGGAATTCTGGAAGTGTTCATTTTTGGTGATATTTGAAAGAAAGAAAGATGAATCACAGATGACCTTTAAGTTCTAGCTCAAGGGTATTTTTACCCTGGCCTTTAAAAAAGAAATAACTCAGGGCCTGTGTGTTCTCTTTCCTAATCTCTGTGCCAGTGGGCATTCACAGTAATGGGGAGTAATTCACCATCAATGGGCACCAAGAACCTTCTGGGGCTCTGGCAGTTGTTGTCATGATCATTGAGCTGTGAGAATCAACCCTGAGTGGTCTTAGGCAACTATTTAAGGAGAAACAATATAGAGTTATATTGGTAATAAATATGGAGCTCAGTTAGAAGTCCAGAAAGTGTCAGGATGGCAGTGGTGTTTTTGGAGATAATGCAGATGTTGATGTAAGAAAGCAACATGGAAAGAGCTCTTGTACACTTCGCCCAGTTTCCCCAATGAGAACACTTTGCAAAACGGTAGTAGTGGAGGATTTGAAACGGAACTGTAAATGTTAGTGCAGAACGTAAGGATTTCGGCCTCAGGGTGGACATGAACAGGAGTAGGAGATGTGGGAACTAGTGCAAGCTAGATGAGGGTGGGTGGGTGTACCGGCAGGGCCAGTGCGCAGCCTCTGGTTCTGGCTCTGCCACTCGCTCTGTGTCCCTGTGAAGAAATGACACAAACTCTCTGGAGTAGTTTCCTGGGGCCACTGTAACAAATTAGCACAAACTGGGGCTTACCAGGACAGACATTTTCTTCTCACAGTTCTAGAGGCCAGAATTCTGAAGTCAAGGTGTGAGCAGGGCTGAGCTCCCTTTGGAAGCTTAGGGAAGTCTTTCTGGTCTCTTCCAGCTTCTGGGGGTAGTAGCAGTGAGGGGCACAAAAATAATTTTCCTCCCACATTCTAAGTTAGTGTAGCTGGGCTAATAATCAAATTCACATGAAATGGATTAACCAGAGAAAATGTCCAGAATTTATTATGGCATGTGGGTGTCAGAAGCCCCTGAGACCTGAAGTTGCATTGGGCAGTTGAGGTATTTTTCTTTCTTTCTTTCTTTTTTTTTTTTTTAAAGAATGTTTTTATTTTTTAGAGAGAGAGGAAGGGAGAGAGAGAAACATTGATCAGCTGCCTTCTGCACACCCCCTGCGGGGGATTGAGCCTGCAACCCGGGCATGTGCCTTGACCAGCAATCAAACCAGGACCTCTCAGTCCTTGGGACGACACTCAGTCCACTGAGCCACACCGCCGGGCAGGCAGTTGAGGTTTCTGTGCCGTTCTGGACTACGGAGCGGGAGCAGGGCTTTGGGATTTCAGAGGGAAATCAGGGCATTCACAGGGAGAGGAGAAAGAGCAAACTGGTAACCCAGTTCTGGCTGGGCTGTAGGGAAGTTCAACAGACAAGCTTGGCCAGATTTCTCCCTGTCCGCCACACTTGGTTCATGTCATAATACTCAGGTGACGTAAGCAGGTTTTTCTTTTTTTTTTTAATCCTCACCCGAGGACATTTTTCCATTTTTTGCACAGATAGAGTGGGAGGGGGAGAGAGGAAGAGAGAGAGAGAGAGAAACATCGACGTGAAAGAGACACATCCAGTGGCTGCCACCCGCACGACCAACCAGGGCCGGGGACAAACTGCAACCGAAGTACGTGCCCTTAGCGGGAACCGAACCCGGGTCTCTCCGGACCGCAGGCCGATGCTCTAACTGCTGAGCCAAACTGGCCAGGGCAAGCAGGTTTTTCTACTGAATTCCTCTAGGCAGGTAAGGGGGGAGGGCCAAGGGATCTCTCTGGGTCTTTTGTTTCCTAATAACCAAACTTAAAATCAATATCCCAAAAGGCAGCTTCAGGGTGGACATGATTGCGGGGGTGGGGTGGGGAGGGGTAGGGTGGCTGTTCAGCCTAGTATACTCTCCAAGGAACCTGGCTCCATTTTTCTACTCCCTGAAACGAGGGTAATAGTGGAATTAATCACAGAAAGCGGCGGTGCGGAGTGCACGAGTGCAGCGTGAAATGGGGTTGCCATGAGAGGCATCACGTGATTATCAAGCACGGCCCCTTACGTTTTCCAGGGGCACCTCCTGTGCTTTCCTTGAGACCATCTTGTGCTCCTCCAGCTGCCCTGGGGCCAACAAGGGAGCTCAGAGCTCACTTCCCTGGTGAGCACGGGCCATAGCTGCTACAGAATAGACAGGAATGTGCTGTCAGCTGCTTAGGTAGCAGTTGATAGGTGGGTCTTACCTTTCATGATTTTACTGGCGGGCCCTGTTGTAACATTATTTGTTATAACAGGTATTGACATGTAGGTGCTAATGACAAACATCCACATTAATTTAGCATAAATGCTCACTTTCCAGATGTTAAATATTTTTAAAGTATTTGTTTAAAAAGTAAAACGTATAACTTGCTGGAATACCCCAATCAATTAAATTTTTATGTAGTATCAGTTTATTAGAGTAAATTGTTCATTTTGCCTTTTTGAATTTATAGCTAAACCGTTCACACAGCTGGTGAAGGACATGCAGCTGCATCGAGACGACTTCGAGATAATTAAAGTGATTGGAAGGGGAGCGTTTGGTGAGGTAAGTGAGCTTTGTTTTGTTAGCTCTGCATAGATGGCCAAAAAGCGCATCTGCATTCCTGTGACCCGCAGGTTGAATTGGGATGACATAATTCTCAGTAGCATTTGGAGAGTGCTTGGACAAAATATGAAAGGTAGAACTGAGAAGAGAAAAGTAAAAACGAAAGCTTGTGACTCGTGAATTACTCTGAATATCGTTCTGGCCAAAATAGTTTCTTACAGACTAATAAGTTTGTTTTTTTTGTTTTTTTTTTAATCCTCACCCGAGGACATTTTTCCATTTTTTGCACAGACAGAGTGGGAGGGAGAGAGAGGAAGAGAGAGAGAGGGAAACATCGATGTGAAAGGGACACATCGAGTGGCTGCCACCCGCATGACCAACCAGGGCCGGGGACAAACTGCAACCAAGGTACGTGCCCTTAGCGGGAACCGAACCCGGGTCTCTCCGGACCACAGGCGGACGCTCTAACCGCTGAGCCAAACCGGCCAGGGCGACTAATAAGTTTTTTAAAAATCCATTTGTTAATTGAAAAATTTTTTTAAGATGTACAGAGGGTAAAACATGGTTATTCTCATTATTTGTGGCTGCTGCCGTCAGTCCGTGTGGGCCATGAGTCCCACTGCCTGGCCCCAGGGAAGAAGGCAGCTTGTCCAGCACCACTCAGTGTGGGTGCTTGTCCTTCCCCCCTGGTGGATGGCTGCGATGGCGCTGTGACCTCTGCAGGTGGCGCTCTCCTCCCAGGCCCTGTCCACTGGCAGAGGCATAGTTGCCCTTGGCAGACGAGAACAGGTGGTTTTACAGTTAGTCACCTTCAGAGCTTCTCCTCTCACACTTTGAACATATTCACAACTCGGGTTTCAGCTTCAGCTCTCCAAGGCTGGAGAACTGAGGCGCTGTGTAACTAGCACCCTGGTTGATACAGAGCATTTCTGTCCCCTAGGCAGTTCCCTCCTGTAAGCCCCTCTAGTCCCCGGCAGCAGCTCTCCTGATTGTCACCAACACGGAACTTAGTTTAAAGGAACCACAAGAAAAAAATTGAGTTTGGCATAAAAATAACAAATCTCTATTTGTTGTATAAGGTGTGGTGGTGACGGTGTTAATCCTGGGCCACAGGGAAGTTCAGCTGATAGTTTGGCCACACTTCTTGTCAGCAACACTTAGTCCACGTCATGATGCTCTGTGATGCCCCTTCCTTTTAGCAGGTTTTTCTACTGAATTCCTCTAGGCAGGTAAAGGGGAGAGGGCCAAGGGATCTTTCTGGGTCTTTTGTTTCTTGATAACCAGCTTAAAAATCAGTATTGCAGCCCTGGCCGGTTTGGCTCAGCGGTTAGAGCGTCGGCCTGCGGTCCTAAGAGACCTGGGTTCGGTTCCCGCTAAGGGCGCGTACCTCGGTTGCAGTTTGTCCCCAGCCCTGGTCGATTGTGCGGGTGGCGGCCACTCGATGTGTCCCTTCACATCGATGTTTCTCTCTCTCTCTCTGTTCCTCTCTCTCCCTCCCACTCTACCTGAACAAAAATGGAAAAATGTCCTCGAGTGAGGATAAAAAAAAAAAAAAATCAGTATTGCAAAAGGCATATTTTGGGAATGGCAAAACTTGGGTCCCCTTCAGCAGCCGTCCTTGGTGTTCCTTGGCTTATGCCAGAGCCACTCTGATCTATGCCTCCAGATTTTCTCTTTTTTTTTTGTTAGTCCTCACTTGATATTTTCCATCAATTTTTAGATAGAATGGGAGACAGAGAGAGAGAGAGACAGAGAGAGAGACACATCTATGTGTGAGAGAGAGCCATCGATTGGTTGCCTCCAACAGGAATCCAACCGGGGCCAGGGATCAAGCCTGCGGACCCTGTGGTCGTTGGGCTGATGCTCTAACTGCTGAGCCATGGCTGTGAGGTATGGTTTTTGTTGTTGTTTAGTGAGAAGGAAGAGAAAGCCTGTTGAAATTAAACCTGACTCAGCTCTGTGTGTACTTACACTCTCGTCCTTGTCCCAAGAGCCATGCCAGTTCCGGGCTGAGCAGTGAGCAAGGCCTGGGCCCCTGCAGAGCTCTGCAGCCATGGAATCCACTCGAGGGTCCAGGAGGGGCAGGGAGAGATGCTGGCGCCAGAGAGCAGCCCCCTTTGGGAGGGAACAGGAAAGAAGGAGAGAATGTCATTGTGCCCAGATTGTTTATAGTTATTTTTAATGCTCTTGTTTGCCAAAGAACGTGATGCAAAACTCAGTTTTCTGTTGTTCAAAGAAGGTAATAGTGATCACCTTCCACATTCCTCCAAATGAAGAGAAACGTCCTTGCTCGGGCCTGTGCGGAAGTCCTCAGATTCTCTCCTTTTCCTTTGCTCCCTAGCAGGGTTTACCACCTTCTCTGCACACCCCTCCCCCACTTCAGCAACCCCAGTCAACCCTCCCTGGGCCTGTCTTGTGCTCCGCACACCAATACTCCTCACCTGCTCCTTCGCGCCCCCCCCACCCCCCCCAGCATTCTGTGTTCAGTCTGGGGACCCTGAATGTGCTCATCAGTCCTCCCTGCCATAGCTAGAATCTTGGATTCTGTAGAGCAGTGGTTCTCAACCTGTGGGTCACGACCTCTTTGGGGGTCGAATGACCCTTTCACAGGGGTTGCCTAAGACATAACAGCAGCAAAATTACAGTTATGAAGTAGCAACGAAAATAATTTTGTGGTTGGGGGTCCCCACAACAGGAGGAAGTGTATCAAAGGGTCGCGGCATTGGGACGGTGGAGAACCACTGCTGTAGAGGCTGTTACTAGTTCACCGTTGCCTTCCTGGGATGTTCTCGTCATCACGCCTCTGAAATGGGCTCAGATTCCGCTTCCCTGTCTCTGGTGGTTCCAAGGGGGTCACAGAAAGGGGACACTCTATCACTCTTGGGACCAGAAGTACTCCTCACATATGGTTCTAATTGGGTTATTCTTTCCTGATGAGAAGCCAAGGGTCACATCAGGGCATGGTCATTGTGGACTCCCATCATCAGCCCCAGGGAAGCTTGTATTTGATTATGACCGTCATGTTAATAGTCTTTAAAAGCATGCCCTGAGGGTGAGACTGCACTTTTTAGGCATGTTATTGAACCATTCCAAACCTCACATTCCACATGTGTAAACTGTGGATGCTAAAAGTAACCACTATCAAGAATCGTAGTGAGGGTTAACTGAGAGCATGCGGATGAACTGCTTAGCGCAGCTCCTGGCACGGGGAGGTGCTCAGTGCTCTTGGCAATGGTACTATGTGGTGCAAGTTGTTTAGAAAGCAAGGAAGTAGGTAATTGAGGAACTCTGTTTTATACCTGCTGTGTGGCTACCTGCTGTTAGCAGCAAAAAGGTCTTACTCTCACAGAAGTTCTTGTCACTGTCAATACACAGCTTAGGGTTTTGTGATAGAGACTTAGGCCAATGAACAATCGATTTATGTGAGGTAGAAAGTGCCATAGGATGGTACAAACATCACATCTGGTGTTGGTGGCGATGGAAGAGCTCATTCGAGATTGGGCAGGGCCAGGAAGTCCAAGAGGAGTACGACTGACAGCCAACATGCTGAGTGCTCATCATGTGTCTAACACCATTCTGAGCATACTCAATGAGAGGTAAGTGAGAGGAGATGCCTGAGCATCAGGGACTGTGTGAGCATGGCTGTGGGGACAGCACCTGTGAATGCAGGGAGCACAGCTTGGGAGCCACTGATGAACCTTTAAAGTTTTATGATGAAACTCTCCAGACATCCCACAGTAGAGGACGGTGAACAGCTTCCTACAGCACCCAGTGTGCTCAGCGCTGAAGGTTTTTTTGTTTTTTTTTTTACCTGAGCAGGTGTGAGCGATCATTTAGTTGCTATGTGGCTAAAGTAAGTTTTGGTGCTCAAAAGGGCAAATCCTCATTTACATAATTTTTACTTCAGCCCGCAACAGCTCATTTCTCAGGCAATTAAGATTTCACTGTAGTTTTATGAAAATGCACATTTGTATTCCAGGTTGCTGTTGTCAAAATGAAGAACACTGAACGAATTTATGCCATGAAAATCCTCAACAAGTGGGAAATGCTTAAAAGAGCAGAGGTAAGTGTGGAATATATAAAGTTGAGTGTGAGTAAGAACGCCAGTCCTCACAAGCTCCGGCCTTCCCTCCTTGACAGGAGTGTGCTGTTTTTTGTCACCAGGTGTCAGCCTCCTCCTGGCGACTGCTCCTTTGCGTCCATGCTCTTGCAGGTCCCCCACGTCCCGCTTGAGAGTCCCCTCCAGTCTGTGGGCCAGAGTGTTGTTTCCTGTAAGGGAAAAGCAAAGCTTCATGGACATTTTAGGCATTTATCTCAGTTCTGCTCCATATGCAAAAGGAATGACAGAATTTGGAGCCTACTTAAATAGAGGGGATACGATTATAAATAAAGGTAGATGGCTTTCCCAGGCTGGTTTGGCTCAGCATTTAGAGCGCCGGCCTGAGGACTGAAGGCTCTTGGATTCGATTCCGGTCAAGGGCACGTACCTAGGTTGCAGGTTCCATCCCCAGCCCTGGTTGGGGTTGTGCAGGAGGCAACCAATCAATGTGTCTCTCTCACATCGATGTTTTCTCTCTCTCTCTCTCTCTCTCTCTCTCTCTCTCTCTCTCTCAAAATCACTGATAAAATATCCTCGGGTAAGGATTAACAAAACAAAGCAGACGACTACTGCTTTACAGTCTGAGCTTCTTTTCTTACCTCTGTGTGCAACCCTGTGGCTGCTACTCATGTCTGGTGCCCTCTCCCCAGCCCCTCACTCAGTTCCTGTTGAGACAGGTGAGGCCACCCAGAGCCAAGGCTTTTTCTCCAGCATCTCCAGCACCTCCACTCTGTCTCCATTCAATACCCCCATTCCTTCACCGCCTCCGAGCCAAAAGGCCTTCCTTTCCAAGGGCCATTACCAGATAACCACTGGTCTTTGACCTTTCTGACCCGCCCAGCACCTACCCTAGTCTTCTCATGTGACTCCTCCCGCCAGTGTGCCCTTAGCGTCTGGGCCCGCCAGGTCCTCTGTGTGGCTCGCACACGCTGCCCTTCACAGCACAGCTGCTAGGCAAGCCCTTTGTGGGCAGGCCCTCCGCTCTGGAGCCGGCCGCCCTGCTTATGGAATTGACTCCTCTCACCCGCTCACTCTAACTCTCCTGCAATTTTAGGTGGCCCTTCCCTCTTCTGTTCTAGAGTTCTCAAATGCCCACGGTAGCTGCCACCTTGGGCAGATACCAGTACAAGCCACTTACTTCAGTGGGATTGCCCTCCTGTGCTTCAGGTTGTCACAGCAGAAGTGATGGGTGGGCATTCTCACCTCAGCATCTACCAGGGTCTCACGTCCGTCCATCTGTCCGTATGTAAACCACTATGGCTGTTCTCCCTCCACACTACTCCCTTCCCTGCTGTGGCACCCTGCCTCAGGTCTCACACCCACTTGTCATTTGATAAGGGCATGTTGGTTGACTGGTAGTGACTGGTTCTGCAGTCACCTGGCTCAAGGGGTTGATGACCCATGACTCTGCCTCAGCCCCTCTCATTCCGCAGCCTCAGCTGCACCACAGCCCCCCTTGGTTCTTGCTCCACTGGTCTCTGAACCTCACCACCCCCTCCTACCACAGCGCAGCAGCCCTTCCTCGTGGCTCCACCGGCACTTGGGTGAGCGCAGGCACACCTGCGGGGATGCAGTTCTTCCATGCGAGAAGGTGTAGTTGCTGTTATGTGAACGTTTGGGGGGAGGGATAAGGTATTTGGGGGAAAGAAAGAGTAAGAGCACATTCTATTCAAGTTTATATTTTTACGGGAGTAATTGATTTATGAAAGAAGACATTTGAGCCTATTTAATAGGACTTGTATTAACCTCCAGAGTGTGTGTGTGTTTACATTTTGAAAGTTATAAAAGTCCCAAGGTTAGGGAAAGTGATTCTCTCTCTCGTGCTAGTTAGTATGTAAGAGGATGTGAGTATGGGAGAATCAGTATCACTTGTTTAAGTTAAACCTGGTGACACAAGGCAGGAAATCAGCGAGAGGTGCAGTGTGAGATCGTAACTTGTAGGCCAGGCTGGGTGCTAGTCCGGCTTTCTTGGTCATAAAAAAATCGTAAAAGCTGTTAAAACAAAACAGAACTACTAAAGAGTACATATATTTCTGGTGTGGGCTGCCATGCTGACAACCAGTTTAAGAATGGGCTTCACCATGAGTGTGGTAGGTAGATGCTGGGGAACCTGGAAACAGCATTCTGGGCCGAGCTGGCCCTTCTCCAGGCCCTGGGTCTGGGTGGCCACTGGCTAAGGGCAGGATGGTTCCAGAACACTGCACATGGGAGCTGACTATGGGCCATGTGCGTCCCCTTGTCTGCTTCTCATTCGTGGAATCAGGACCAGCTACCTCTGGCATTTCTTTTTGAAAGAAAAACTTTTTAAAGAAGTTCAGAATAGAAAAACTTATAGAAAAAGCAAGTTCTAAAAGTCCTGGTGAGACTCAAATAAAAACAGGTAACATGCTCTGTGCCCTGTCACCAGGCCTTCCTCAGGGCATTAGTATTTTTGTAAGTTTCAAATATAAAGAGTGAAAATCTAATGTTAAATACTCAATAAAAGAGGAAGTATTATTATTATTATGCCAAAGACCTGGTTACTTTTTTTTAAGCCCCCCTTTGCTCCCCTTCAGTTACTCCTGCTTCCTACAGTGACCACTCCTGACTTCTTTCTTTCTCCCCTGGTATCCTTTTCCCACCTCCCTCTGGCAACTGTCAGCTTGTTCTTTATGTCTGTGAGTGTGTTTGTTTTGTTTATTTATTCACTTACAAGTGAAATTATATAGTATTTACCCTTCTCTGTCTGACCTGTTTCATTGAGCATAACACTCTCTAGACCCATTAGGCTATTGCAGATGGCAAGATTTCATTCTTGTTCATGGCTGAGTAACAGTCCATTGTGCACCTCTACCACATCATTTTTTTAAAAACTTTTCCCTCCCTTTATTACTTTTTAGGGAGAGAGGAAGGGAGAAGGAGACAGGGATAGAAACATCGATGAGAGAACATAGACTGGCCGCCTCCTGCATGCCCCCCAATGGGGATCAGACCCACAGCCTGGGCATGTGTCCTGACTGGGAATCAAACCGGCAACCTCTTGGTGCCTTCCTGGGTTGATAGCCACTGAGCCACACCAGCTGGCCAGGCTACCACATCTTCATTATCTGCTTCTCTGTTAATGGGCACTTGGGCTGCTTCCGTATCTTCACTACTGTGAACAATGTTGCGGTGATTATATCTTCACTACTGTGAACAATGTTGCGGTGATTATATCTTCACTACTGTGAACAATGTTGCGGTGAATATAGGGGTACATACATTGTTCCAAATTAATGTTTTTGATTCTTTTTGGATAAATACTGAGAAGTGTAATTGCTGAGTCCTATGGCAGCTCTAGTTTTAATTTTTTGAGGAATCTCTATACTCTTTTTCCACAGTGGCTGCACCAATTTACAATCCCAACAATGGTATATGAGGGTTCTCTTTTCTCCACATTCTTTCCCGTGGTTACTTTTTTTTTTTTTTAATCCTCACCCCAGGATATTTTTTTGTTCATCTTCAGATAGAGTTGGAATGAGAGAAAGGGAGAGAGAGAGAAACATCGAGGAAAGAGGGACACATCAACTGGTTGCCTCCTGCACAACCCCGACCAGGGCCAGGGACAAACTGCAACCAAGGTACATGCCCTTGGCCAAAATCGAACCCACGACTCATCGGTCCACAGGCTGACACTCTACTGCTGAGCCAAACTGGCCAGGACCCCCCTGGTTACTTTTATTATTTATTTTATTTTTTTAATTCTCATCCAAGGACATTTTTACACTTTTGTTCAGATGGAGTGGGAGAGACAGAGAGAGAGAGAGAGAGAGAGAGAGAGAGAGAGAAGCATTGACGTGAAAGGGACACATCGAGTGGCTGCCTCCCACATGACCCCAACCAAGGCCGGGGATGAATCGCAACCGAGGTACGTGCCCTTGACCAGAATCGAACCTGTGACTCATTGGTTGGTGGGCTGATGCTCTAACCACTGAGCCCAACTGATCAGGGCTCCCATGGTTACTTTTAAATACACATACCACCCATGTATTAAAGATCTTTAAAGAAAAAACTGTAGCCCTGGCCAGTTTGGCTCAGCGATTAGAGCATCGGCCCATGGACCAGAGTCCTGGGTTCAGTTCCTGCTAAGGGCACGTACCTCAGTTGCAGTTTGTCCTCCACCCCAGTTGGGGTCGTGTGGGTGGCAACCACTCAATATGTTTCTCTCTCTTCCTCCCTCTTTCCCTCCTGCTCTATCTGAAGGTAAATGCAAAAAAAAGAAAGAAAGAAAAGCCTGTAGAGTCTAAAAAATAGTTTCCTACCCATTGCTCTAGGTCATCTGTCTTCATAGTAGATTCTGTTAGGATGTGTGCATCAATACTCTGCAAATAAACTATGTTCCTTAAAAGTGACCCACTCAGATCAGTTAGCAGGTATATGCCCATCCTGCCAGTCATGTGACTGCTGACCTGTGGGTCTATGACAAAGAGGCAGACACGTGGGGCAGTTGTGCCCCCAGTTACCCCAGGAGGCTGACCTGGTAAAGAAGAGTCAGGCGATGCTGGGTGTGAGGGCCCAGCCGGGAAGCTGTTGCTGACACCACCCCCATGAGCCGGTTGAATCTCTGGTGTGGGCCATAGAGATAGCAGGTGTGGAAGGGTGGGTGCAGATGCAAAAGCAGGAGGGAACAGGTGCACCTTTCAGCTGGTGCAGGTGTGACAGGTCTGGTTCTAGGTGAAGGCGAGAGGGAGGCCAGGCTGCCTGCAGCCTGGAGGGACAGTTGACGCTGTCTCCAGAGCTGGTAGTAGTAGGACCCCTCTGTTCAGGACTGTGCTCTGCAGGGTAGTTTTCAGGTGGACACATGACTCCCCTCATGCCTTGCAGACCGCTTGTTTCCGGGAAGAACGCGACGTGCTGGTGAATGGGGACTGCCAGTGGATCACCACCTTGCACTACGCCTTCCAAGATGAGAATTACCTGGTACGTGGTCATTTCATGTCTGCTTTGATTCTGTTGTGCTGACACTAAAAAGCAAGGAGACAGTGGGAACTGACATGGTTTAAATATATGTATCTGATCATATAAAACTAGTTTTTGTTTTATGTCATAATCATCAGGTGGGTTTTTTAAATACATTTGTGACATTCTATACTTGTTTTTCTCTAATCACTAGATAACCTGATTATTTTGTTCTCTGGATTTATTGCATTTAAATAAACGGGGTTTTAAACATTTTCTGTTTTGAAGAAGAATGAGAAACTGGCCCGGCTGGTGTGGCTTGTGGTTGAGCGTCGACCCATGCACCAAGAGGTCGCCGGTTCGATTCCTGGTCAGGGCACATGCCCAGTTTGTGGGCCTGATGCTCAGTGAGGGGTATGCAGGAGGCGGCCAGTTGATGTTCTCTCTCATTGATGTCTATATCTCTCTCCTTTCTTCTCTCAAATCAATAAAAAATTATTTAAAAAAAAAAAGAAAGAGAAATTGCTGCGGGATTCATTTTTGCAGCTCTGTCCGAGGAGTGGATGAGTCCATCTCCAAAATGGGTGTGGTCCTCCCCAGTATGATGCACTGGCCTCCTGACACAGATTTTTGGGTGACTCTTGGTTTCTGTGTTCTTGTCATCTATTTATTCTTCTGACTTGAGCTGGAGTTCACTTTCATTGTTGACTAATCAGCTTTGACACACAAGTGTGCAGAGTAGAGTGTGGATTTTAGTAAAATAGCACAAAGGAAACCAGGCCTTTGGCTCAGGCACTGAGTGAGTCACGAATGCTTTTTCACTCTTTAATTCTGGAGCTGACTTTCCAGGTTTGCCTCAACCTAAAAAAGTCCACATCAGGGAGCTCTGTGTAGACAGTGGTCTCAGCCTTGTTCCTCTGGCCAGTGGTGGCCACACGGGGTTTCAAGGGTCCCCACAGCCTCAGGGCAGGGACCTACACTGTGTTCTCTCCACAGCAGCTGATTGTGAGTGTGTTTTTGGTGGCATGTTTCTTTGCTCACAACACACAGTATAATGTAGGCTCTCTTCTATTCATTTTCAAATAATCATTCAAACATCCAAGAAATGCTTTTCTTTATTTTTAAGTTTGAGAAGGATAGGTAGCAAATCTTTAAAAAAAAAAAAAGTTTTTATTGGTTTTAGAGAGGGGAAGGGAGGGAGAGGGAGAGATGGAAACATCTATTGGCTGCCTCCCACACACCCCCTGCTGGGGATCGAGCCCACAACCCAGGCATGTGCCCTGATTGGGGATTGAACCACTGACCTTTTGGTGCACAGCTTGATGTTCAACCACTGAGCCATACCAGCCAGGCCCAAGAAGTGCATTAGATTCAAACATCTACAAATAGATAAAACTGTTTGTTTTACTTTTTATTTAAAATGGAAAACACTCATATTTGTTTTGACGGAGGGGCAGCTTGTGTTTATTGGGCACAGTCCTGTCCCAGTGAACAAGTGAGCTAGGCATTCACAATTTTCACCATTTTTTTAAGTGGGGTGTCTGGGGCAAGGAGAGAGAACATCAGCTGCCCAGGGTTATTGCAAGAGGCAGGGACTGTGCCAGGACCTGGCCCCGGCAGTCGGGCAGGCGGTGGTGCCCAGTGCCCTGGCTGTGCAGACAGCATGGTCCTGAACTGGGGCCATCTGCATGTGAACCTCACTTCCTCGAGCGGTGTTGCTTCTCTGAACTGGACTGTCTCCAGTTCATTTCCTGTTTTGATAGGAACTGAATGAGGTTTCTAAGGCGTACTAGGCAACATGGATCTTACAGAAGGAAAAAAAACATTTTTTGTCTATGATAGTTTTCCTGAAATCGGCATAGCATGTAGGTCTCTGAAACGTTAGGCACGACACACTCTACGTTGGGCCAGTCAGGAATTCCAGCCGAGAAGCCATCTTGCTGAGTTTTGGAGTGGCCCAAGTAGAAGTACAGTGAAGATTGTGGAGAGAAGGAAGGCAAAGATTCTGGCGCTGTCTAGTACGTGAACACGGACCTGCTAGTGCGGGTGGCAGGCGGGGCTAGACTGCTCTCCCTGCCGCCCACCAGCGGTGTATTTAGGCAAGTTCCTGCCCCTCTGGCCAGCGGCATGCGCTGTCCTGCAGGTTAATTAAGGGGAATGGGCAGACCTGGAAAGCTCATAGCCCGTTGCATAGCACATGGGCCGCTGTTAGGCTCCCTCAGGCCACCCTGCACAGCTGGTTCATGTCATGTCCAATGTGAATTTCTAATCTCAGTGTTTCATTAAAATTAAACCTGCTCTACCAGTGACTGAAAGGGTGTTGCCATATTGGCTTCCCTCAGAACCCTGTGTTATGTGACAGAGGAGATAACTGGTCTGGTTCTTAGAAAATGAGTGTACACTTGTCTGCCTTCTGTGTCCTTATAGTTAGTTCACTTTTCTTATACACTGTGCTCCAGGCACCCATTAGCCACATTGAGCACGGCTATAATATGTTTGTTGGTTTTCTTTTTAGATTTCTGGGTAGACATGGAAACTGTGAGGCTTGGTTGGACATGCTGCCTGGCCCCTTCCTGCTGCTATTTTTTTTTTTTTTTAATCCTTACCCAGTGATATTTTTTCCATTGATTTTTAGAGAGAGTAGAAGGGAGGGAGGGAGTGAGGAGAGAGAAACATCAATGTGAGAGAGAGAGAGAGACATTGATTGGTTGCCTCCCACATGCGCCCCTGCTGGGGCCGAGGATTGAGTCTGCAACCCAGGTATGTGCCCTTGACCAGGAAGCGAACCTGAGACCCTTCAGGTTAGAAATGGCTGGCACTCCAACCTCTTAACCACACTGGCCAGAGCCTGCTGCTTTCTTTAGGGGCCAGAACCCAGGCTGATCATTCACTTGCTCTCCCTGCATCCTGTCAGCAGGTGCTGTGATTGATCTCTTCCTTTGGGTGTTTGCAGTATCTGTCCACCCCCGCCCAGGGCCCATCACCCTCACCTCCTGCCTGGACCACATCATGGCTTCCCATCCCCTCTCCAGTTTGCTGTTGTCCCCCCTCCTCTGGTTGATTCTTCACAGGCCGTTGGAGGAAGCTTGCAGTGTGAATCATACTGTAGCTCCTCGCTCTGGCCTGCGGGGTCTGGCCTCATCCTCTCCGTGCATCCTGCTCCAGCCATCGGCACCATTTCCCATTTCTGCAACGCTTCATTCATTCTCTTCTTAGCCCCTTTGCACATGTCCTGGGGCACCTCTCCTCTCAGTCCCTCTGATTTCTACCCAAGCAGTAGATTTTCTGGTTCTTCCATAGGGGTGAACCCCGAAGTTCTTTTTAGTTTGTTCATGGCACTGTTTTTTCTAGTAAGAGCTGCTAATTTTGTGTGATATTAGCTGGGTTCCTTTTTTCTCTGGTCCAAGTTTCCTCTTTCTGTGACATGAGGGCCTGGGGAGTTATCTCAAGCCCGTAGAACTTGATGGACCAGTCATCGTGCTTCTACTTTTGGTCATTAGCTTTTAGAGTGCCACCTCCTCATCGAAGCCTTCGGTCACTTTCCATTGATTATATGTATTATTTATGGAAGCAGCTTCTCTGCCAGAGGCTTGACTTGAGGTTATAGCAGTTTTGTGATACACCGGGGTTTGTATTCTGAGGGTGGATCCTGGATGTCATCCATCCAGACTCGAGGGTCATGGCGCTTCTGTTGTGGAAGTTTAGCCTTTGGTTGTCAGGTACAGTGGTGACTAAATACTGTATTCTGTACTCTCTCTTCCCAATTTAAAGTACCTAGTCATGGATTACTATGTGGGTGGTGATTTACTGACCCTGCTCAGTAAATTTGAAGACAAGCTTCCAGAAGACATGGCAAGATTCTACATCGGTGAGATGGTGTTGGCCATCGATTCTATCCATCAGCTTCATTATGTGCACAGGTAACCACTTTATCTCATTTATGGAAACCACATTCAGTGACTTAAAATACCCCTTTCAGAGTCCCTGAGGCCTAGACCCCAGGCTCCACGCCGTTCAGACACGGAGCTCACTTTGTGCTGCCACCATGCAGAGCCACTCACCCAGGGGCTGCCTCTGGACCAGCGCTGGTGCCACGCACCTGGGGGATCCCAGCCTCATTGTGCCTGCTGTGAGATCTAATTGTCAGGAAGCCACCTTGTCTTGACACTTAGCTGACATTAGCTGACTCTCTTCCTGCACACCCCCCAGAGCTTGTGTGGGGTCCCCACCCCACTGTGTCTCCTCTTTCTCAGCTCTACTTCGTTGTTTCACGCCGACCCCACAGGGTTCATGGCCTTGAGCACCCCACAAAATAATTGCAAAAGATCACGGGGGGTTAAGGAGAGGTTTGGAGTACTGTGCTAGAGGTGTTTTTGCTTTGTGGATTTTTTTTTTTTGGAGTAGAGTCTTGTCTTTTGCTGCCATTTGTTTGTGATGGAGTTGTTGGTGCTATTTGTTCCCGTGATGTGAGAATAGCCCAGCTCGTTGTCCATTCTCCTGCAGTGGATGGCACATGGAATCCACTCTGGCTCTGAAGAGGTGTGCTACTGGGAACATCCCTGTGCTCCTTGTGGTGAACACTCTCCTTTGCTATTTTTTTTAATCCTCACCCGAGGATATTTTTCTATTTATTATTAGATAGAATGGGAGGGAGAGAGAGAAACATCCATGTGAGAGGGACACATCGACTGGTTACCTCCTGCACAACCTGACCAGGGCCGGGCATAAACCGCAACCAAGGTATGTGCCTTTGACCGGAATTGAACCCGTGACTCATTGGTCCACGGGCTAATGTTCTAACTGCTAGCCAAACCGGCCGGGGCTAAATATGTTTTTTTTCTCTTTTTTTATTCCTCACCCGAGGATACTTTTCTACTTATTATCAGATAGAGTGGGAGGGAGAGAGTGAGACAGAGAGAAACATTGATGTCATAGAGCCACACTGACTGGTTGCCTCCCGCACGACCCAACCACGGCCAGGGACAAACTGCAACTGAGGTATGTGCCCTTGACCAGAATCGAACCCACGACTCATTAGTCTGCGGGCCAGTGCTCTAACCGCTGAGCCAAACCAGCCAGGGCCTAAATATGTTTTTATTGATTTTCTTTTAGAGAGGAAGGGAGAAAGAGAAACATTGATGAGAGAGGAAAACATTGATCAGCTGCCTCCTGCATGCCCCCCACTGGGATTGAGCTGACAACCGGGCGTGTGCCCTGAGAATCTGACCGGGACTCTCAGTCTACTGAGCCACGCTGGCCGGGTCACTCCTTTGCTTTTAATACGTTCCCTTTTCTACTGTCCAGTCATAGAAGCTCATTTCAGAAAGGAGGGCAGTTGCTCTAAGTCCAGCCTGCCACCCTCTCCCCACCCAGTGTTTGCAAGCAAAGAACAGCAGGTGATGCATAACCAAGGGACATGGACAACAAAGCCGGGGACGGGGTGGGGCAGATGGGGGGGGGGTGCCAATGGGGTAAAAAAAGAGAAACATCTGTAACAACAACAACAAAAAGAACAGCAGGTGAGTCCCTGGCTAGGGAGGCACACTGGCTGCTCTGTACCTGGGCAGATCGCTCAGTTCTCGCTGGCTTTCTAAGTACAGTTTGGGTTCCTGGTGGTTGGTTAGCCTGCAGTGGCATTGCCCACACCTCCACCTAACTCCTCCACGTGCCACACACTGTCCCTTTACCTCGTTTGTTCTTCTTGGTGCTCACCTATGGGCTGTGCCCTGTGACATAAGCACAGGGTGAGTGGTGGTGGTGGCTTTGGTGCCCACCTGAGTTCAGGGAGAGGCTTGCTGAGGTGGTTCCAGCTCACCCACTGCTAGTGTGGCTTTGACCTGCCGAATGTGCTGCATGGGAATGCTTAATTATGTACTTATTTTACTAACAGAGACATTAAACCTGACAATGTCCTTTTGGATGTGAATGGTCACATTCGCCTGGCTGACTTTGGATCATGTTTGAAGATGAACGATGATGGAACTGTAGGTATTTTTTTTTTTATCCTCACCCGAAGATATGTTCACTGATTTTCTTTTCTTCAGAGAAAGAGGAAGGGAGAGAGAGAGAGAAACGGTGTGAGAGAGAAACATTGATCGATTTCCTTCTGAACATGTCCCAACTGAGAATCGAACCTGCAACCTTGTGATGTACAGGACGATGCTCCAGTAGCTGAACCAGCTGGCCAGGGCGGCACTTTAGGTGTTTTTGTTTTTTTTCCTTCCTCACCCGAGGATATTTTTCTATTTATCATTAGATAGAGTGTGAGGGAGGGGGAGAGAGAGAAAGAGACAGAGAGAAACATCGATGTGATAGAGTCACATCAACTGGTCGCTTCCTGCACGACTTGACCAGGGCCGGGGACGAACTGCAACCGAGGTACATGCCCTTAGCGGGAACCGAACCCGGGTCTTTCTGGTCTGTGGGCCAACGTTCTAACCGCTGAGCCAAACTGACCAGGGCAAGAAACTAAGTTTATTAATGTGAAGTTAAGACATACTCATTTAGGAGACAGTTGAAAATTTCTTTTTATATTTGAAACATCTTTATTGCATTTTATGTTTACAAAAGTTACACATGTACCTTCTGAAATGGGGGTTGTCAGGTTTGCTTGGGCCCTGAGCAGTGGGAAGTGCACTGAGGCAGCTCTGGGTCTTTGTTAGCATGACCTGTCTGGGTCAGCAAGGTGGACAGGTAGCCGGACATCCTCAAGTCTGGGGACAGAACTTCCTGTCAGTCTGGTTTTCTCTTCATGGCTGCTGTAGACCTAGAAACGGGGTCCTGATACCCATGTTCCGAGGGCCAGCTGACACCACTGCAGAGCAGATGGGGCCCCTGGCAGGCCATCACCGGCTTGGGCTGGGTCAGATCAGTGTCGGCTGGAGTGGCTTCAGTGGGGCTGTCCTGACTCAAGCGAGCTGCTTCAGTGCCTGGGGACTGCACACCTTCCTCTGGCCACTGCCGTGGTGTTGGTCCTAGATGTTTGGGAATCTGCACTTAGTGTCAAGTCTAAGGCGCCTGCGTTGCCAGAGAACAGCAGTCCCTTCCGTTCTTGCTGCGCATCTTCAGGCAGCAGTGAAAGAGCCCAAAACTGCCAGCAGGGACAGTGTTTTAAGAGAAGTGAAGAGGTTCCCTCACTTCCTCCCCACAAGGTCAGCCCCGCTTGTTCCTCACAGTCCTGGTCACGGGTGGACGACGAGAACAGCGGCCTCGGGAGCATGGGTTACCTTCCTTCCTTACACCACACTCCTGTCAGGTGTGGACACCACTCCAAGTAACCACCTGACACGTCTTCCCACTGTCCACTGTGGAGATCCTCAGCCGCGAGGTGGAGAAGTGACCCTGGCCTGTGACAGACATAACTCCCTACTGATTCATGCTGACTGCTCCGGTGCTGCTTGGACCCCGGGCTCTCTTCTCAGATGTGACCCAAGGGGCAGCTGGGCCCTTCCCCTGACAGGCCTTCCTCAGACTTGCAGGCCCCTGCTCTCCCCATGGTGACTGGTGCCCTCGCGGCCCACAGCGGTCTGCAGAGGCGTCACCATGTCCACACTTGTCCTGCTCATGGCCGAGGAGCTCTTCCTTCCTATTTAGGAGCCTCAGCGGCCCCGTTGCTTATCTAGGGAATGTCTAACCCCAGCTGGCGCCTGGACCTGCTTCCAGACGTTCCCGTTGGGAGACCAAAGGGTAGGCTGTGGGTGGTCAGCCTTCGCCCTACCCTGCAGCATGTTGGAAGTGCTGTGGCTCAGAGCCCTTAATTTACACGTGCCCAAGGGTCTCTCTGCACTGGAAGTCTGAGAAGGGTTGGCTTGGACACCCCTGGTCCCCAGCCATACTGAGTGGTGCGGAGCATGTGGGGAATGGCACCCCCTTGGGACTGCAGTGCCGTTGGGGCTGTGATGGGTTTGGCTGGAGAGATGGTGAGCAGGAGCTGCATGCATTCTGACACTGCCCAGTGTCAAGTGGAAGGGAACATCGATTTGCTTGGATTTTGAATTACTAGACTCTTTGATCATGATTGTGTGAGAAATGACATTAGCGATGTCCCAGTTTCCCTTCAACACGCCCTCTCCCCCCAGGTCCAGTCGTCTGTGGCTGTGGGCACACCTGACTACATCTCACCGGAGATCCTGCAGGCCATGGAGGACGGCATGGGAAAGTACGGCCCTGAGTGCGACTGGTGGTCGCTGGGCGTCTGCATGTACGAGATGCTTTATGGAGAAACGCCGTTCTATGCGGAGTCCCTGGTGGAGACCTACGGAAAGATCATGAACCACGAAGTAAGGCGGTGCATTTCCATGTCCCGTTTGTCCTGATTCCAGGGCCCAGAGCAGCCTCAAGGAGGGAGCTCAGTTTGGAAGCTAGTAGGGTTGTTCAGGAAGAGGTGATGGGGCGGGAGCAGGCTGGTGGTGGCAGATGGGAGTGGACAGATTTGGGAGAGATTAGGAGGTTGCCAACACAGTGGGTACGGGCAGGGGCTTCCAGGACGATCCTGTTTTCTGGTGGAGGGGGGTGGTATTGGTCAAGTCAGAATCCCTGCAGGGACTCGGGCTTCAGCGCGAAGTCGCCGTGGCTGTGGTGGCCATGATTGCCGTCTTGGGTGTGTCTCCTTGGGAAGATCAGTGGGGAGTACTGGTGGGGCAGTTTGACCCATGGTCTGGATTCATCACTTAGGCCTGTTCCTGTGTTCTCTGTTTCCCCAGAAATCAGCTGTCATAGCAGTCATTTCTCATCGTGGGGTATCTGGAGTCCCTTTCCAGTCCCACTTCTCTCCCTCTGACATTTCCTTTTCCCTTTCCCAGCCATTGCCTTCTCTCAGTTTCCTTCCTTTGCTTGTTCTTCATTATTTCCTCCTCTAATGTTTTTACCATCTGTTTCTTTTTTTTATAGTTCTTCAAACATTTTTTTCTAATGCTAACTTCACCCTCTGTTGTACCTGCTCGCGCGCTCTCACGCCCACACCCCTCAGAACTGGCTCCCGTGTGCTGGTCTGTGCTCAGCCCTGCTCCGGGAGAGCAGGCCAACAACCGATGTGGGGATGGTCTTCTGTTTCCTAAGAAACTTCAGACAGTGTAGAATGCACACAGTAGGTGGTGAAAGTCACCCCTCCCACTTCTCAGTGGTAAACGTAGTTACCACTACCAGCTCAGCAGGACTGAGCGCTGGCACCCGGGCCCTGGTCCCAGCTCTTCGTGCCTTCACAGCAGCCTGGGGACTGGTGCTCTTGCCCTTTTTGTGGATCAGAGAGTGAAGCTGAGACAGCTCAGCCCTCAGGCCCATTGTGAGAAGTGGCATGGCTGTAGGTGTTGGCACAGTGCCTTTGACAGGCCGTGCCAGTCTCTGTTACCACCCACACGTGTTGTCAGCATTCTTTGCCACTTGATAGGTGACCGTTTATCATTGTTTTAGTTGACGGGAAGGGTACTGACTAGTCTGCCGTGAACAAAACTAGCAAGGCTGATGAGTTTCCTTTCTGCCTCTGGAACTGTCCCTCTGTTAGTGTGGGTATGCACTTTGTTCCAGAAGCAGACAGCCCTGCTCTGCAGCTGGTCCTGCTCTGCCTGCTGTAGTGTCTACCTGCACTTTTCCTGAATGTGCTCATCACATGTCCACTGATGCCTCTTCCCCAGGAGCGATTTCAGTTCCCACCCCATGTCACAGACGTGTCTGAAGAGGCGAAGGACCTCATGCAGAGGCTCATCTGCAGCAGGGAGCGCCGACTTGGCCAGAACGGGGTAGAGGACTTCAAACAGCACCCATTTTTTCAAGGACTAAATTGGGAAAATATACGAAACATGGAAGCACCTTATATTCCTGATGTGAGCAGTCCTTCTGACACCTCCAACTTTGACGTGGATGATGACGTGCTGAGGAACATCGTAAGTGTGGCCTCTGCTCGGGTTGTCAAAGCAGGTCTGCGCGCGGCAGTTGGGCTGGGAGGGCTGCTTGTCAGGGTAGCAAGTTTCACGGCTGCTCTGGTCTCTGAAAAGCTAGGCAGCTGTCTCAAGAAAATGCACCTGTTAGCTCGGGCCTTAATGTCCTTTTTTAAATAATGGATTATAATTTGAGTAAAAGTGAGTTAAATACTTGTTTTGTCTTAGAATTTATATAAAATCCTTTTGTTTTTGTTTTTATGGAGTTTTGTACCTTTTCTACTACGTTATCATAGTAGAGCATCACTGCAGGCCTGTCACCCTTGTAGGTTTAATACCCCAGCAAGCACATACCTAGGTTGTGGGCCCAATCCCCAATGAGGGGCATGCAGGAGGTGGATAGTTGATGTTCTCTCTCATTGATGTTTCTATCCCCTCCCCCCTTTAAAAAAATAAAAGACAGCCCTAGCAGGGAGCTTCTCACTGGGCCTGAGCCTGTGAGCATGTGTCTCCAGCATCTGCGTGTCTGTCCTCACAGCAAGGGTTCAGGCCACACAGGGGATGAGCAGGTTTTCCAAGTTGGGTCCTGGCTCTGGAATCCATTTGGTGTCTGAGCTGGTCTGGCAAGCCTGGGTTCTGCCCACATGTTGTAGACTTGTTTTGGTCTCCTCAAACCCAGTCTTTCTACTTTTCAGTTCATACATGTGTCCTTGTGTGGGGACAGAGTACAGGGTTAGCAGAGGAAGGGAAGGTTTCACTGCTCCTTGATTCCCAAGTGTGAGCTGAACTCGAGACCTCGTGGAGGGAAGACGGGGAGAAGTGCCGTCATTGCCGCAAGGGTTTTCCTGGGCTCCAAAGAAACTCTCTCTACACTGCGATTCCCCAGATAACGATCACTTTGGTTTTATTTTTAATAAAGAAGGATTATCAAGTTGAAAAATAGAGTTATAACTAGTACTCATGTAAAACAGTCTGCCTTTGGGTCCAGGCCTCTGCTCTGCCCTGGCCTCTGTTTCAGGCCCAGGACTGCGGCCTCTGCCCCATGTCCCTGGAGGTGACACCATCCTCTCTGCTCAGGATCATGTTGAGCATGGATGCTGTGCCTTTAAAAAGTGAGTTACTGGCCTGGTACAAGATTGGCTTGTGCCATTATCACTATCAAAAGCAGTGTGTTTACCCTGTTAGCTGTATTGTTCATCAGATAGAGCCAGGAATGAGAAATAAATGAGCCAGTGCCTGGCTCGGTACAGTGGAGAGCATGGAGTCCACATTGTCAGGCCCCAAGGTTCTCCCTGTGCATCCTCGATCTCACTATTCCGTTCTCTCCTCAAACTCTCCTGTGTGAGTGCGGATCTCACTGTCATATGTGCTCTTACGCAGGAAATGCTACCTCCAGGTTCTCACACAGGCTTCTCCGGGCTACATTTGCCGTTCATCGGGTTCACGTTCACCACAGAAAGGTATGTCTGGTTTTGTAACTCCCCAGGCAGAACCTTCCCCAGGGAGGAAACAGTGTGAGGCTCTGCTTCTGTGCAGTGTGTGTGCAGCACTGGGTGGCTGCGCGTACAGAGGTGTGGTGGGCCCGTCCTTTAAAAATACATACCTGGTCACAGACTTCCTAAAGAGCCAGGCTTTGTGGTTCTTGTCATATATAGTTCTCTTCATTCTTTTTAAAAAATATTTTATTTTATTGATTTTAGAGAGAGAGAGAAAAAAAACATCGATGTGAGAGAGATCTGTCAGATGCCTCCCGCACGACCCCAACCAGTGCCAGGGATCAAACCTGCAACCTAGGTATGTGCCCTTGACCAGGAATCAAACCCACAACCCTTTGGTCCAAGGGCTGATGCTCTAATTTAGCCAAACCGGCCGGGGCTCTTTGTTCTTTTTAACAACCTTTTAAAAATGTGAAAACCGCCCAGCCAGTGTGGTTCAGTGAATTGAATGTTGTCCCAGTTAGATTCTGGGTCAGGGCACATGCCCCGGCTTGTGGGCTCCATGCCCAGTAGGGGATGTGCAGGAGGCAGCTGATCAATGTTTTTTTTTTCATATGGATGTTTCTATCTCTCTCTCTCGTGAAAAGTCAATGGAAAAAAATCATAATAAATAGCTTATAACAAAAAATAAAAAAAAATAAAAAATTTAAGAACCATTCTTGGCTCATGGAGTGTAGGGGTGACTGCAGGCTGCCAATTGCTGACCCTGAGCTGGAGGCCATCGACATTGATGCCAGGTGTTCTGATGGCACCTGGTGGGCCACAGCCATCGTGTTCAGCCAAGAGCTGTCTTTGTCAGGACACTGTTGGCTTTTGGGGGTTGTGGCCGCAGTTCTGGCCTCCATTCGTGGCACACGCCCTGCAGAGCCCAGAACATGAGCCCACGTGCGACTCCAGCCCTGCAGGCCAACGCCACTGTGTTTGTCTGTCGGCCTCTGTCTCGAATGGGCCTCTAGAAAAGTCACGTTCTCCCCCTCTAAAAAGGAGACTGGGGCGAAAGGAGAGGGTTAAGATAAGAGGCGGGTCAAGTAAGACAAGAGAAACAGCCACCGTGTTTGTGGGAAGGTCAAAGACTTGGCTCAAGATATCCTCTGGCAGCTGGGACCTGAGCTGATGTGGTGCCTTCAGGAGAGGCTGCTTGCAGAGATTTTTGGTGTGAGGTTCCAGTGTTAAGCAGCACCTGAGCCAGAGTGACGGCGAAGTCCACCCCAGAGGTGGTGGGCACACTGCCTTTCTGTCTACACACTGTGCAGAGGCTCTTGACCTTCCGGGTGCCTTCCAGCTCAGTAGGTGCTGCTCAGACCTGTGGGTCCCACGCTCAGAGGCTCCAGTTAGTTAGGTGGGTAGGGCCCAGAAAACTTTTCCTGGAACAGACCCTGCAGAACGGGACGCACAGCATCACAGGCCACCTTTGAGAAACCCTGCCATGCCCTTCTGTCAACCGTCTGTGTGCCAGTGCCCACTGCACCCAGTGTGGGACCCAAACCTTTCTCTGCCGTCACTGTCACACTGAAAGCAGGAGCTAAACAGTGTCTGAAACAGTCTAGGAAGGGAGCACTGAGTGAGAGCACCTTCTACCTCCATCTGTGCCAGGGTCCTGCTGGCTGCAGGCCTGTCATTGACTGGTAGAGGGTGACTGATTGAGTGGTACTGGTCAGATACTAGAATGGAAGGAGCCTTAGGTCGCAGAGATGAGCCCTAGAGGGTTGAAGGAACTGTCCCTAGTCAGAGCAGAACCAGGAAGCCCTGGCGGCTCATGTTGCTCTGGCCATGCCACGGCCTCCACTGCGGGCCCCTGCGAAGCCTAGTGAGGCCTTGCGGGCCCAGCTCTGCACACAATACCTTCTCTCTGCCCTGTTCCGCGTGAGCCATGATTTGAAATTGCATTTCCCCTATTTGCAGAGACGTTTCTTTGACTAGCTCAGAGGGCGTGTCCTCGGTGCCCATTGTCATCCAGTCACTGCTGTAAGGAAGACTCTTGTCTCATTTTGGCTCCATAAACAATAAAGTCTTTCACAAGTATTTTTGTTTGCCAATTTAAAGAGACTTATCTTTTACCCCAGGAAGTCTTTAAATGCTAATGAAATCAGTGTAAATGCTCAGTAGATTAGAAACCCTGTGCTTTATTTGCAGCTCTTTTTCTGACCGAGGCTCTCTGAAGAGCATCATGCAGTCCAACACATTAACCAAAGACGAGGGCGTGCAGCGGGACTTAGAGAATAGCCTGCAGGTCGAAGCCTATGAGAGGAGGATACGGAGGCTGGAGCAGGAGAAGCTGGAGCTCAGCAGGAAGCTGCAAGGTAAGTAGCAGCCACTCCTGCAGTGATTCCTGCAGCCTTGGTGTGCTTGCGCCGCAAGGGCCTGCACTCACACCTGTCTCCCACCCCAGAGTCCACCCAGACCGTCCAGTCCCTCCACGGCTCAGCTCGGGCCCTGGGCAGTTCAGCCCGAGATAAAGAAATAAAAAAGCTGAATGAGGAAATTGAGCGCTTGAAGAATAAAATAGCAGGTACGTTTTAAAGTCTGACTGCTTAGTCTGTGTTCTCAGAGGGCATTAATCTTTGCAAAGAAAATTTCAGTCCTTTTCACAGGTGCAGAAGCAGGAAAAAAGCTTCAGCTTTAGCAAACCCGATTAGAGTTCTGGCTTTTGTCAGTTTATTTGAAATCATCTCCCCAAATACTTAGCACTATACGGTTTTGTAGTTGCAGCCAGAATCTGTTCTCCTGTTTTATCCGTGAACTTGGCGCCTGTGCAGCTCTCTTTCTTGACCCCTCTCTGTGCTCTGAGCCAGAACTGCCTTGACGACTTCCTTCTAAAGCCCCCATCAGTGGTGCCTGCTTTCCAGTGTCTTATGTGCTAGAGCTACTGTCCCCGTCAGTCTCTGGTTCCTAGGTTATCAGTTTCCTAAGACTCCTGTCACTCAGGTTCTTGGCGTTGACATGGGTTGGCGCTGCATCGCCTCATCTCCAAGCAGACCTGAGGCAGCCAGTTCTCCCCATTTCTGTCTAGAACCCGCCATCCTGACCCAGAAAAGTCTCAGTGGAGTCTTGTTTTTCAGTAAAAGCTGTTCCCACCTTGGGTTGCATTGTGCCAACTGCACAGGTTAGGAAGGGTGAGGCAGAGGTGTGCACCACCCGAGGGCACAGTCACACAGGGTCAGATTGCAGTCTCATGGGTCTGTCCCTGAGGCAGGTGGCTGCCAGGACACTGCTCTGTGTGTGTAAGAAAGTCAGAGAGCCTCTACGTGAGAGAGAGTGGGAGGAGTCATTGGTATTCACCCCCCAGAAGTCACATAGCAAGGTTTTGCATGTAAGGGAACAGGGTTTATTTCTCCTTTGCTTAGATTCAAACAGGCTGGAGCGACAACTGGAGGACGCAGTGACGCTTCGCTCAGAGCACGAGGGTTCTGCGCTTCGGCTGAAAGGCCTGGAAAAGCAGTACCGTGTGGTGCGGCAGGAAAAGGAGGACTTCCACAAGGTAACGGCACGAGTCAGCGAGCAGAGGGTGTGAGGTTCAGTTCGCAGCTCATGGGAGCAGCCTTGGTTCCAGGGCCCTGCTGCAACTGTCAGCCCCCAAGGGGGCCAGCACACACTGCAGTCGTCACCTGTAGTCTCCACCAGCACCCAGCACCTGTGACAGCTGGGATATGGCAACTCAGGGCGCGAGGGTCCCACAGCCACTGACCCACTGCTGTGCACCCTTCCCACTGGTCCAGCCACCCTACAGCAGCCACCGCCCCTTCTTGTAGAGTGATGATTAGTTACAAGGCATTGTAGAAGAGACTGTTTGTTAAAATTGGGTGAGTTTCCCCAGACTCCTTTGTAAATTTTTTAGTAAGATATGTCAAATTAGGTGGTGCGTTCATGCATGATTGAGTTTTCTAAAACGTGTTCATTTAAACACTCAAGTCATTGAACTCGTGTTTGTGACCTGTTGTCTAAATGTGGGGGATTTCAAGCCCAGGTTGACTGTTGGGCTCACCATGGTGTCACAGCACCTTCAGTGCTCTGTCTAGACGTACACTGGGGGAGGCGCCGCTCTGCTCCCCTGTGTCCGAAAGTCCCTCTGAGCTGACCCGGGGCCTGCTGCAGACACCCCCCTCCCTTTGTGGGAGTCACCCCCAACCTCTTCAGGTCCCACTACTTCTAGCCTCGAGCCGGCAGGTGCCACAGGGACAAGCATCCTGATTGTTGAGGGTCCAGCTGCAGGGAGGCGAGGTCAGTGCGGCTAGTAGGACAGCAGCATCCAAACCTCCGACTCCAGTAAAGGGCCAGCTGCCCAGAAATTGTGTATATTTAGTTCTTTACTTTGATCAGAATCTTAAGCATTTTTGTATGTACTATGTTCTTTCTGATTCTACTGTGTCTACAGAATGGGATGACTGACCAAAGTCATGCCTTGTCCCCCTTTGTGATTATGTGGGTGGCATGGAGAGGTAGAAGTGGCGGAGACAGACTGGCTACCACAAGCAGGGATGTGAAGTTGCCATTCCATGTGCTGGGAGGGACTTTCTGGAGTGGGGTCAGGACTCGGCACCTGAGCCCAGGTACACTCTCAGGCTGTGTGTGGCTGTGCTGGGACAAACAGGGCTCTGTCCTAGCAGTGAGCTCTTGGACTGTGCTGTGGTCTGTAACCAGCACTCGTCACTGAGCTTCCAGCCTTCCAAAACCTTTGTTCCACTAACGTCAAACACCTATCATTCTTTTTGTTCAGCAATTGGTTGAAGCTTCAGAGCGCTTGAAGTCCCAGGCCAGAGAGCTCAAAGATGCCCACCAGCAGCGGAAGCTGGCTCTGCAGGAGTTCTCGGAGCTCAATGAGCGCATGGCAGAGCTCCGCTCTCAGAAGCAGAAGGTGTCCCGGCAGCTCCGTGACAAAGAAGAGGAGGTGGAGGTCGCCATGCAGAAAATTGACTCCATGCGGCAAGAGATCCGCAAGTCTGAGAAGCTCAGGAAAGAGGTAGCTTAGATGCTTCCGGGGCTGCACTGATTAGACTTTTGTATGATCTTAGGAGTTCTTTAAAAACGTGGCTGTATTGCATCAGTTACTTAGAATGGATCTTAAATTTTTTTATTTTTTATTTTTTTATCCTCACCTGAGGACATTTTTTTCTATTTTTTGTTCAGATAGAGTGGGAAGGAGAGAGGGAGGGAGGGAGGGAGGGAGGGAGGGAGAGAGAGAGAGAGAGAGAGAGAGAGAGAAAAACATCGACATGAAAGGGACACATAGAGTGTCTGCCATCCGCACAACCAACCAGGGCCGGGGAAAAACTGCAGCCGAGGCACGTGCCCCCAGCGGGAACCGAACCCAGGTCTCTCTGGACCGCGGCCGACGCTCTAACCACTGAGCCAAACCAGCCAGGGCAGAATGGATCTTAAATTTTATCTCAAGCCAAGTAAATTGATCTGCAAATGATTCTTCTGTAGTTCTCAGCTCTCTAAGTCCATTTGCGAAGTTATTAAAAGAGATTCCAGTAGTGCTGATTTTTAAAGTCTACCTTTTAAAGCAAATAGACGGTATTTATGCTCAGCAAATGTGACAGATTTGCTACGGTGGGAGGCAGTATGGCTCACGTGAGTATGAGCACCGTGCAGGCAGACGGGAGTGGGGGGCAGGTCTTGGCCCAGCAGCCTCACCTCAGCTCTTAGGCCAGCGGTCCTCATACTGACAGGTTATTAGGCCCTAAGGAGCTTGAGTCTGTGGGTTGTAGCTCTCAACACTTAACTATGTTAGTAATGAAAAATGAGACTTTTTTGTTATAATAATAAACCCCACTACAAGTTAGCATAAATAACATTTTTAATGAAAAGTAATATGTTCTTAAATAACTGGCTTAACAGGAAACACGTTGGTAGTCCCACCTGTTTCTGTGTTCAGTGTGCTCTGCTCACAGTTTGGGTAAGGTATTTGAAGAACCCAGTCCCTTCGGATGGTAATTAGAAAAGAAAGGGCCTTGCAGACCCTTGAAAAGACCCACTTTGAGAACTGTTGCCCTGGATATTCCAGATGTTCTGCTGTTAACAGGAGACACGTTTTAAGCAACCTTAGTGTTAACTTCTATTTAAGTTACTTGGTAGACTGTGAATGGGAAGTCTCAGGGAACATGGTCTTTCTTTCCCATTCAGGGCTCTTCGTCATTTGGCCTCAAAAAGCCCTTTTGCGCCCGGCCGGTGTAGCTCAGTGGTTGAGCATCGACCCATGCACCATGAGGTTGCTGGTTCGATTCTCAGTCAGGGCACATGCCCAGGTTGTGGGTAGATCCCCAGTGGGGGGCATGCAGAGGGCGGCCAATCGATGTTCCCTCTCATCAGTGTTTCTATCTATCTGTTCCTCTCCATTCCTCTCTTTAAACTCAGTTAAGAAAAAAATTAAAAAAAAAAAAAAAAACCCTTTTGCTTTTATTTTTTTATTTTTTTTAATTTTTTTTCCTCACCCGAGGACATTTTTCCATTTTTTGTACAGATAGAGATGGGAGGGAGAGAGAGTAAGAGAGAGAGTGAGAAACATCGACGTGAAGGGACACATCGAGTGGCTGCCACCCGCACGACCAATCAGGGCCGGGGACAAACTGCAACGAAGTACGTGCCCTTAGCGGGAACCGAACCCGGGTCTCTCCGGACCGCAGGCTGACGCTCTAACCGCTGAGCCAAACCGGCCAGGGCCCTTTTGCTTTTTTTTAAATTGTTGACACTGTTAATAGATGTCCCTCAGTTATCCCCCTCCACCCAGGCACCCCTAGGCCTTCCCCACATGGGCTCTGCATGTATGTTCTTGGTTAATCTCCTCTAGTCATCCTCCCACGTCCCCTCTGAGATCCATCAGTCTGTTCTGTGTGTCCATGTCTCTGGTCGTATTTTGTTCATCAGTTTACTTATTTTTATTTTTTAACCCTCACCTGAGGATGTTTTTGTATTTATCTTCAGATAGAGTAGGGGGCAGGGGAGAGGGACAGAGAGAAACATCAATGTGAGAGAGACACATTGACTGGTTGCTTTCCACATGACCCTGGCCGGAGTTGGGGATGAACCACAACCAAGGTATGTGCCCTTGACTGGAATCGAACCCGTGACTCATCTGTCCAAGGGCCAATGCTCTAACCACTGAGCTAAATTGGCCAAGACCATCAGTTTATTTTTGTTCATTATATTCCACATATAGGTGAGATCATGTGATATTTGTCTTTCTCTGACTGTCTTGTTTCACTTAGCATAATTATCTCTAGGTCCATTCATGTTATCTCAAAGGCTAAGCGATCCTTTTTTTTTTTTAAACAGCTGCATAGTATTCCATCATGTAAATGTACCACAGCTTTTTTATCCACTCATCCGCTGATGGGCACTTGGGCTGTTTCCAGACCTTAGCTATTGTAAATAATACTGTGATGAACATAGGGGTGCATATATTCTTTCTGATTGGTGTTTTGGGATTCTTAGGATGTATTCCCAGAAGTGGGATCACTGGTGTAATGGCAGTTCCATGTTTAAGTTTTTGAGCAAACTTCGTACTGTTTTCCACAGTGGCTGCACCAGTCTGCGTTCCCCTATTTGCTATTTTGCAGCCCAGGTGTGTCTGTAGTTGCAGCCATTGCAACTCAGGTGAGAGGAACTCCTGCGGGCACTGTCGTCCCCGATCTGGGTGAGATGACGTGCTGTCCGGGCCCTGCTGTACCGGCTGGGAGAGATGAGGGCATGGTGCACGTCCTCCCTGCACCGGCCGACGGGGTGCAGTCCCGTGAACTGCTCCCTCTCCTTTTGTGTGTGTCGAAATTTTCTGTTCAAGAAACCAATTCATGTCCTACAGACCTTGCTTTCAAACTTCAGTACCTTTCCTTGGAACTTCATGTCAAATTACTGATCTAAGTTAGAATGTAAACTGGTTTTTACTAACCAGCCATTCTAGTCAAGCTCTGAAGTGTATTTCTTAGTCTTTAACTTGTGATAAAGTCTGAGGAAGAGTGAAGGATTAGAGACCGTCAAGGTTTGCTGGCTTAGAGCCCTCTGGGGAAGACTGAAGTGGCCCAGGAGCTCGCTCCGCTCACCGAGCAGCACTGTTCTGTTTGCAGCTGGAAGCGCGGCTCGAGGACGCGGCGGCCGAGGCCTCCAAGGAGCGCAAGCTTCGCGAGCACAGCGAGAACTTCTCCAAGCAAATAGAAAGTGAGCTTGAGGCCCTCAAGGTAGAGCCTGGTTGGGGTCCTGATTCTTACTAACTGTGGTGGTGGGACTCGTTCTGAGTAATGTGTTTGTGGGAGCGGAAGGTCACCAGCAGCCCAGACACACCAGTGGAGCCTGCCTTTGTGACAGCTGTGATGTGTACAAACCATGTCCACTCATTGTCCTCGGGGAAGTTTCAGGCCGTTTGTAGTAAGCCCCAGTGAGCCAACACCTTAATGCCTCTACACCCGCGTTTCCGGGAAAGTTCTTTTCTTTCCCCTCACTCGAGGATGTTTTTCCATTGATTTTCAGATGGAGTGGGAGGGAAGGAGGTGGAGAGAGAGCATTGATGTGAGAGAGGCACATCGACTGGTTGCCCTCTACACGACCCCAAGCAGGACCAGGGATCGAACCTACAACCTAGGTACATGACCTTGACTGGGAATCGAGCTCGTGACCCTTTGGTCCATGGCTTGACACTCTAACCACTGAACCACACTGGCCAGGGCTCTGGAAAAGTTTTTAAAAGGTCGTGTCGTGTTGTTGACATGGAAGAGGCCCGCTGGTCATTCGTGGCCAGAGGACAGCAAGGGGGTCAGGGGAGAGGACTGTAGTGGAAAGAGGGTGGTGAGGAGGCTGGGCTCCTGGTTAACCTTGTGTGACCCCAGGTCCTTCACTTGCTGAGCCATGGTTCCCTGTTGGTGAATGGAGACAGTGGGGTTCCTCTCTCTCTTGCACCCCTACCCGATTCCTTGGTGAATCTACCACCTCCGCCCCTCCCCCCCCCCGACACATGTCCTCAAGGTGTCTGTTCTTCTCCATCATTCTTGCAGCCACCGTGTCCTGCCAGGTGCATCACACCACACGTCCCCCACCCCAGTTCTTTGTCCTGTTACCTTATGTTTACCGTCTTGTCACTTGTCGGCTGCATTGTCTTCAGTCTTGCCCCTCTGCTCCGAGAGCCACCACAGGGTGCCTGACACAGAGCCAGCCTCCGAAGAACATTGATGGGAATGGATGGCAGAATGAGGAGGCCAGGAAGACCATTCATGTCACAGTGTGACACAGCCTCTGGGGGCCCTCTTGGAGGGCAGATACTGTCACCCTCCGAAGTCTGCCTGGCCCTAGGATCACATGACCAAGCTCAGCCGTGTCACCTGGGAGGGCAAAGGAAGGGCGTCTCGAGCACCTGCACGTGGGAGGGCGGTGGGCAGCGCGACCCTGAGGGGGCACAGAGGTGTGTGACTTAGTCTAACCTTCATCTCCAGGTGAAGCAAGGAGGCCGGGGACCAGGTGCCTCCTTGGAACATCAGCAGGAGATTTCCAAAATAAAATCTGAGCTTGAGAAGAAAGTCTTGTTTTATGAAGAGGAATTGGTCAGACGTGAGGCCTCCCACGTGCTGGAAGTAAAAACTGTGAAAAAGGAGGTTCATGACTCCGAAAGCCACCAGCTGGCCCTGCAGAAAGAAATCTTAATGTTAAAGGATAAATTGGAAAAGTCAAAGCGAGAACGGTAAGTGCTCTCGAGCTCCTTCCTCAGTGTAGAAAAGGCAGGCGGTTCCCAGGCCCGACTGGAGTGTGGACACGCCAGGACTCCGGACTCTCCTCTGCTCTCCCCCTCAGGCACAGCGAGGTGGAGGAGGCAGTGGGCACGGTCAAAGACAAATACGAGCGAGAACGAGCAATGCTGTTTGAGGACAACAAGAAATTAACTGCTGAGAAGGAGAGGGTAATTCAGATCTCTGGGTGTCACCTCGGGGAGCTGTGATTTTTTTTTTTCACTCATGGGTGTTAGAAGTTTAGTATTTTAAATATTTTTATTTTAAATGAAGTAATATGTTAGTATTTGGTTAAAAGAAAACTTTCAAAATCTTCAAAAGAACTTGTAGTTTTAATAATGCTAATGTTCATTTGCAGGGTGCCAAATAACACACTGTGTGGTACGATTGTTTAATTTCAGCTTTGCTCCTTTGTGGATAAACTCACAGCTCAAAACAGACAACTGGAGGATGAGCTGCAAGACCTGGCAGCCAAGAAGGAGTCGGTGGCCCACTGGGAAGCTCAGATTGCAGAGATCATCCAGTGGTATGTTCCGCCTGGCCCAGTCCAAGGTGCAGCCCACCCAGAGGTGTGGCCAGGCCCAGGGTGCAGTTTCTCCAGCTCCCATCTCTGCTTCTGTGGCTCTGCCATTTATACCTCGTGCTGGTTTTCTGAGGCCTAGGTCCAGTTCTCTCACTGTGTCCCCAAATCGCTAATGTCTGGGGGCAGCAGTTCTGTCCAGTGACCATCACATTGAACTAGAGGTGGAGATACAGTGCCACCAGGTCACTGAGGGTGTGGGTCCGGCTGTGCAGGGACACACGCTCTTGTGACGTGGAGGCACAGCTTCCACAAAACGCTGCACAAGGGGAGGAACCCAGAGGAGCAGCGGGACCGGCCTCTACCTGAGGGGCGTTTTTCTGTCATGGTGACTGGTGTCTGGCGATAGGATGCGGGGTCCCTGTGTCCTGAGGGAGGCGGACACATTTGTGCTCTTTGGCTCTTGGCACTTACAGACCATGTTCCCTCCTGCAGGGTCAGCGATGAGAAAGATGCGCGGGGTTATCTTCAAGCTCTTGCTTCTAAGATGACCGAAGAGCTGGAGACCTTGAGGAGCTCCAGTCTGGGATCAAGAACACTGGTAGGTTTTGTCCTACAGCCCATGTTTTTATCACCAGGGAATTCATTAATAGCTTTAGCAGTTAATTACCGCGCGGTCACTTCCAGCTGAAAAAGCCAGCCCAGTTTAAGGGATACCCTCATTGTGTCTGTTTCCAGGAGCTCAGATTCTTTCGTGCTGTTCACTCGTTTAGCCATGATTGTTGAGCACCAGGCTCTGTGGTGAAATCTTCAGTTAGCAGACCTGGGTTCTGCCCTCAGGGAGATAGATGCCTTATTATTACTATTTTTGTGTTAATCTTCATCCAGTGAACCAGGGAAGGGTGCTGCAGTCAGGCTGCTTCACTTCACTGTGTCCTCGTCTTGGTCATTCATTCTCCTCCTTTTTTGTACTATTTTAGTCTTTCATCTCAGGTCGGGGGTCAGTGGTTAGAGCGTCGGCCTGCAGACCAAAGGGTAGCAGGTAGCTTCCGGTCAAGGGCACGTACATGGGTTGCAGGTTCAATCCTCAGCCCCAGTTGGGGATGAATGGGAGGTGGCCAGTCTATGCATCTTTCTCATATCGATGTTTCTCTCTCTCTCTTTCTTCTCCCTCCTTCCCTCCCACTCTCTCTAAAAATCAATGGGAAAATATCCTTGGGTGAGGATTAACAAAACAAAAAGAATGACAATTCCTGCAGTGATGAAATAGCTAGATGCTTCAAGGTAGAAGAAGATAACTGTAATCCCACAGTGCAGCTTAGGCTTGGAAGAGTCTAGTGGGCCCGAATAGAAGTGACACTACAGGGCCCATTTTATTCTTTTAAAACAATTTAGAAGTGAATTCTTTAGAAGATCTCTAAGAGAGAATAAAAGCCATAAAATGTCAAAAATAAAATTGGGTGTGATGATTTTGATAATATCTGAGAATTAGTCTTTATGATGATAAAAGTTTAAGGTTAGAAAAAGGTGAATTGCTTATTTGTTAGCGTCAATTTTTTTAAATTTGTAGCTTAAAATGTATTGTGTAATGTTCGAACCAATGTAACAGGATCCCCTTTGGAAAGTCCGCCGCAGTCAGAAGCTGGACATGTCTGCTCGGCTAGAACTGCAGTCTGCTCTTGAGGCCGAGATCCGGGCCAAACAGCTTGTTCAAGAGGAGCTGAGGAAAGTCAAAGACACGAACCTCTCCTTTGAAAGGTGCTTGTCCTGTGGTCTGGCTCTGGTAGAAGCGGGGCGCCCACGTGACCTCAGGCACACCGTGAGCTGTTTCTGCGGCCAGCACTCTTACTGTCCCCACTTACAGATGATGGGACTGAGGTGCTGGCAGGTGTCAGCCACTAAAAAAGTGCAGAGCCAGGATTTGATTGCAGACTCCCTCAGTACTGGACTGGCCTGCTTGCCTCCTCCCTGAAGTTAACTGCAGCAGCCTGGCTTTGCTCTGTGTCCCCACACGAAAGCCTAGGAACCACAAGACCCCCCGCTCAGGCAGGTGGTAGCCTGCCATCTTGCCCGTTATGGGAAAGACACAGACCTGAGATTTGAGTCACCTGGGCTGTGTGTCCTCAGAAGACAGAGGGCATGTCCACAAAGATCAGGAATGTCCAAAACTCCATTAGGGCTTGATGAGAGATTCTTTCTAAACTGTGATTTTAAAATCCACGTTTGTTTCTAATGCTGAAGTGTTTGCACTGTCCATAGCGTGCCGAATGGAGAGGCCGACCCGTGCAAGCAGGGCCGCGGAGGCTGCGGAGCGGGCCCTGTGCCGGCACCTGCCCTGGCATCAGCCCCTGCCCACGCGTCCATGCTCTGAAGCAGCACATAGATGCCCTGTTGTCTGTGTGTTTAAAGCCATGTATTTCTTATTTTAGTAAACTAAAGGATTCTGAAGCCAAAAATAGAGAATTGTTAGAAGAAATGGAAATTTTGAAGAAGAAGATGGAAGAAAAATTTAGAGCAGATACCGGTAAATTAAAATCATAAGCTTTTACATATTTTAAAAATATAAGCCTTTTTTAGTGAAATGGTTTTATTTCAGATTTAATTTCTTTTAGGTTTAATATTTTTTAGTTATATAAAGAAAGCAGTTAGCCACTCCAAAGCTAAGCAATCTGCTCTCCAAAGTTGCCCACAGTTTGTGGTCGGTTCTTGTGTTTTGTCTTGAAAGTATAGAGCAAATACATGTGAGTGCAATTAGATGTCACACCCCCATAACACAGGGACCGCTCTGTGCTGCCCGGCAGCTGGGTGTCTAGCCATTCCGTCCCCACCACCACGCGTAGCCACGTGTGTACAGCATTTCATATTTCTGTCAGTGTGTTTTGGGGATGGATGTCCAGAAATTGACTGCCGGGCTGAGGGTCAGCGTGCGTACCTTCTGCTAGGTGTTGCCGGCTTCTGCTGCAGACACTGGTGCGCTTGTGTCCCCACCACAGCAAATGCTGGGCTTCTGCCCATAGTCTCTCCCACAGAGTGTGCTCTCACACTCTGGGTTGATGAGAAGCAGCATCACAATGGAGACTTGGCTTTCATTTTTCTTATTATGAACAAGATTGAGTGTCTTTTCATACGTTTAAGGCAGCGGTTCTCAACCTATGGATCGCGACCCCTTTGGGGGTCGAACCACCCTTTCACAGGAGTCGCCTAAGACATAACAGTAGTGCCCTGGCCTGTTTGGCTCAGCGGTTGGAGCGTTGGCCTGAGGACCAGAGAGTCCTGGGTTCAGTTCCCCCTAGAAGCATGTACCCCCCCCCAAAAAAAAGACATAACAGTAGCAAAATTACAGTTATGAAGTAGCAATGAAAATAATTTTATAGTTGGGGGTCACCACAACATGAACTGTATTAAAGGGTTGCGGCATTAGGAAGGTTGAGAACCTCTGGTTTAAGGGGTATTCGTAGCTCATATTCCATGATTTATATATCCCATGTCCCCAGTTGTTCAGGTAATCCACTTGTGTTTTCTTAGACGGGTATGGTTTCAGTTTTAGAATTTAGATCACTGATCCTCTTGGAGTTTGCGGTGACGCACAGTTTGAGGAGTGAGCCCAGTTTTGTCTTTTCCCTGTGGCCCGTTAGTTGTTCAGTATCAGTTGTTAAAAAGTTCCTGTCCCTACTGATTTGACATTACTGTCATTGTGCATGATTGCCAGGGGCACCGGGGTCTGAGTCTGGATTTTCTACACTGTTCGTGGTTCATGGGCAAGAACCTCTCTTGGGTCTGTTTTAACGTCTGATAGATCACCTCCCCACCCCTTTTCTTTAGAGATTTCCAAGATGGTCTTGTTTACTCTCCCAGGTGAACTTTTATTTACTGTCCAGCTCTGAGGAAAGTCTGGGGGGCATTTTTAGTGGCACCACACCAGGTTTATCAGTTAACTGAGGGAGTCGGCATGTCGATGCTGTTCCGTCTTCCCATCTGAGCATAAGGCACAGTGTTGCATTATTACCATTGGCTCTGTTTCTTTCTTACAGGACTCAAACTTCCAGATTTTCAGGATTCTATTTTTGAATATTTCAACACTGCACCTCTTGCACATGATCTGACGTTCAGAGTAAGTAACTATTTTTAAAAAGGGAAAAGTGAATTTATGGTAAGTTAGAGATCGTGTAAAGTGATCTGACCACCTATGGGGCCCCGAGCCACACCAGTGAATTAATGTCTGACCTGTCATCTCAGTTGCACTGACCCTGTCGTTGACCAGGATGTTAAACGTGTAGGTGATAGACGTTTAAGGTATTTGAAATGTTTCCCGAGAAGCTCCTTTGAATTAAGTGAAGGTCGATTGAGCAAGTGCGCAGTATCTTCGGGAAGAACCTGCACGGGCCTCTGCCTGTGTGGTGGGTATTTCAGGTAGTTGGTAAAATACACATTCCCACACTGAAGCAAACGAAGGCTGTTAGTCATGTTCCCATTTTGGTGACTGTTTTCTGGCTCTACCCTTGGGTCTCAGTGATGGGTGCGGTGCCTTGGTGCAGTCCTGGAGTGGGAGCTCTGTGCGTAGCTGCTCGGGGCGGCCCCCACGGCAGTGGTCCGGCACCTGCCCAGCGGCGGGTGCTTTCTGCCGAGGAAGCCACTGTTGAGTTCGACGTGAACCCCGCTCCCCTGTTTATGCTGCATGTCCCCCACAGCCTTTGTGGGGGCGCTACAGTCTTTTCCTCTGTTTCCAAAACAGTAGGGATGGACTCTTAATAGCAACCCTTTGGAGCAAGCCAGAAAGTAAAAATAACGAAAGCAGATCTCATTAATGGGACTTCTGTGAGGTGTTTTGTTGGTTTTCCAGCCTTTTATTTAGAAAATTTTAAACCTGCAGCAAAGTTGAAAGAATAGTGCATTGAGCACACATATCACACCTGACGTTTTGCCACATGTGTGTTCTCTCTCCCCTCCTCCAAGGACACCCAGACTTTTCTCCCGAACTATTTGAGTGTGAGTTCTAGGTATCAGTGACCCTGGAATACTTCGGAGTTCATATCCTAAGATCAAGCCATCCTCCCATGTAACTGAGGTGTCATTGTCATATGGGCAGTGTGGTCCTGATGCCCTGGTTCTGGGTCCTGCCAGAGCATGGGAACTGCACTGAGTTGTCCTGTCTCTGCTGCCCATGCTCTGGAACAGTGCCCTCCCCTCTCCTCCTCCCTTTGTAACTTGGGGGCTTACCTCGTCCAGACCAGTTGTCTTGTGGAGTGTCCAGCTCGCTGGGTTTGTCTGACATTCCCTGTCAGATGCGGGTTGGTCACTTTGGCGGGAATTCTGAACGAGAGATGTGTTGAGCCTTGTAGAACGCTGTTTGCCCACCGTTGTCAGGGCTCAGTTTGCTCATTGGGTGGAGGTGGCATATGCCAAACCCCGCCCTTGGAAAGGGCCCCAGTGAGCAGCCAGCATGTGCCCTGTGGAGGTCTGCCCTTCAGCAGCCTTTGCCAGCTGGTTAGCATACATCACTGATCCTTGCCTAGATTGGTTTTTACAAAACCCATGCAGGCTTGCTCACGCCATTCTGTGCATACCTGTTACATTCACCTGTCAAAATGTCTTTTTGTCAGATTGGTGATGTTTGTCTTTTCCTGAAGTCGTCAGTATTTTTGTGTTTTTTAATCCTCACCTGAGGATTTTTATTCTTTTTATTATTATTTTTTTATTTTAGAGAAAGAAGGGGTGGGGGGGGAATGTTGATGTGAAAGGGAAACATCAGTTGGTTGCCTCTCGTACATGCCCCAACCAGTGATCGAACCCACAACCATTTTTTGGTGTATGAGATGACGCTCTAACCAACTGGGCCACTTTGCCAGGGCTTTTAAAAAATATTTATTGCCCAGCTGGTGTGGCTTAGTGGATGAGCGTCGACCCATGCACCAAGAGGTCGCCAGTTCAGTTCCCGGTCAGGGCACATGCCCAGGTTGTGGGCCTGATCCCCAGTGGGGGGCGATGCAGGAGGTGGCCAATCTATATTCTCTCTCATTGATGTTTCTATCTCTTTCCCTTTCCCTTCTTCTCTCTCTAAAATCAATAAAGAAAAAAACTTTTAAATTGATTAATTGATTTGAGAGAGAGAGAGAGAGAAACATCGATTTGGCGTATCAGAATGACTCCCCAACCGAGTTACCCGGCCAGGGCCTGCAGTCCTCCCTACTTATTTTTTTTTTTATTTAAAAAAATTTTTTTTTATTCTCATCTGAGGACATTTTTCCATTTGGTTGTTCAGATAGAGTAGAAGGGAGAGAAAGAGAGAGAAACATCAACGTGAAAGATACACATCGAGTGGCTGCCACTCGCACGACCCAACCAGGGCCGGGGACAAACTGCAACTGAGGTACATGCCCTTAGCGGGAACCGAACTCGGGTCTCTCTGGACCGCAGGCCGATGCTCTAACCGCTGAGCCAAACTGGCCAGGGCAGTCCTGAGTGTGCTCTGTGTGTGCCCTGTGTGTGCTCTGTGTGTATGCTGTGTGTGCCCTGTGTGTATGCTCTGTGTGTACTCTGTGTATGCCCTGTGTGTGCTCTGTGTATGCCCTGTGTGTATGCTCTGTGTGCCCTGTGTGTATGTTCTGTGTGCCCTGTGTGTATGCTCTGTGTGTATGCTCTGTGTGCTCTGTGTGCTCTGTGTATGCCCTGTGTGTGTGTGCTGGGTGTGCTCTGTGTGTGCTGGGTGTGTGCCCTGTGTGTATGCTCTGTGTGCTCTGTGTGTGTGCTGGGTGTGTGCCCTGTGTGTATGCTTTGTGTGCTCTGTGTGTGTGCTGGGTGTGCTCTGTGTGTGCTGTATATTGTGTGTGCTCTGTGTGTGTGCTGTGTGTTGTATGTGTTCTGTTTGCTCTGTGTATGCCCTATGTGTGCTGTGTGCTCTGTATGCTCTATGTGTGTGCTGTGTTCTCTGTGTATGTTGTGTGTGCTGTGTGTGTTCCATGGGTGTGCTGTATGCTCTGCGTGCATGCTGTGTGTGCTGTGTGTGCTTTTATGTGCTCTGTGTGTTGTGTGTGCATGCTGTGTGTGCTCTGTGAGCTGCGTGTGCTCTGTGTGGAGGGCCCCTCACACAGCAGTTTAGTTGACTACAACTGTAGCAAAGTGTTTCTCTGATTGGGTTCTGGGATTTCTATGTGGAACACCATCTGCAGCTGGGAGCGGCTCCTGTAGGTGCCTCCCCGGCTCACCTGTGTCCCAGTGTGCTATTTTCTTGTGCTAGCATTTATGATATTTTCATACACATGAGTGGTGTGTGGGCATCTGTGGACAGAAATAGCTTTTGATGAGTAAAGACTAGTTTCAGGAACACTCATTAAAATGAAGTCATTTTTAAGTGGTTTTAGAACTCAGCTTTAGCTTCAAATTAGCTTTAAAGCTTCAGCTCTACTTTCAAATTATGAAATTAATTTGGGAATCTTGAGTTGTTAGACTAAAACATTGCTTCCCTATGTACAAAACTTTCAGGGAGCCCTGGCCGGTTTGGCTCAGCGGTTAGTGCGTCGGCCTGCGGTCTAGAGAGACCCGGGTTTGGTTCCCGCTAAGGGCACGTACCTCGGTTGCAGTGTGTCCCCGGTCCTGGTTGGTCGTGTGGATAGCAGCCACTCGATGTGTCCCTTTCACATCGATGTTTCTCTCTCTCTCTCTCTCTTCCTCTCTCTCCCTCCCACTCTATCTGTACAAAAAATGGAAAAATGTCCTCGAGTGAGGATTAAAAAAAAAAAAAAAAAAAACTTTCAGGGAAATTCTTACTTCTGGTCGTAGGCACACAGACCTCTGTTGATGTTAAAAGTTCTTCTTGCGCCCGGCCGCTGTGGCTCGGACTGAGAATCATCCTATGAACTAAGAGGTCAGGTTCGATTCCCATCAGGGCACACGCCCAGGTGGCAGGCTCGATCCCCAGTAGGGGGCGTGGAGGAGGCAGCCAATCGATGGTTCTCACATCGATGTTTCTATCTCTCTCTCCCTTCTTCTTTAAAAAAATAAGTAAAAACCTATTTTTTAAAAATTTTCTTCTTGATCCCTGAAATGAGGTTAAGAAGCATTTGGCCATAAGGTACAGATAGAGTCACTTATGAATCACATCAGAGGGTTGGCACTTTCCAGTTCCTACCCTTTAGGTGGGCAGGGGTGAGGGCTGTAGTTGAAGGTGAGACCGTATGGCCTGTGTCTTTGCTAATGACTGTGCCTTTTCAGAGTCCACCTGGCCAGTTGGTCACCACTTCCACTGTGGAGTGCCAAGGGCAGAGGTCAGCAGGACCGCAGGCAGGGCAGCTGTGAGTGATGGGGGTGACGATGTAGTGCACAGGAGAGAGAGCCGTGCTGGCACCTCAGGTCCCCAGTGGGGTGCACGTTTTAAGTAAAGAACACAGAGTCTGAATTCTAGAGAATAAGTTTTTTCATTACCACTATTTCTTTGTTTTTTGTTTTTGTTTTTTTCCCACAGACCAGCTCAGCTAGTGAGCAAGAAACACAAGCTGCAAAGCTAGAAGTGTCTCCATCACCGTCCGTGGCTACAAGCACAGAACAGCAGGAAGTAAGACTATTGCCCCCTGACACACTGTGAGCCTCCCAGGTCTGCTCCCTACCCACTCCCGCGTGTCCATGTGCTACTCTGAGGCTGAGGCCTGCTCACTTGGTCCCACCTCGAAGCACCCAACTCTGAGCCCAACTTGCATGTAGAATTACTGTCGGTATGTCAGCTAGATGAGGGCTGCTTTGATAGGTGTGTCTCTACAGAGTCTTGAGTTAAAAATGAATTGTTCACTATTTTATTTTTATTATTTTTTTAATCATCACCCAAGGATGTTTTTCCATTGATTTTCAGATAGGGAGGGATGGAAAGAGAGAGAGAAGCATCAATGTGAGAGAGCCACATTGATTGGTTGCCTCCCACACAACCCCAACCAGGGCAGGGAATCACACCGCAACTGAGGTACATGCCCTTGACCAGAATTGAGCCCTTGGCTCTTTGATCTGAGGGCCGAAGCTATAATCACTGAGCCAACCGGCCAGGGCAGAACTGCTCACTGTGGATCAGTTCTAGAGAGGAGATCCCACAAAGGGTCTGCATGTAGAGCGGTGCTGAGGTAGGACTGCTCACCTGTCCCTGCTTGTTTCCCAGGACATGGCCCGTGCCCCTCAGAGGCCACCCGCCGGGCCGCAGCCCACCTCGCAGGCCCTCACTCTGGCTGGACCAAAGGTAGACTTTCCTTTTCACCCCGGCACCTTCTCGGTTTTGGAAGATAACCGTTTTGTAAATAAGACAGACATTTTTGTAAGTGCAGTGAACCTTTGTGTCTTGTTAGTGGTTCTAAACAGTGTGCTATTCAGGAGTATCAGGACCCTATGCTTTCCTAACGAAACCAGGGGTGCAGGGTGCATTCTCACTGAAAAGGGTCTGAGTTCAATCTCCCGGTCCCCTCTCCTCACTCTCCAGATCAACTTCTTTTCTAATGCAACTGCTCTGTTATGTGTCTAGTAAGTTCCTTCTCCAAATTTATTTCCTTTTATCTGTCTGCACATAGAACCTTAGAGAACCGTGTGGTCTGTGGGAGGGAAGTTTCCCCAGTGTGACTGGAATTGCACTTGAGTGTGCACTTCTAATTTATTTTTTTTGTAAGAGTGTGTTAGAGAGCCATGCATGCCAGTGTACACAGCTCAGCACAGGTCATGGCGTTCCAGGTGTGACAAGGTCCAAGTTTCGAGCTCAGTTGGCCTTTGGTCTTATGTACTTAGATGCTTTTTTTCCTTAATGTAGACATGGCCTCTCTAGGGTTTTAGCCATTGATGGCCATGCCAAGTAGAGATAAGAAACCTGATTTTGTTTGAGACTGATGAACGGTTCAGCTGTTGGACTTTGATTCTCGTGGAGTCAGGGAGCAGGAAGACCGCACCCCGGATTCTGTGTTGATCGCTGCTGCTGCTTGCAAAGGTCCCACCATATTTATGTCCCCTGAGTAAAGACGTTTTGACTCTGCGTGGTATCCTTGTGGGCACCCTGTCCGACGTAGCGCACAGCCTGCTTCTCCATTGGCCTGTCTCCTCCACTGTCGACTGCGCCACGCTGTCGCTTTCCACAAGGGCAGCATTCTCCCCGCTCTTGCTACTGGGAACAGGGCTGCTGTTTGTTTCCTGTGTGTGTGTTGGTCTCACATGGGGACTGCTCTGGGTGGGAGCCCAGCTCATTGGGGCTCCAGGTGCCCCCAAGAGCCTCTCAGAGATGCGGGGCTCACACCAGAACACAGGGCAGCCACGCACCTGCTGCGAGGCCAGGCAGCCTCGCTTTTTGGCCAGACTTCTTTCTGGAGGAAGCTTATGGTGGCATTTCTTTGGCTCATGGCCCCCGGGTGGGTGTTCAGCACTAGGCTTTGGTTAGCACTGCTCAGGACCATGCATATGTCAGAGTAAGATCACACATTGTCTACATTCAGGGTCTTGCCCAATGTGTTTATAAATTTGACCCACCTCTTCTCAAAATGTGTGCTTCACCTTCTTCGTGCTCTTCCTGCAGCCCAAAGCCCACCAGTTCAGCATCAAGTCCTTCTCCAGCCCCACTCAGTGCAGCCACTGTACCTCCCTGATGGTGGGGCTCATCCGCCAGGGCTATGCCTGTGAGGGTGAGTTGTCCACCTTTTGGCCACGTGAGGCCACCATCTCGGGAGGGTGTTACTGTAAAGGCAGATAAGGCTGAAACGAAGCCCAGTGGTGAATGAGTTGAGGGTGGCTTCACTTCCTTCTGTGAAATCTCCGTAAAGGTTGCAAGCTGAAAACCTGGATCTTTGCTGCAGTGGGAAACACACTGGCATGGAGTGACCCAGGTCATCTGTCAGTAACTGTTGATCACAGAGTGTACCGTGCACAGTCATTCCGAAGATGAGCCAAAGAGAGGAAAAGGGCTGGAAGACCTTCCACTGTCGAGTCCTCTGGAGAAAAGCACCACTGCTTTTCTCTCAATGTGGTCGCTGTCGGCATTTCAGGCCTGCGCTATGCCCTGGCCCCGTGCCACGCTGCTCACGTTTAAGTGCAGCTAGCCAAGGCCACAGATGCCAGTGACACCCGGGGCTGGAGCCGGCCCTGAGCACCCCATGCTGGTTAGAGCCTCATGCTCATTGTACGTGACAGCAGATACCTTTCCTACTGGTACTTAAACTCGGCCAGTCTTTTGATTGGCTGCCAGGACTCTTGTGTGTCACCAAACCTTCACCTGTCACAGACCATGTTGTGTCCTGTTGGGTGATGTTGAAACTTAAGTATGTGGGAAAACAAAAGACCCAGCTTTGTGACAGTCCTCTAGTGTCAAGGAATCCTGGTGGCCCTTCGTGCCGCTGTGGCACATTGAAAAGTCATCATCCTGAGTCCCCAAGCTGTGGTGGGAAGTGCTCAGAAACTGCCACGTGGGCGTTCCCTGGTGGCCTCCGGGCGCACGTTTCTGACACGCTGCTTTCTCGATGTTTCAGTGTGCTCCTTTGTGTGCCACGTGTCCTGCAGAGACAGCGCTCCCCAGGTGTGCCCCATTCCTCCCGAGCAGTTCAAGCGGCCCCTGGGTGTGGATGTGCAGAGGGGCATAGGGACCGCCTACAAGGGCTACGTGAAGGTAGGACCAGCTCAGCTCTCCTGTCTGGGTGTGATGATCCTCATGCCAGTCCTGGGGACCCATAGCAACACACTCAGAGTCAGGTCACTGTCCTGCCTCCTGGCCATGCGCTTAAAGACAGAATTCCAGAGCCAAGTGCTGTTGGAAGACCTCAGTGCCTGCATGCCTGAGTACCTGTCCAGCTGCAGCTCTGAGGTGCTCTGTGCTGTGAGCATACCTGCTTGCTGCGTTGTCCACCTCGTCTCTACGTAACCTTCTGTCAAGTGCAGAGCCTTCTGCAGCAGTGCCCGGACCTGGCCCAGAGAGCTCTGGCCGCAAGTCAGCCAGGGGCGAGAAGGAGCTGTCTGTGAGGAGTGGGCCAGCAGCAGTGGGAGGGAGACGGTGACCAGTGGCACCTCCAGGAAGTCCCACATGGCCTGCGGCCTCGCAGTGGCACTTCCCGGATGGTTTGTGACTGGCCTCACTGGCCCAGTGAAACATGGTCCCTGTTTATCTGTAGGTCCCAAAGCCTACCGGGGTGAAGAAAGGGTGGCAGCGGGCGTACGCTGTGGTCTGTGACTGTAAGCTCTTCCTGTACGACCTGCCGGAAGGAAAGTCCACCCAGCCCGGCGTCGTCGCCAGCCAGGTCCTGGATCTCAGGTCTGTGCCTGTTCTCTGGTCTTCGCTTGTTTGTGTTCCACCAAAGTGAGAGTTTGTTGCTTGATAACTATTAACTTTATTTATATCTCCACACCCTTAATCATTGTGCCATTCCAAAAACAGGTACGTAAAGTACGAGCCGGAAACTTCCTGTTCTAGATCTTTTTGCACTGAAAAATTTGCCCAATAAGCATTTAACATAAGAAAGCCACACGCCCCAAGGACATGTAGACAATATCCAGAGGTGTGTTGCATGTTCTAAGGGGTCTATGCTCTCCAGGGCCTGACAAGTAGACCCTTGTTTGTGACAGCAGTCTCAAGCCTGGGCTGTGTGACCCTAATGTTTGCTGCTTGGGGCACCTCTGACCTTTTCCGTTCTCGTCACGTGCCTTCCTGGCACCAGACACACAAAGGCAGCCTAGCATTCTCCTTCCTTTGTGGCTTCTCTTTTAGTTACATCTGACTCTCCGCTTCCCATTTGTCCAATAGCCATAGTAACGCTACGGAGGTCGGAGTATGGTTGTGAGGATTAACAGGTGGACGTGCTGGACACAGGGCCTAGCATGTACTCTCCCACCCTCTCACCCACCTCCAGTGCCGCACAGGATGGCAAGTAAACAGATGTTGTGAGTGTGCTGGCGTCTGCCTGGGGCTGGGCCCAGCCTCCAGCCTCAGTCCAGCATTGGTTCTGGGGGGAGGGGAGCTGTGGCAGGTGCCCTTGAGGGGACAGTGATGTGTCAGAACCGCCTCCACAGTGGTTCCTACTCTCTGTGTTCCCAGTGCATGGGCAGCATGAACAGCTGGGGGTCTGTGTTTTGGGAAGTCCCTGGAAATCCTGCTTGTCCCTAGCTGTGCACGGGTGTGCCCTGGCCTAGCAAAGAAGAGGCCGCAGGCGGACGTCTAGGGGCAGTGTGCTGGACGTCGAGCCCAGGGTTTAGCGTGTATTGGAAACGGGGCCGCCATGGTTATCAGCACATTGCAGCCAGGTGACTGCCTGATTGTAGCCACACCCAGGCCTGATCGATGAGGTGGGATTTGTCACAGGAGCAACTGACACAGACTAAAGCCCCTCGGGAGGGGCTTCTCTTCTCAAATGTCCCGAACAGCGAAACACACTCGGGGTCCCGAGTTGTGTATCAGCTTTGTCAGTGGAAGCGTTTTCTTACCCAGGTGGAAGTGAGGGGCCTCCCTCATATTCGCTGAACTAGCCACGGAAGTATCCTTACTTGTAAGATTTTGATACCAGAGTGTGGAGGACAGGGCCTCGTGTGTGTGTTTGTCCCCAATCCTCTGGATGTGCGTTTCTTGCAGAGATGAAGAGTTCTCAGTGAGCTCGGTTCTGGCTTCCGACGTCATCCATGCTTCACGCCGGGACGTTCCGTGCATATTCAGGGTAGGCTCTTTCTGTTGTTTAGAGATGTTTCATTAATCATTAAAAATCGTGGTTAAAATGAATTCATCTGAGCATGTCACGATGCCGTCGGAGAGGCCAGCACATGTTGGCCAGGCCCCCATTTCTCCACCCTCCTATCTAGCTCCACATTCTATCACCCACCTGTGTGTCCACTCCACTCAGCACGCAGCATTGCCCGCTGCCCAGGGCTATCCCCACGTTTCTGGCCCTCCCTCCCACCCTGCGTCTCAGTCACTCTAGTTACAGTGCACTTGAAGCTGGGTGTTTCCTTTTCCTCCTGGGGCTTGCTGGCCGTGATCTGGAGCAAAATGGTCAGCCGGCAGCCGCTGCTCCTGAGCACGCTCACTGGCTGAGGCAGTGTCCCGCTGAGTCGTTAGAGGTAGTGGCAGGAGGGAGCTTCCGGGACATTGGGAAAGATCACCTGGCCGCCCACTGGGAATGCTCATTAAGTTGCATCTCTGTGTAGAAAGCACCTCGTGTACCATACAGAGAACTGCCGTCCTCGGGCACTTCAGAGAGGGTCTTTCGGAGCAGCCGAAGCCGTGCGTGTGCCCTGTGTGGGGCTCACAGGACCCTGCTTCGTTTGAGAGCCTGTCGTCTGTGCACATGTCCGGAGGATCTTGTTCAGTTACATGGTCATTCAGGAGAGCAGCTTTAAAGTGGACATGTCCACAGTTACGGCAGAAGCAGAATGACTGAAACCTGATGGGGGGGACACAGGAGGCCTGTTCATAGCTGTCCCTGTGTACATCGCAGAGGGGCCACTCAGATCGAGGGCCAGTGGAGGTTTTAACCCGGCAGTCGCCTTTGACTGTGTCCTTCCTGCTCTTCTAGTGTCGTGGTGGCCAGGACGGGCGTCTGTGCTATGGTTTGGTCGTCTTATGGCTCCTCTCTGTTTTGTTTTCTGTCATGAAGGTGACAGCCTCTCTCTTAGGTACACCTTCTAAGACCAGCTCACTACTCATTCTGACAGAAAACGAGAATGAAAAGAGGAAGTGGGTTGGGATTCTGGAAGGACTGCAGTCCATCCTCCATAAGAACCGCCTGCGGAACCAGGTGGTGCACATCCCGCAGGAAGCCTACGACAGCACGCTGCCTCTCATTAAGGCCGTCCTGACGGCCGCCATCCTGGGTACGTGCTCGGCCCCTCGGAGGCTCCGTCTCCTCCAAGATGAGCAGAGTGTTCCCAGAGGATCTCGGCCCCGATTGTGCTGTCCATTTGAAGTTAGAATTTCCCGTGTTCTGAGAAGCAGATAGTCTATGCCAACAACTGATGTGCTTCGTGTTTCGCCCCTTCTGCCTCACCAGACGGAGATAGGATTGCAGTCGGCTTAGAAGAAGGACTCTATGTCATCGAGGTGACCCGAGATGGTGAGTGGGCTGGGCTGTGTCCGCCTGTGCTGTAACGTCCCGCCTGATTAGTGCAGACACAGCCTCTGGCAACCTGGAAGGGTTGAGGTGGTGGCACTGGGCACGTCAGTCGTCACCCCATCAGAGAACTTTGTAACGAAAGGGAAAGGCAACTGCCAAGAAAAATTATTTGTAACGAGACTAATGTTCAACAAATGCAGTGCCTTTGAGTGTCCCCTTGTGCCACTGACTGAGGCCAGCTTCTGCCCTCGGGCACGGTGGTGGGTGGGCTGAAGTGTGCCTTACATTCTTCAGGGAGGGGAGCGAGCAGGGAGCCGGCCCAGGGAGCTTCCCAGAGGAGAAGGCTACTTCGTCCCCATTGCTCTGGCATCTCACTGAGACTTTCCTTCCTTGGCTGCAGATTGTGACATTTTATTCTTCCAGTGAGAAAGGCTGAAGCACCCTCCTCTCCCCTCTTCACCCCCTGGGTCCAGGGACGGAGGGGTCGGCATTCTAGAAGGACTGAGGGACTAGGATCACTGGGCCCTGTGGCCTGGCTGTTCCATGGTGGACAGTGGCCCCTTCCCGATAGCTGGTGTCCCTGCACACCATGAAGACCAAGGGGCTCTAGCTCCAGTTAGGGCATCAAGAGTGTTGGGTGAATTTGGGGGTCCAGGGAGGGGCAAATGCTTTCAGAGTGTTTATCTTAAGGATCCAGTGACCTTGGAGATAGTCCTTTGTTCCCCAGATGCAACCCAGGGGTTCTTGGCCTCGGTGATGAGTGGGCAGGAGGCCCAGGGGCCGTGCGAGTGTGTGTGAGGTGGCAGGCAGACACGGGGTGGGCGAGGCAGCTGGGGCACGTGGCAGTGAGGCTGACCTGCGCTGGGAGAGGGTGGAGGGCGTTTGCCAGCTGGCGCCTGAGTGGGACTGGGACGCTGGTCCGTCCCTGCTCTCGGGCTCACACCTTGTCCTCCCTGCAGTGATCGTCCGTGTTGCGGACTACAAGAAAGTGTACCAGATTGAGCTCGCCCCCAAAGAGAAAGTCGCGGTGCTCCTCTGCGGCCGGAACCACCATGTCCATCTCTGCCCCTGGGCTGCCTTCGATGGCGCCGAGAGCAACGTTGACATCAAGCTTCCGGAAACAAAGGGTTGCCAGCTCATTGCGATGGCAGCGCTGAAGAGGAGCCCCGCCACCTGCCTGTTTGTGGCGGTGAAGCGGCTGGTCCTGTGCTACGAGGTCCAGAGAACTAAGCCCTTCCACAGGAAGGTCACTGAACTCGTGGCCCCTGGCAATGTGCAGTGCATGGCCGTGCTCAAGGACAAGCTCTGTGTTGGCTACCCCTCGGGGTTCTCTCTGTTGAGCATCCAGGGAGATGGGCAGGCTCTAACCCTGGTAAATCCCAGTGACCCCTCGCTCGCGTTCCTCTCACAACAGTCTTTCGATGCCCTCTGTGCGGTGGAGCTTGGAAGTGAGGAGTACCTGCTCTGCTTCAGCCACATGGGACTGTACGTGGACCCGCAAGGCCGGAGGGCGCGTGCGCAGGAGCTCATGTGGCCTGCGGTGCCTGTCGCCTGTAGTATGTATATGTTTTCTGTTGCCATACCCCTGTCGCTGCTCTTAGCCTGTCAGCATGCGTTCAGTTTTGCTTCAGTTCATCTCCGGTTCCCTCTGCCAAGGAGCTAGGGAGGTGCCAGGAGGGGTGGGCTCCAGGGTTCTGCCGTGGGAACTGGTCCTGGCACCGACCTCAGGCCGGCTGTGGGTGGGCTTACAGGGGCCACAGGCCCACTTCCCACTCACCAGCCTGGCTGCCCACCAGTGATCATCTATAAACAAAAACAAGCTAGAGGATTTTAGGGTGGCCAGAAGAAATTCTGCTCTCCTGTCTGGGTTGGGGGCCCTCTTGGACAGATACTGTCCTGAGGCAGGAGCCGGAAGAGAGCCGAGTTAGTCACGTAGCATAAATGCTTTCTGTGTGAATGGTGGCGCTGGCAAGTCACGGAGGCCCTGGAGTCTGGGCTCCGTGGGTCACTTCCTGCCTGGCCTGCTGTCTGATCACCTTGAAAAGACCCTGCCCTCAGCGCACACCACTGGAGAGGTGTGGTCAGTCTTCAGTGTCGAATCAGCAGGCCTGCAGAGTCCAGGGAGTGATTGGTCTCGGAGACAGCAGGGGTGGGACTATGGGGTGGGAAGTAGGTGTCGCATTTTCCCTTAATTACCTAAAAGTACAGCCTTTTGTCTGCCTCCTTGCTGGCTTTGCCAAGGTGGCAGAGAACCCAAGGGTGTTGGGCCCAGGAGCTCTTGGGGCTCAATGTGTGTGCTGACTCAGCCCTCAGCCCTCGGCCAGGGCTGGGGCAGTGCAGGCAGCCCCGAGCCCACCGCTATAACTCCCAGGCCGTCCCTCCATCCCTCCGCACCCGATGGTCTTTGTGGACAGCAGTACAGGAACAGCCTCAAAACCACATGGTTACTGCTCATCGGGGTCTTTTTTACTAGAAAAGAAAAAAAGTGACCAACCCATGGAGCCCAGACTCCAGGTGTCCATGTGTGCGCCGTGTGGACACCTGATGTTCTCGGTTCTGCCTCCACTTTGTGGCTCTCGTTTTCTCCCTCATGCACGATGCAGACATGAATCAGCCTTAAAGCTGCTGGACTAACCCTGTTCACAGCCTGAGCTGGGCACCCGTGTGCACTCAGCCTCCCCGTCACCTGGGGGAGCGTCACCAGCCCGTCTCCCTGACCCACGTAAGCACACAGCCGTTCGGGCAGACTCCACGCCCATGTTCTTCCCATTGATACCATCTTTGCAGTTTAAGCTTTTCTTTGGCCTGGACATCTGTTTATCACACACAGCCCTATCTCATCCTGGCTCCTTGCGGATGGCGCCCCACATGGTCACAAGGAAGGGACACTGCCTAGAAGCCCAATCAGGACAGGGTCCTCTGAGAGCTCGTTCAGGGTCCTCTGGCTACCTTTTTGCATGTGGCACTCAAAAAGACGGCCTCGTGGTGTCTGAGCTGTCACTTCTGAGACAGGCTGGTGACCTGCTCCAGCATCCTGTCTGCTTTCTAACCTTGTTTTATTTTTCTATCGTCTTCAAAAGAAAAGGCTGATCGTGCCGTCTGTTTGGAACGTAATAGCAACACAAGAGAAGCTTTTAAAAACTCACCTTCTGTTAGACTGACCTGAGGGAGACATAACTTTCAGGCAAGGAGGTAGAGGGATGGGAACCAGGTTGAGGAGGAGCCGCCTGCAGGCTGTTTCTGCAGGTGAGGCCGGGACACTGGTGACGGTGGGGTCAGTGTGACAGTCAGTGTGCCTCAGACTGTGAGGAGCACGGACACCCGCCACCGTTCCTCTGTTACATTTATCCTGCCATTTGTAGTGCGGGGAAGCCTGCAAACCTCAGGTGGCAGGTGGGTCAGCAGTCTCGGGCTCGTCTTTGGTGTGCTCGTTGGCTTTTCCGTCACCACCTGATGGTGTGCCATCACTTAGAGCGAGCAGGGAAACAGTTCCTGCCCTTCACGCGTGTCAGAACAGACTAGAGGGGTGCCTGACAACGCCCCGGAAGACGAGGCTTGTACAAGTCCGGGTGTTCAGTGGGGCATGGTTGGGCGAGGTGGTCACCCCAGAGCTAAGCAGTGGTTTCTGTGTGTTTAAAGATTTACCCAGAAAGTTGACTTCTTGGCATCTCTTATAGAAGGAATTTGCTTCACAAACAGGACACTCGGCCCCTCCCTGAATTACAAGTGTCGAGCCTAAAGCATAAGCTTCTGCAGTGACCTGGTGGGAAAGCCAAAGGCGAAAGCTGACCTAAAACCTCCAGCCCTCCTGCTGCAGGGTTGAAAGTGCTCCTTAAGTCCGGGAGTGACAGGGCGCACCAGTGTGTGGCTATGCGGGTCTGAACCCCTGGAAGGCGCACTCTAGAGGGGGTGTCTGCGGCTGCCCCCTAGTGGCCCTCTGCACCTTCTGGAGGCCCAGGTGGTGGCCTGGCCGCTGCCCTGGGGGTGGAAGGCCAGGCCCAGGCCGTGCTGTTCCTTCACCGTGCTTTGCTCCATCCGTGCCAGGTTGCAGCCCCTCGCATGTCACCGTGTACAGTGAGTACGGCGTGGACGTCTTCGATGTGCGCACCATGGAGTGGGTTCAGACCATCGGCCTGCGGAGGGTAAGGCCCGGGGTGGGCAGGCAGCTCCCTCCCGCTGTGGGCCAGCTGCATGTCTACCGCCCTCTGCTCCCCAACAGATAAGACCACTGAACTCGGAAGGCACTCTCCACCTCCTCAGCTGTGAGCCTCCCCGCTTGATCTACTTCAAGAGCAAGTTCTCAGGTGAGCCTCTCTGCAGGGGGGTGGGGAGCCGGCCTCTGGGGTGACCTCTGTCCCTCTCTGTCCTGCACGGCACAGTGTGAGGGCCACACCTGACTGCAGGTGCCACCCCTCATCCCTTCAGGAGCAGTTCTCAACGTGCCCGACACCTCTGACAACAGCAAGAAGCAGATGCTTCGGACCAGAAGCAAGAGACGGTTTGTGTTCAAGGTACCGGAGGAAGAGCGGCTGCAGCAGCGGCGGTAAGACAGGAGCCATGGCCTTGCTGTGGGCGGCGCGGTGTCGGGCCAAGAGGACTTCCCTAGATCACGAACCCCGAAATGTCTTCTTTCCCCAGGGAGATGCTTAGAGACCCGGAGTTGAGATCCAAAATGATATCCAACCCAACCAACTTCAATCACGTGGCCCACATGGGCCCTGGCGATGGGATGCAGGTTCTCATGGACCTGCCTCTGGTGAGCTCTGGGGCGCCCATCCCCACTGCCTTGTCCTCTGCGCACCTGCCGTCACACCTACCGTCACACCTGCCGCCAGGGCGGCTGTGCGGGCGCTGCCAGCCTCTCCCCACCCCTGCCAGACTTCCCTTGACCGTCTGGTGCTCTGAGCAGACCTGGAGTACCTGACACACGGCTCTTGGGTGGGACTTGGCGAGCGCTCCCCCACAGGGCGGTGTCCCAGTCTGCCAGGGGCACTTACATTTCATAACAGAACTACTGTCAAAAGTGACTTCCAAATAACATCTTAGTGTGAGCAGGTAACATTTTTTCCTCTTCACTCTAAAAGAAGGGTTTTCTGTCGGGGTCAAGCTGGTCTGCCATGACTGTCGACGACCCAGCAGGGCCTTCCAGCCCCTTTCGCTGGCTGAGGTCCCGGCCTCGGCTGTGGCCCCGCTGCAGCTTCACAGCTGGCCACCTGCTGGTCACCAGGGTGCCTGAGGGCTCACATGTGTTTCCTCTGCCAGAGCGCTGCTCCCCCACCCCAGGAGGACAGGCCCAGCCCCGTCCCCAGCAGCCTGGCACGGCAGCCTCCACTCAAGAACAAGCCCTATGTCTCGTGGCCGTCGTCAGGTACCAAGGGTGTCGAGGCCAGGGTCGGGGTGGGGGAGGCCGGGCTCCTTTCCCTGAGGTGACAGCATCCTTGTGCCCCAGGTGGGCCCGAGCCCGGCGTGGCAGTGCCTCTAAGGAGCATGTCCGACCCTGACCAGGACTTGGACAGAGAGGTAAGGCCTGCCCAGTGACAGACGCGCCCACAGGGAGGAAAGTCCAAGTGCTGGACTTGGAGACACACTTCAGCTCCCCTGGAGCAGCCGTCGGGCCCAGGGTCACTGGGGGATGTGGCCGAATCCCCACTCACAGCAGGAAGCGCAGCATGAGGACTGGGACCTGGACGGTCGTCACCGCCCCCCGGAGTCCTGCGCTCATGACTTTCCGGGCTATGCCAATGGGGGGTGGGGTGGATGATGTGAGCTCTGTGGCCCTCACTTGCGGGGGAAGGGTGGCTGTCCACCTCCGGTGATGCTGGGCAGCGGCCCCTCAGTCAGGCTGAGACCTCTGATGCCCGGGGCTGGCCCAGCGGGGAGAGTGCAGCCAGGAGCAGTGGGGGGCTGGGCTCTGGGGTGCTGGCGGGGCTGGCCCAGTTGGGAGAGTGCAGCCAGGAGCAGTGGGGGGCTGGGCTCTGGGGTGCTGGCGGGGCTGGCCCAGCGGGGAGAGTGCAGCCAGGAGCAGTGGGGGGCCGGGCTCTTGGGGGTTGGCGGGGGCACTGCAGCAGGGACAGTGCCTCCTGAGGGAGTCCAGCCAGCTCCCCGAGACCTGTGCAGATCAGCGGGTGGTGCCAGCACATCCCGGGGAGCCCCTGTTTCGAGGAGCCTTCCCTGGTGACCACTCAGGGTCAGAGTTCAGGGCTCCCAAGGGAACCACCTTGGCTAGGTTTTATTTCGGTGTTTCAGAACTGCTCTCGTGCATGATGAGGTGCACCTCTGGGCCTCAGTCCCCCAGGTGAGACGGGGTGCAAACACTCCTGCCCCTGGGGCTGAGGCGAGAAACGTCTGGCACTGGGGGCTTCGAGGACCGAGTGCAGGTCTTTCTGCCCTTGGGGATGCTCATGCAATAGGGGGCACGGAGCTGGATGGAGAGGCCAGCTGCACCCTTCCTCTCCCACCGTCCCTCCCGGGCCACCGTCCCTGCCAGCACGCCCTGCCCTCCTCCTCGAGGTGCCCGCTCCCTCCACGGCGCACTGCAGCCCCGTTCTCTCCCTGACTTGCAGAAGCTCCGGCAGTTGTGGCTGTTTGTTGCCAACACTTTTCCCAGTATCAGTTATCTTTTAATTTTGTCTTTCCCTTTTAAGGGTGTTTCATTGTACAAGAATGTTTTATTTTCACGCAGCTTAGTGTGTCTTTCTCAGTTAAGGTAGATTATAATTCTCGTGTCATCTCTGAGAACTTGGCAGCGTTTTTATTGTTCGCCGTTGCGTCGTGAAAACCTGCAGTGTGTGAGACACGTGTTTCAGATGCGGTGTGTGTGAGTGAGGTGTGGTATTGGGGATGGCGCGGTGTCCGCGGGAGTGTGGCGTCTCCACGTGCTGGCCAGGCTCCGTGGTGCGGGTCTGGGTCCCCGACACTGGGCACCGGGCTCCGTGCTCCGCGCTCCTGCCAGGTCGCCCACTGCCTGTGGTTCCGGCAGACACCTTCCACCTGGTGGGGAAGTGTCTGTCTTCCTGGCTTGGGCAGGGTTCTCAGCAGGAGGGGTGATGGGGGTTAACCCGATGCTCCCTGACGTTTTCCAAAGTGACTTCTTTCTTGTCTCCACCCTGCTGATGTCGCAGTTAGAGTGTGGATCTCCTTTGTCTGAAGTATGATCTTGTTTAGCACACTGATACACTCAGTTTGTGGGCATCTTGTTGGCAGCTTGTATCGACCAAGCTGGTCTGTACCTTCTGTGTTTCGTGCTGACCGTGGCCAGCTTTGACCTTGGGCTCTGCTCAGGGAGTTTGCATTTCTTGTTGCCATGCTGTGGGGTTCTTTCCTGGAGCGCGCGTGGCGTTGGATGACTTCAGAGGTGGGTCTTTTGTTGTTTTGTTTTTTCACTTTTTTTCCCTCAACTTTCTATTTTGAACATTTTCAAACATCCAAAGAAGTTGCAAGAATAGTGGACTGAACCACCCAGATAAGTGTTACCTCGCGCATCTTTCCCCGTGTGATTTTTGGGGGAAGAGTTGCAACATCCCAGGACCCCTGAGAGCGAGCCATCTCCTCCCCATCCCAGTGGCCACACTCAGCTCGCACAGCCCTCGTCGCCCCATGGGCCGTCCTGCCGGCACCCTGCTGCCCCAGGGCCGCAGGCACCACCGAGTCTCTCGGTCTTTAGTCTGCATCCAGCCTTCGTTCTCTTGTGGCTTTGAATTGGTTGTGAAAGTATCGTTCTCTTGGAAAATGTCCAATCAAGGCTTATCTGATTTTTTTTTTTTTTTTTTTTTGTGGTACGTGCCCCTAGCGGGAACCGATTCCGGACTCTGGTCCGCAGGCTGACGCTCAGCCGCTGAACCAAACTGGCCAGGGCTTGTCTGATTTTTGACTTGGGTAAAGTCCCCCCACCTCTCTCCCAGCCACCTGGTCCCCACAGGGACCGACAGTCCAGTGTGTGAGCATGTGTGTGCTCACTCGCACACTTTCTGAACGGCGTCCGCAGGCCACACAGCCCGAGCCCTTGCCCCGAGTCGGTCTGCACGGCCAGGCCTGCCCCCAGCGTCCTCCCCACACTGCCCGCTGCAGGACCCAGTCCAGGGTCACACATACATCTAGCTGCCCTCTGTCCGTAGTCTCTTATTCTGGAACAGTCTTCGGTCTTTTTTTGGCTCTTCGATGCCGTTATTTTCTAGACGCTCCTGAGTCAGGGTTTGTCTTGAGGTCCAGGCTGCGTGTCACAGGCAGCACCTCAGAGCACGTGGCGAGCTCAGGTGGGCACCGGAGGGCACCGTTGGTCCTGCACTGGCCTTGTTCGTTTTCCTTTAAATTTAAGTGAAATTCACATAAAGTAATAATTTTGAAGTGAATAACTTGTTTGTTTTTTTGGTTTTTTTTCATCCTCACCCAAGGACATTTTTCCATTTTTTTGTTCAGACAGAGCGGGAGGGAGAAAGAGGAAGAGAGAGAGAGAAACATCGACGTGAAGGGACACATCGAGTGGCTGCCACCCGCACAACCAACCAGGGCCGGGGACAAACTGCAACTGAGGTTCCCCTTAGCGGGAACCGAACCCGGGTCTCTCCGGACCACAGGCTGACACTCTAACCTCTGAACCAAACCTGCCAGGGCTGAAGTGAATAATTTGGTGGCTGTTTAGTACATTCATGATGCGGTACAACCACCAACTCTGACTAGTTCAAAACATCTCCATTACCCTAAAGTAAAGCCCCTCACCCATTCAGCAGTTCTCCTCATAGTCTCCCCTCCCCCTTCCCCAGCCTGGCAGCTGCCGCTCCCTGTGCCTGGGCTGCCGGCTCCGGGCGTCCACGGTGGCATCACAGCAGAGCCTGCTGGGCCTGGCTCCCTGACTCAGCCTCGTGCCTGCAGGGTCCTCCACGTAGCTCGAGGGTCCTCTCAATGCGACGATCCCGTGTGCGGTAGCACGTTTCCTGTGTTCATTGGTCTGTGGATGGGCTGACTCAGGGTGTCTCACCTCTTGCTATTATGAGTAGTGCTGCTCTGAACATGTGTGTACATGTATTTGTTTAAGTACCTGTTTTCACTTTTTTTTTGTTAATCCTCATTTGAGGATATTTTCCCATTGATTTCTGGAGAGAGAAGTGGGGGGTAGGAGAGAGAGAGAGAAACGTCTATGTGAGAGAGAGACATCAGTCATTTGCCTCCCACACGACCCCTACCAGGGCCGGGGACAAACTGCAGTTGAGGTACGTGCCCTTAACGGGAACCTAACCTAGGCCTCTCTGGTCCGCAGGCCGATGCTCTACCTGCTGAGCCAAACCAGCCAGGGCAGTTTCTAATTTTGAAGTCTAGTTTATTTTTCTTTTGTTGCTTATGCTTTTGATGGCATTTCTAAGAATCCATTGCCAAATCCAAGGTCATGAACATTTATTCCCATTTTCTTCTAATAGTTTTATGGGGTCAACTTGTATATTTAGATCATTGATCCATTTTGAGTTAATTTCAGTAGATGGGATGAGGTAGAGGTCCGTCTTCATTGTGTGTGGAGTTCTAGCACCATTGTAGAATAGCCTGTTCTTTCCCCCCATTGAATGGTCTTGGTGCCCTTGTCAAAATTTGATTGACCAGCCCTGGTCGGTTTTGCTCAGTGGTTACAGCGTTGGCCTGCAGTCCAGAGAGACCCGGGTTTGGTTCCCACTAAGTGCACGTACCTCGGCTGCAGTTTGTCCCCGACCCTGGTTTGGTCATGAGGGTGGCAACCACTCGATGTGTCCCTTTTACATCAATGTTTCTGTCTCTCTCTCTCTCTCTCCCTCTCACTCTATCTGAACAAAATATCGAAAAATGTCCTCGGGTGAGGATTAAAAAAAAAAATTTAATTGACCATTGCCCTGGCCAGTTTGGCTCAGCAGTTGGAGTGTTGGCCCGAGGACCAAAGAGTTACAGGTTCAATTCCGATCAAGGCACGTACCTTGGTTGTGGTTCATCCCCAGCCTTAGTCAGGGTTGTACAGGGGGCAACCAGTTGATGTTTCTCTCCCCCCCCCATCTGAAAATAAATGGAAAAATAACTTCAGGTGAGAATTAAAAAATTAATTGACTAGCCCTGGCCGGTTTGGCTCAGCGGTTAGAGCGTCGGCCTGCGGACCAGAGAGACCCGGATTTGGTTCCTACTAAGGGCACATAACCTCAGTTGCGGTTCGTTTCTGTCCCTGGTTGGGGTTGTGTGGGTGGCCCAGTCGATGTGTCTCTTTCTCCCTTCCTCTCTCCCTCCTACTCTGTCTGAAGATAAATGCAAAAATGTCCTTGGGTGAGGATAAAAAAAAATTGACCACGGGTTATAGATTTATATCTGGAGTCTCAATTCTATTCCTTTGGTCTTTATGTTAGTACATAGCACACTGTTTTGATTAGTTGCTGTGTAGTACCTTTTGAAGTAGTAAGATTGGAGTTAGTTTGGGAAGTGTGAGTTCTCAAAACTTTTCTTATTCAATATGGTTTCAACTGTTCTGGGCCCCTCATAATTTCATGTGAATTTGAGGATTGGCTTTTTCATTTCTGGAGGAAAAAAAGCCAATGCAATCTCAGCAGGGATGCATTGAATCTGTAAATTGTGAGGGAGCTGCTGTCCTGACAATATTGAGCCTTCAATCCATGGCCATGGGCTGTCTTCCCATTTAGTGTTTACATCTTTGTCTTTCAGCCATGTTTCCTGGTTTCAGGGAACAGACCTTTCGCCTTCTTGGTTAAGTTTACTACTAGCTATGTTTTGTTCTTTTGGATCCCATTGTAAATGGAATTGTTTTCTCCATTTCCTTTTCAGTGTGTTCATTGCTGTGTATAGAAACACAAGTGATTTTTGTGTGTTTAGTTTTTTTGTGAGATCTTGGGGTTTTCTGTATACAGAATCACATCTGTGAATAGAGGTGGTTGTACTTCTTCCTTTCCAGCTTAGATGAGTTTTCTTTTTCTTTCCTAATTGCTTTGGCTCGGACCTCTACAAGGTGGAATAGCAGCAGTGGAAGCGGGCAGCCTGGTTTTGTTCACAGTCTTAGGGGAAAGCTTTGCTCTTCACCATCGAGTGTGCAGTTAGCTCTGGATTTTTCCTGGACACCTTACATCCTGTTGAGAGTCTCTCTCTTCCTCTTGCATTTATCACGAGAGTGTTTTGTCTGTGCTTTGGGACCGCTTGGCTATGGTGCTGTCTGGTCTCTTCGCTGCACAGTTGCTCATTCCCCTTTGTAGTTGTAATTACTAAGTCACTTGTGGGCTGGGCTTGGTCTGTGATCTCACCAGCAAGCTTAAGGTCCAGCGTGTGCTCATACCAAGAAAGGGGAGAGCAGTTGCCACATCTGTTCCCAAAAACACCCACGTCGGGCTGGGTGGCGCCCCCCCCCCCTACTGCACATACCCAGGGTGATGGGTTCTCATGCTGTCCCCCCTCTGTGTTAACAGCCTGATTCGGATTCCACCAAACACTCGACTCCATCCAACAGCTCCAACCCCAGCGGCCCACCGAGCCCCAACTCCCCCCACAGGAGCCAGCTCCCCCTCGAAGGCCTGGAGCAGCCGGCCTATGACGCCTGAACCACCGGCCTGCCACCTCGCCGCCACGGGGCCCGGGAGCCGCGGCGGCTCCACCAGTGCCAAGGCTGCTGACCCCGCAGTGTTCTCGGAGGAGACGGAGGGTCGGCGTGCAGATGTGGAGACGAAGAGAATCTTTATTATAATATGATCAGTTTTACGCCGCGTTGTTCAGGGCAGCAGACCGATCCTTCGTCCGCCCGGCTGTGAGGCCACCTGAGTTCCCTTTGCACACGAAGGCCCAGCACAGCCTCCCGCAGAACCAGCGGGGACGCCGCCTGCTCAGCGACCTCGCGGCCTGGTGCGGCCCTGCTGGGGAGCCGGCGCTCCGCCCACCCACAGCCAGCCGTTCCCTCCCTGAAGCTTCCCTCGGACCTGGGAGAAGAGTAGGGAGTTTATGTCATTCCAGTGTCACTAGGATTTTGAAAACAGGAAAGTGGAGGTTAGTTTGTGGCCTTCTTATTCATTTAGCCATTACATAGTCCGCTGCAGAAGTCCTTCTGCCGACCTCGTAGCCATGGACACAGGCCCCTTACGAGTGACGCCCGCCTGCCCTTGGTCCCCTGTGTGTGTATGAGTCCCTTCCCGGTCACAACCACGAAGTGTCACCAGTATCTACTACTGTGAAGTCGGCTGTGCTGTTTCCCACTCGCTTCCACAACTCTGCCTCCTCCATAAAAGTAAGGGTGTCAGGGTGCAGCCAGGCCCCGGACACCCCGCCCGCCCGTCCCCTGCATGGAGCCCGTGATTAGTGTCCGTGTGGATCGTGTAGACTCGCGGACACTCCTGCACATCGTCCCTCCCACGCGCCTGTATCTAACGCTCGCCCTCCTCGTGTCACATGTCAGTCGTCAGGTCTGTGGCCTGTCCCAGAGAGGCTTGTGATCCCCCGGCCAGCACACAGCTTGTCCTCTGCCCAGGACGGCTGCTGTCTGCTGTCCCACTGGTCGCATCCTTGGGGATGCTGTTGAAGACGTGCACTTACCTTGAGTTGGCACTGAGTGACGTGGGCACCACCGGCCTGCCTGTGGGTGTCACACACCAGCACCTGCCTGCCCACCCGCCCCCTGGGCCTTCTGCTGGGGCTGGCACCTGCTGGGGGTTCTGGTTTTTACTTTTTTAATGTAAGTCTGAGTCTTTGTAATTATTGAATCGTGAGAACATTTTTGAACAATTTACTTGTCAATAAAGCAGAAGACGGCAGTTTTAAAGTTCTTGGTGGTTTGTCTGAATGGATAACCTGTCACCCTGAGTGTCTGGGCAGCACAACCCCAACAGTGCCCTGTGCTGGAAATGCTTCTGCACAGGCAGTGAGAGCCGTCTGGTCATGGCCGCTGGTCCTGCAAACGGCACCTGTGCCCATGGGGCACGGCTGGCCTCCAGAGCTGGGACCTCTCACCTGCCGGCAGTGTTGGGGGGCTTCCTGGCGGTAGCTGTGCAGAGGCAGCTCAACCCAGAACAGCAGAGAACCCCGTTGCCTGCAGGCACTGGCCCTGCAGCAGCCCGGGGACAAGCCAGGTCAGGCCAGTGTCGTGGGGCACTTGGGGGAAGCTGGCTGGGTGGAGACCACACTGGGGCTCTGGCCCTGGTGGCTCAGTTTCCCCAAGGGTAGGGAGCAGCCTGCGGTGGGCTGGGTTGTGTTTGCCTGCTGCGTCCCCAGTGAGTTCTTGGTAACATGAGGGCTGTGACAGGATCTGCTGGAGGGTGGTCCAGCGCCAGCGCCACAGCAGAGCTGCTGTCTGTCCCCCACAGCACTGGCCGCCTACTCATACGGTCACTTAGGACCCAGGCCTGTCTCATTGTGGGGTCTCCGTGGTCACAGTGGGAAAGAAAGGGGACAAATTGTAGGAGCCCTGGCTGTATCGTTCTGCCCAAAGGGGTTCATATCCCATCTGCTCCCACTGTCTTGGCAAGTCACACCAGTCCTGGCGTCCCAGGGGACAGACTGGTCCTCCAGCTGGGGCGTCGGAGCAGTGGAGCCCACAAGAGGTACAGGTGGGGCCTCTCAGAAATTCTCGAGTGGAATCCCAGCAGCTGGGGAAAGGAGAAAGGAGCGGCCAGGACGGGCAGTGTGCAGCCAGGTTAGCTCCTGGCCCTTGGTTTGATGTCTGCCACGTGAGGCCAGGGCACCTGCCACAGGTCTGAATCAGGCTCCAGGGTCAGCCATTTTAAAGTAAAATATTTGCTGTTGTAGCAGGAAGAACAGTGGCGTTCACACGTGGAACGCAGCACAGCACCAGGGGTGACCAGCCACACCCACGGAGTGCACCCCCGCTTCTAACCCCGTGTCCGCCGCCTGCGTGGCCAGGGCTGGGGGCTCTGTTTCCGGACCCAGGTGCTGGTTCCACTGCGGCACAATTTCACTCACACACAGCTGAGTGCTGGTTGGGTGTCCTCGGAGCCGCCCTCAGAACAGAGGGGGCAAGGCCTGGCCTTGCAGTGACAAGACTCCAACCCCCTCCCCAGCAGACAGCATCCCCGGGACCCTCACTCTGGGCAGCCCAGTCTGGTGGACGTCCACTTGCCTGGCCCCTCCCTGCCCAGCCTTGTGCTTGTCATGACACGGGCGGGGTCTCCGGCGCCCACGCCTCTTCACTCTCACCAGTGCCTCCACCACCTGCGCTCCTGTCCCCTCCCTCTTTCCCTCGCAGGTGGCTGGCTTCTTCCATGGGCTCCTCCAGCACCAGGGGCAGAACCTGCCTGGTTCTGGGTGCAATGAGCAGACAGGAAGCCGCTGGCCACCTACAGGTAGTGCTCAGGACTGCCCTTGGCAGGTGGCCAGGCAGCCTGTGGGGACAGGCTCTGAGGACCACCCTTCTCGTCCCTGAAGTCACCGCAGGCCCTTCCAGCTCCACCAGGCAGGGGCAAGAGGGTGGGGTCGCTGCAGGCGGTGTAGCCACAGGACGGCAGGTGCAGGAAACCCCTTTATTGGGTGAGGCCATCCTGTGCTTGGCTGGCAGGGGGCGGGTGGGGGGCGGGATCCCGCACGGCTGTGACCGCCACACTCAGGTCAGGTGATATCGGGCGGGGACCGGGGCGGGGAGGGTGCATCATGCGGCAGCTCAGACGTCGGTCTCCGAAAACAGCGGGTTAACGAAGTAACTCTGGCTACTGCTCTTGGCGTCCACCTCTGGTGCCGGGGCCTATGGGGACGGGGGGCAGAGTCAGGGGCGTCGGGCGCCCAGCCCGGCTGCGGGGGAGGTCCCCCCAGCCACTCACCTGCTCCACAGAGCCTGCCACGTTGAACACCGGGTTGTTGAAGCCCAAGGGCGTCTCTGCCGCCTCCTGGCGCCTCCATCTGGAGATGGGAACTCCCATGAGCCCCGTGGCCCCGCCCCGCGGACTTGAGCCCCCGCCCCCTCTCGTGTACCTGAGGCCCCGCCTTCTGCTTTTGCCCTGGGTACCTGAGCCTCCCCGTACGGTGCAGCAACAGCGCCACCGCCGGCAGCACCAGTAACAACAGGAACAGCGCGGCCGCCACGCCGCCCACTAGCCCCGCGCGCGACCCTGGCGGGTGTAAACCCGCCGCCGAGCCATCCCCGATGGGCGCGCCCGATTCCCGAACGGTCGCCGACAGAACCCCGAGGGCCTCTCCTGCAAGAGACCGGGCATCTCCGTCTCTCCCGGGCGATGCGCAGCGGGACAGGGCGGGGCCGGGCGGGCGCACGTGGTTACCGTGCTCGGCGATGTCCGCCAGGAGGGCCCGGGCCAGCCGCCCTGCGCCGCCCGTCTCGGGCCCGGTCTCCAGCAGCACCACCTGGATCTCCGTGTCAGCCTCCGCGCCCTTGGCCTCGTGGGGCCGGGGCGGGCGCTGCACCTTGGACACGGCCACCTGCAGCTCCTTGTACTGGGGCTGGGGGAGGAGGGCAGGGTTGGCCGGGGAACTCTGCCCCTGGGACCTACAGGGACGTCGTGGGTAGTGACAAACGGTGGACAGGTGGGCGGAGAGTGGACGCCTCCATGAGGAGGTGGAGTGGGGCCCCAGGGTCCCTGACGGGGAGGTCGCAGGCAGGGACTGCGGAGGCAGTGGGGTCCGGGTAAGGAGGCGCCCCATTACCAGGGTCAGGAAGTCATGCAGCAGCCGCGCTCGATACTGCTCCAGGTCAAAGGCAGGGCCGTGGGTCAGCGACACGATGGCTCCTGCGACAGGAGAGTAGGGGTCAGGGCCACGGGCCCGGGCCGGACAGGGAAACTGAGCCAGTGGCCAAGTCGTCCCAGTAAATGGGCTGAGCAGCGGCGCTCACCGCAGAGGTCGCAGCACTGCCCTTCGGGCCGGAGGGCGTCTTGGCAGGCGGCAGGGGGACAGTGGCCCCCCAAGGGCTGGAGCAGGGCCGCGCAGATCCATGGCTGCACCTGGAAGCGGGGTCGGCGCCGAGAGGGGCGAGGAGCAGACTTATGGGCGGGAGACAGGGGTCGCGGCGCCCCCGGCCAGCCGGCCTCACACCCGCCGGCACCACCGCCACCCGCTGCGGGCACGCTCACCTCAGCGTTGCCGCAGACGCAGCCAGACGGGTCGGCGCAGGCCTCGGGGCCCACGCTGAGCGCGCCGGGCCCGTGGAAGCGCAGGCGGCCGGCACGGGAGGCCAGGAAAGCAGCCAGATCCTCGTTGCGCGTGAAATTCTGCGGTGGCCAGGTCACCAGCGGAGCCATCCCGAGGAGGCGACAACATCTGAGCGCCCAGACGCATTTGTCCGGACTACGGGGTGGGAGGCGGCCCGGGGAGGGGCCCTGCCGGGGGCTGGAGTCCCGGAGACCCGAGTCCGCGCGGCCCGCTCACCTGGCCCAGGGCCCAGACGCTGCGCACGCGCAGGGGGCGGGCGCCCGGCCCGAAGCCCACCCTGAAGGCGGCGTCGGGCGGGAAGACGACGTCGTCGTGGCGGCAGGGCACGCGTTCGACGTCCACGGAGAAGAGGCCGCGTGCCGCGTCCCCGGGGCGCCACAAGCGCGGGTCGTGCCACGAGAATCGGTCGGGGTCGAGGAAGAGCACGGGGGCCCCTGGACGAGCAGGCCTGAGTCCCAGAGTTCCGGGGCGCAGGCCCTCCACCCAGGCCCCTCACCGACTCCCCAGCCAGACCCCGCCCCCAAGACACTCCCCAGATCAGAATACGGTCCCACTCTGGATGCGCCGGGGACTGCCCCTCGGGCCGACCCTTCCCCTAAACTCTCCCTCTGCCTGCGGGGCACTCCGTCCGGGCCCAACCCCCATCACAGTCCCACGGAAATAGCCCGGCCCTCCGGGCCCCCCCTCTGCCCGGCCTTCTCACCTGAGCCACAGTCCGGGTCCAAGCTGCTGTGTGGGGCGCTGAAGCCTGCTCCCGGGGCCAGGATGAGCTCCCCGTCCAGCGGCAGGAGCTGCAATAAGTGCAGACCGACGCAGCGCCGCCTGGTGGGCCCGGGCGCCAGAGGGCCCCCTCTGCCCCACCCCCGCCCCGTGTCCCCCGAGGGGAGAACCGAGACCGTGTCCAAGGGGGCGGGCAGGTGAGGTCAGGGCCTGGGGGCTCCGTGCCCTGGCTGAGTCGCAGAGGCCGGAGGGAGCAGGGCTGCAGGCTGAGGAGCAGGAGCTGCCCTGAGCCCTGAGTGCGTGGAGAGTTTGGGGCCTGGTGACACTTGCCAGGGCCATTGCCTCCCCGTCACCCCTAAGGAACTGTACAAGCCAAGGGCTCATGGATTCCAGGAACCCAAGCCGCTCGGAAGTCTACAGGCAGCCCTGAACCGTGTGAGGGAGGAGAAGGGGTGCCAGAGGTGGCCAGGAGCCTTGGAGTCCCCCGTCTAGGCTCCACCATGGCAGCCAGTTCACCACGGAAGTCAGGCCACAACCCTGGCTCAGGTGTAAGAGGAAATACAGCAGCGGAAAGGCCCGGAGAGGAAGGACAGACTGCCCCTCCCTCCAAGCCCCAAGGTTGCCCCTCCTCCTGTGGTCCCTCCTCAGGGCTGGAGGTGAGGGCTGAGCCAGGGGAGGTTTCTGTGCAGGAGTCATGAGGTTTCAGCCCCTTCATGGTGATGAGATGCTTTGGTGAAGCTTATTGTTGGCTCTTTATTTTATTAAAATTGTTTTTTCTTTGCTCTGGCCGGTTTGGCTCAGCGGTTGGAGCGTCGGCCTAGGGACTACAGAGTCACAGGTTCGGTTCCCGCTAGGGGCATTTACAAAAAAAAAAATCTTTATTGATTTTAGAGAGAGAAAGGGCGAGGGAGAGAGAGACAGAAACATCGATAAGAGAGAACATTGACTGGTCGCTTCCTGCATGCCCCCCACTGGGAATTGGACCCACAACCTGGGCATGTGTCCTGACCGGGAATCGAACCAGCGACCTCTTGGTACATGGGTCGACGCTCAACCACTGAGCCACACTGGCTGGACGCTTTTTAGAATTTTTAAAAATTAGGACTAAATGTGATGAGGAAGGAAGAGACAAAAGGACAGGGCATGCACTACAGAACTTGCTTATCAAAGGAAGAAACAGATATTGAAAAGTTTGAGAAATCAAAAGGATCACCAAACTTGAAAACCTAGGTGAAATACGTGTTTCTAGAAAAGTTTCAAACGTCAAAATTGACACAAGAAACAATAGAGAATTTGAAGAGACTGTCAAGCATTAAAGAAATTAAAATGTTAGTCAAAGACTTTCTGTTTTCAAAATCCCCAGTCTAAATGTGTTTACAGGTGAATTATACTAAACTCTCAATTTCTTCTTACAGAAATCGTTCTGGAAAACAGTAAAAAGGAGTGGAAATTGGCTAGTTCGTTCTATGAGGCCAGGGTGATCTTGATTCCAAAAGCAAATGAAGGACATTCTAAGTTAAGAAAAATTATAGACTCATATACTTATAACTGCATATGCACAAACCCTGCCCTGGCTAGTGTGGTTCAGTGGTTAGAGTGCTGGCCCATGTACGGAAGGGTCTTGGGTTCAATTCCTGGTCAATGGCATGTACTTAGATTGCAGGTTTGATCCCTGGCCCCCATCAGGGCACATGCGGGAGGCAACCAATCAATGGGTCTCTCTCTCTCTCACATCCACGTTTCCTCTCTCTCTCTCCCCTCCTCTCCTGTCCCCTCCCCTCCCCTCCCCTTCTCTCTCATTCTGTCCCTGCCTTCCTTGCACATTCTCTAAAAAAAAAAAAAAATCAATGGATAAAATATCCTCAAGTGAGGATTAACAATAACAACAGCAAAAAATCCTAAATAAAGTATTAAATGACAAGATGCAACAGTGTATTTAAAAATACGTGGTGTTCAAAGGGTTTTTGTCCCAGGAGTGCGGGAAGGCAGGCCTGGGGACTCCCTGGTGGTGTGTATGTATGCTGGTGTCCCAGCAGATGGCAACAGAGAGGCTTGTGCTGGGAAAATCAGTAGATCATGACAGAAGGAAGTCAGGTGGCTTGGAGAAGTGGGATGTTTGAGGAATGGCAGTCTTCGACCTGCATCTGCTGGATAGTGCCTGCCAGGAGGACAGTTTTGCAAGGATGGTTCAACCTCAGGAACCCTCAGGAACTTGCTAAATAAAGGAGGGGAGAAAATCACATCTCCATCTATGCAGGGAAAAAGCCTGAAAAAGTCCAACAACCTATTTATGATTTTGAAAACACTGCTAGCAACTCACCCTGGCTGGGTAGCTCAGTTGGTTAAAGCATCATCCCAATACACCAAGGTTGTGAGTTTGGTTCGCCAGTCAGGGCACATACAAGAATCAACCAATGAATGCATCAATAAGTGGAACAATAAATCTATGTTTCTCTCTCTCTCTCTCAAATCATTATTATTATTTTTTAAATTTAAACTACTAGCAAACTAGCAGTAGAATAGACTTTCTACAATTGGATCAAGTTTGTGCACCCAAACCCCACAGACGACACTGAGCTCAGTGGAGAAACGGGGCAGGAGCTCTCTTTCCGGGGGGGAAGACAAGGACGCCCACTTCTGTTAGGCTTGGGGCAGAGTCCTGGACGATGCTATACAGACAGGGAAACAGATGAAAGGACTTAGGACTGGAAGGGAAAAGGGATGGCGGTCATTGTTTACAAAAGGAACCAACTGGGAATAGAATTTTTTAAAAACCAAGCGCCATTCACAATAGAAACCAACCTCTAAAGCATTTATAAAGGATTAACCGATACCATAAAAGACCTGGATGGGGACCACTTTAAGACTCTGGTGGAGTTTTATTAACGGGTGATGTGAAGTATTCGGAGAGCCGGATCTGAAGGCTCCCGAGCGCAGCTGAGGACAGAGCCTGCGGAGACCGCGGGGCGCGAGGCAGAGGCCCCCCACCCCCACCCCCCGGCTGCGGCCACTGCCAGCCGCACCACAACGCAAGCGCAAGGCGGTGTTGGCAGGACGACGTCCAAACCTGGACGTGCTCCGAGCAGAAAGCTGAAGCTCGCCCTCCGGCTAGCGCCTCGGTAACTGTGCTCCTGATGGCAAGAGGGGCTCAGCGGACTGACACGTGCTGGATAACCGTGTGACCGGCAGGCGAGGGATTCTGAACCAAACCCTGGGCACTCACTGATCAAAGGCAGTAGGTTTTCACTGGGTTGGAACAGGGCGTCTGCTCAGTGAAGGGGGAGGACAGAGCTCACAGGGGAAGACCACAGTGGGTGATGGATGGAAAACGGGAGCCCCCCCCCAACAAGAAAACTGGGCGAGCGATAGAAACGGGAGGGAAGGAGGGGGGCGCTCGGGAGGAAAAAAGTCCCAGGGAGAGACGCTCAAAACCTGAGAAATACAAATTAAAACACTGATGTCCCCTCGCCTATGACTAGGGCGGCACGTCAGTTGCAGGACAATGCTGAGCGCTGGGGGTCGTGGGAGGGGACCCTGTGCAGCCGGGCTGGGACGGTCCATCCGCCCTGCGCCGGCGGAGACTCCGGGGCCATCACCCTGTCCCTGGATCCCTGGGCTGTTCCCACCCAGGTCCTGGGGGTCTCCCCGTGGCCCCGCCAGCCCCCTCCCCGCTGTGGCAGCGCAGGCGCCCCTCACCATGTCCGAGACGCTGTGACGTTCTCGCACCAGGACTGACACCATCTGCAGGAAGACGTGGCATCAGCGGCGGACCCCACTGGACCCGCAGCCCCAGACCACGCGGGACCCCAGGCACCTTGTCCGCTGGGAACTCGACGACGGCGCCTGCGCACGGGGTCCGGTTCTGGCTCCAGTTGTCCGCCGTTTCGAAGTCAGTGTTGGGGACCCAGATTTTGTAGGCGGCCCCGGTCAGCTCTGGGGAGGAGGAAACTGAGTGCTCCCAGGGCCGTTGGCATCCAGGTTCCCGCCCAGACGTCCCGTCCCCCGGGGGGCACGACCTCTCCAGAGAGGCGCGGGTCACACAGCCAGGCACAGAGGGGGTCCCCGCGGTGGCCCCGACCAGGCCCGCACCCCTCCCCACGTCAGACCAGGCCGGCGGGAGCCCCGCCTTGGCGCTCTGTGAACTCCTACTGGATCCGCAGAGCCCGCGCAAACGTGCCCTCCCCCGGCTCCGTGCGCCCAGGTTTGCTCTGCGCTGGAGCAGAGGACGCGGCGCGGGAAGGACTGTGACACCCGAGGACCCAGGAGGATGGAGCAGCAGAAGGGCGGGGGCGGCAGGGCCCGGCCAGGAGGGCTCTGAATGGGAGCCGGGGACTTAAGAGAGGGGGACAGGGACGGGGCTGCTGTTTTTAAAACTCCTGGTGTGGGGCGGGCACGGAAGACACGCCCAGCCTGGTGCGATAGGGGAGGGTCAGCGGGGCCCTGGGGGACGGGGACCTGACGCAGGCTGTGGCGCCCCAGGGCAGGAGCGCCGCCCCGGGAGCGGCCTGGCCAGGGCTCCCTGCTTCCCGCGCCGCCGGCTGGGGCTGCGCCCGTGGGGCCCGGCCGCCCACCCTGGGGGTCCAGAGCGCCGGGGCCGCCCCGCCGCTTACCGCAGAGCTGCAGCCACAGCAGCAGCCGCCCCAGCGCGCCCATCGCGCCCGCTCCGCCGCCGCCGCCGCCGCCACCCAGGACTTTGCCCCGCGGAGCCCACGTGACCGGGCGGGGTGGGGTGGGGACCCGGGCGGTTACACATTTACCTCCAGACCCGCCTGGGCCCCGTCTTCAGGTTCCTCGGAGGCGCCTGACCAGCCTTGGTCCCCTGCCCCCTTCGGCCTTCCAGGACCTGAGGACCTTGGGTGTCCAGGAAGAAGGGTCTGTCAGGACCCACCTGCCCCATGAGGTGGGTGTGGTGTTGGGCGGAAGAATGAACACCTTTGGGTCCCCCTTCTCTGTCCCAGGTGCTGCTGGGTCATCTGCCCTCCAGCTGGGGCCGGGGGTCCATTCCTCAAGCAGGGCCTCCTGCCTCTGGCCTGGCTGGGCTGTGCATGGTGCTGGCTGGTGCAGGGGCGGCGTGCGAAGCCATGTGCGGCTGACCGGTGCCGGGGGGCAGCGGAGGGATCCCGCTGGTGGGTGGGTGGGAAGCAGTGAGTGAATAAATGCGTGGACAATAACTGAGGGATGGTGGGTAGCGAAGCAGTGGTCCCTGGCGGGTGGATGTTGGATGGGAGATGGAGGTGTGGTGGATGGAGAGGTGGCGGCCAGCTAGTGGAGGTGGATGGACAGGGGTAGTGGGCTGGGGTGGATGGCTGACGATGAGCAGACAGATGATGGATGGGAGATGAATGTAGGTAGCGGTAAGTGGATGCATTGGACCATGGGTGGTGGGGGCAGTGGTAGTCAGATGGAGAAAAGAATGGTGAGTGGATAAATGGACGGTTGATGGGTGGAAAAGTGTAGATGTGGGATGTCTATGGCCGGCTGGCTTGTTGAGATGATGGGGTGTGGATTTCAGATGGTAGGCGAGATTAAATGGTGGGTGAATGAATGGGGTGTGGGATTTAGATGAACTATGAACAGATGGCGAAGAGGGGGGATGAGAGTAGAGGTGACGACTGGAGACAGTGAATGGGCAAATGGCCCAGTGGGCTGAGTACAGGGCTACTGGGCAGACGGATGGTGGGATGTTGGAGGCATGGATGTGGGGTGGATGGTTAGACTCGACCAGAGCGATGGGCGCCTGGCTCTGCGCACGGCACGTTAGGATGGACAGCGGCGAGTGGCGGAGGTGGGTTTGTGGGTGGTGGGTGAGTGGGTGGGTGCACAGATTTCGCGTGTTGGACTGGAGGATGGTCAGTGGGTTTATGGATGGTGGGGCAAATGTTGGATTGATTATGAGGGGGTTGCCTGTGAATCACTGGAGAGATGGATGGGCGACTGTGGATGGTGGGTCTGACAGATGATGCCTTATGGCTGATGGAAGGGGAAGGAATGGCGGATCGGCCGAGTCTGGGATGACCTGATGGTGGCTGAGTGAAGACAGGGCGGATGGCGAGGTGGGTGTGCAGATGGAGGACTGTGGGTGAAGAGGGAACTACTCAGCCTTGGGAACTCCTGTGCCTTCTGCCCTCCAGGTCACCTGCCCTCTCCTGTGTCCACACCCCTCACCTGCCACCTCCCGGCCTTGGCACCCTTCTCTCATGCAGAGGGTGGAGACCGCCACTGGGGGCGCTCTCACCTCTGCGCCGCGCGGAGGGGCGGAGGCCTCTCTGGGAGGGGGCAGTGAGCACACCAGCACCCCCACACTTGTCCTGGTGAGACGGGGCACCTGCTCTCAGTGGCTCAGCAGTGCCAGCCCTGCCCGAGGGGTGGAGAAGGCCCAGTTCTGGAGCTCGGCCTGCCTGCCAAACGTGCTCACAGGTGGCTCCATTCTCTGTGGCCTCACCCAGGAGCAAAGGGGCTGTTTGAGAGTCACATCTGTTTTGCCCCTTGACTTGCTTCTCCCTGGGAAGGAGGTGGTCGTGTTGAATGGGACTCCTCGCACCGACCCCCCAGGGACTGCCGACACCTCCTCCCACCACCCCACTTCCGGGGCTCAGCGCAGAGGGCTTGGGAACTTCATCCAGAACACTGCAACCAGCCCCGGAAGGCCAGGCAGGCCTGCTCACTGGGCTCCTTTCTCTTAACACAGGGAGAGGACTGCGTGGAGGGCAGGGCCCCGGGAAGCTCCAGGGGGATGGCTGGGCCTGGGGAACCAGAACTCTGACCACTCCTGCCCCACCTGGGCAGGCCATTCCCAGAGAGACTGCTCTCTGGAGAGGGCAGTAAAACCATCTGGGCAGGCAAGGAAGGCTTCCTGGAAGAGGCAGCATGAAAGCGGTGACCCGAAGGCTGAGGTCACAACTGTAGGCACAGCTGTAGGATGGATCAAGGTGGAGTCAGGGCTGGTTGGCTATGGGGTATTGGCAGCCACCTCCATACCTGAGCAGAGGCTGGAGGTACGTCCAGTTATCTGAGGATGGCCCAGCGAGGAGCCCATGCCAGGCATGAGGCAGGCACTAGCCCTGGCCCAGGCTGCCAAAGGATCTCCACAACGACTCAGGTGCCCCGGACACCTGGGTCCACGTGAGCACACGCTCCCTCAGTGGGAAGTGGGAGGAATGCAACATTACTGTTTCTCCCTGTAACCAGGAAACCCCACAGAGCAGCTGCTTCAGGCACGGCTGGATCCAGGGGCTTGGCTGTCTGGTCTCCCGGTGTCTGCCTGTCTTGCTCTGTCCGGGCTTGACTGCCCTCGCTGTGCTGTTGTGTTGGTTTCTGCGTGCTCAGCCTTCTCCGCGTGGCAGGGAAGGTGGCCTGGGAGAGCTGAGCCCCCACCACCCTGGCTGGGCCTTTGTGCAGGGGCTGTGAGGTCTGGGCTCACCCTGCACCAGTCACATGGCCTGGGGTTGCTGTCCTCTGACTGGCTGTCACAGCCCTCCCCTGCTATAAGGGCACCATGAGTGACAGCCTTGCTACCCTGGGGATGGAGGGTGGGCAGACCTGCTCTTGGCCATGGTCCCCGTCACACCCCCAGGGCCATGAGAATCACTGCCTTCCCTACCCCTCCCCTTTCTCTGTTTTCAACTCCCCACTTCTGTGGGGAGTGGCCACACCCATCGGCCTGAGCCAGGGAGGCAGTGAGGGTCACCATAAACCATTGGGCACTCCACAGGCCTCCTGGAGAGCCGCTGTCCCGTCCCCAGTGCCGACCCCGCAGACCAAGGCCAAGGCCGCGAGCTGGTCAGCGGCACTGCTGCACCAGCCCTCTGGAGGTCTGTCCTCAGCACGGGCAGGACGCCGGGCCGGCAGGAGCCTGCTCTGCTGTGGACAGCAGCCTTCAGCCCGGTCCCCTGGCGCCTCCGGCTCCGATGCTCCTCTTCCTGGGCCATGCTGCTGACTTCCTTCCCCGTGGGACTCAGGAAAACCAGCTCAGAGGAGGAGGGAGAAAAGGATCCAGTTTCCGCCAGTGGAGCTGGAACTCCCACGGACACTCATCTGCACCGGCGGGGCTACAGGCCACCCGGGTGCTGCCAGTCTGCCCCGTGTGGGCAAGGCTGGGTGGAACCCCAGGCCCGAGGGCCTCCCTAGGAAGGTGGATGGGGTATAAGGGGTTCGTGGACTCGGGACCCCCAGACAAGGGGCCAAGGAATGGTGGTGTTCCCATCTGGGCAGCTCCTGGGGTCTGCCAGGAGGAGCCGGGGCCTCCGGCCTGTGGTGGGGGTGAGCCCCTGCAAGGGTAGGGAGGCCCCGTGGGTGGGCCTGTGTGTGTAGGGACAGGAGCAGTGTGGCCACTGGCCAAGTGGGTCCCAAGAGGTCGGTGCCAGGCCCTGGACTCCGGCAGGAGTGGCCTCTGGGGGTCTGCTCCAGGGCCTCTCCTGGGCCCGGGCCCCAAATGTGACTTGGAGGAGTGCGTGGCAGTCCAGTGGCTGCGCGAGGCTGTGGTGGTGACGCCCAGAGAAGCATGGGTGGTGGGGCAGGGCGAGGTGCTCGCCGGGGACTCTGTGCCAGGCTGGAAAGAGCCCACAGCCAATCATTTGGGGGAAGCCAGGGAGATGCCCGGTGGACAGGAGCACAGAGAGGGACGGCGCCTGGCGCTGAGTGGAGCCGGCAGACCCTCCGCACACCCGTCGGAGCGCAGCCCAGAAGCGCCCCCACACCACCCGGTCTCAGCACTGGCCCGGCTTCTTAACCACCACTTGTTTCAGAAACGTGCTGTCCTTCCACCTGACCGACCAGGAAACCGAGGCTCCAAGAGCCTGCAGTCCTCCGGCCGAGCGGGAACTGGGAGAGGATCCCAGACCTGTGGCCGCGCTCGGCGCCCCGGAAGGTGGGGGCTGCTGTGCTTGCTCTGGACCAGGCCACAGGCAGGGGACTGTGCCTGCTGGTGCACCTGCCCGGGCTCAGGGCCGGAGCCTCACGAAGGGTCGGCCAGGCGCCCCGGCGGAGAGACCGCTGTGCCCACACCCAGCGCCGCGCCCGCAGCTGCTCCCGACGCCGGCAAGACAGTGTGGTCAAGAAACTGAGTCCTTAGTCAGGTTTATTTTCCTCTAATAAGACAGTTCAGCATCTCAGTGTTGCATTCTATACTCTTACAAACTTTAGTTATTAGCATCCGGGACACAAAAACATTGCAAGACCTCAAAACACAAATAAATACCAAATAAAACCACACACAATGTACAGGAAACAAAAATATAAAACGTACTAATGCTATCGGAAAACCAGGCATGTTGCTAACTCGGATCAACAACATGGTTATTGCTGAGCAGGACTTACACTGGTCGGTTGTTTCTTAGAAGAGCAGGAACAGGCGCGGATCACTGGTCAGTCACTGGCACTGTCGAGCTGGGTCCTCACGGGGGCCACACGGACGGCGGTGTGCGCAACAGGCAGGTTACATACAGAGTCAAATGAAAGACCGGCCTTCTTTGGTCTTTGTTTGGGGGAAGAACTCAACGAAGAGGTGTGCGTCGGAGAACGAATGCAATTCCAAAACCACTCTGCAGCCGTGTCCGTGGACTCACACTGCGTCCCAGGTGTCACCCCACAGGGGACCCTCGCGGAAACCCCGGGGAACCATGCAGCTTGTGTTTACCTGTCGGGTCATCGGGTTTGCTGTTGAAGGTCATCTGACCTGTCTAAGGGGACTGAGTCACAGAACCACCACCTCGAGCTGCCCAGGCGGAGCGGCCATCCTGGACGGCCCCTCGTCTCTGCGTTCGCAGCGCGGACCAGACGCAGCAGGACGATGAAATGCAAGCATGCCAGCGCCCTCAGCCTGCCGCCCGCCCACCCCGGCCAGCGCCCCTGGGGTGCCTCTGGGCCTCGCCACCTCCTTCCCCGTCCTGGCTCCCTGTGACCACCAGCATGGCCCATTCAGGAGTGATGACCAGGTCACCTGCCAGCACGGAGCCTCACACTGGCCTCCCCTGACCTGGGCCCTGGGGACACACTCCACTGCAGAGAAACCACCATTTCCGAGACTGACCAGCGGGAGACAGACCACAGTGGTGGAGCAGTCGGTTGGGTGGAGACCCCTCGCTCATCACCGACGCTCACAGTGTGAAGGGGCTGCTGGAACCCAGCTCCCCTCTGCAGCCGATCCCCTCTGGTCTAGGGTCAAAGTCAGGGCTCGGCACTCTGCCCAGCTCCTTCCAGCACTGACTTCAAGCAGAGGGACGCACTTGGGAGGCGCAGGCCTGGGCTCCCGCCCCACCCCGGGAAGACGGCGGAGGGGCTGGGCCTGACGGGTGTCACCGCTTCAGTGCGGAGGGAGGGACGGTGTGGGCCCTGGCTGCCAGGGGCGCTGTGCCCCAGGGCGGGACTGCGGTCCTGCCTGTCTCCCCCACGCCCTTGGCCTGACCGGTAATGACCCACCTCAGGACTGGCTGTATTAAGGGTCCATCCAGGCACCCTTTTCTCTGCCAATGTTGCCCCCGCTGCAGGTCCTGGGCCAGCCACAGGGGACCATCACCTCGACATTGTCAATGGTGATGGGGGTGCTGTTGATGCAGGCATCGACCAGGGCAAGGGGCCTCAACCCCGGGCGGCTGAGGGCCCTGGGGAAGACAGGCTGGCTGTCTTGTGGTCCCCACGGTGGGCCACAGGGGTTCAGGGGAAGCCTGGGGGTGTCAGTTCTGCCTGACACCACTGGGGGGGGGCTGGCAGCTGGAGGGCCTGGTGGAGACGGCCAGCAGGGAGGGCAGCTTTCCCACCACAACCCCTGGGGTCACAGGGCAGGAAGGAGAGGCTGAGAGCCTGCGGCTCCACCAGCTGTTCCCGCATGGGGGTGCGGGTGCCCGGACAGCTGGGAGCTGGGGCCCTGGCAGCAGCCATCACAATGGCCCTGCAGGCTTCGGCCGGGAACAGGAACCGAGCCTCGCCCAGAGGTCAGCACCACCGCTCTGGACAGGCCTGAGGACGGACACACTCCCTGCTCTACCACCTGTGAAGCCGGGAGTGGAAAAACCCTGCTTACAGAAAGGGCTGGGGCAAGTGGGCCCAGCTGGGACACACCACGGGCCCAGGCTGCCAGGAAGCCCACAGTGTTGGTCTCTCTCAAGTATCAGAACTTTGATCCCGTGTGGAACTTTGTCACTTTTGGTAAACAGGAAAGTGCATCCAATCACACCACGTCTGCCCCTTCAGCTGTCACCTGCCGTGGAGCAGAAGGGCGCTCAGGGCAGGGGTCTGGCCTCGGCCGCCCAGGCGCACATGGGGAAGGCCCACACCCCTAGAGCTGCCCACTATGCCCAGGCCAAGGGTGACGCCGACACGGCACAGCCTCTTCCCAGCTACTGCGGCCCTGACCTATGGGCTCCTCGGGAGGGGCTGGGATGGCCCAGCCTCTCCCCAGGGGCAAGTCTCCCCACCAGGGCCGGATGACTGCAGGCGGCCCACCCCCAATAGCACTTCAACCCAGGGAGGAAGGAAAAAGGATCGTTTGTTTTCTTTTTGACCAGACCAAATGTTGCTTATGGTAAATCTGCTAGTGCAGTGGGAGTCACGGGTGTCTCTGTTGGTAAGCACGGACCTCGGGCAGCCACCAGAGGCCAGGCAGGGCCAGCCAGCGTGCTCCCTTCCGGGTCTGCAGGGTGGGCCAGGTGAGGCCGAGACGAGCGCCTTCGAGGGAGGGTGGCCCCACTGCACCTGCAAGAAGTCCTTCCTGTGAGTGGGGACACACGAGTCCTGAACTGATGACACGGACTCGCCCTCAGAGCCGTCCTGGGAGTGGTGACAGGTGAAGACAACTGAGCATTTTAACTGCCGAAGGGCCTGGCAGGTGCTCGGAACCCAGGAGGCCGCCTATGGAAGCCCGGACGGTGCGCGAGGAGGGCGCTCCCAGCAGGCAGGGCGAAGGCACACCCGGGCAGACACAGCACCAGAGACACGGCGGGCCGGGCACCGACCCAGCCGCCCCGCCACGCAGGAGCCCAGGGGCAGGCAGGCAGTCTGAGTGCGCGGCCGGCGGGCCCATGGGCGCGGCTTTTGGATGAGCGGCGCAGATGCGGTGGGTCACGCACTGGCTTTGCCTAGAAAGCACCCGTCACATGTAGCACCTGTCGGTGGTCAGAGCACCCATGAAGCGCGGTGCATAGCAGAGGGCACAGAAGGCAGGCTCCGGCTCCTATCACAGTTGGACCATTGAGAGAAGGTAAACAGTGGGTTGAGAGAGTGCTAGCTGGGTGGGCGCAGGCTGGGCCAGGGCACCCCACGGCCACCCTCCCCGAAGGCGGTGGTCGAGGCCTGGGGCAGCCTGGGCAGCCCCGGAGCGGCGGTCTCTGGAATGCTTGAGGGTTCTGCTTGCGTGGGCCCTCTCCCTCACCAGGCGGCTCACCTGCGGGGCCCAGGGATTTGGAATCTGTGATAATTAAGCAGTGGGCCCCAGCGGCCGAGGATGGAGCCTGACCCCTCCAGCAGGTGCGGAGCTGCCTGAGGGCCGCAGAGACAGATCTGGTGGTGGAGGGAGAAGTCTGGTTACACGGTCACTCCCTAGAATCACAGAGAACACAAAGCTCGGGTCGGGAAGCAGCGTGCATGGCTAAGGCACATGTACAGTACGCCACCATCTCTAGGCAAAGATGTCGCTTTTGGAGCTCATTAACAGAATGCAGCACATGACAGAATGAAGAGACACCTGCTGGGCCGCCTTCAGCAAAAGCCGCCCGCCCACCCGGACTCTGGACACTGAGGGCCGGTGCCTGTCGGCGATCGAGACCTTGTCGGGACACGTGGGGCACGATTTAAAAACCTACAGGTTTGTTAGAACTCCAAAGTTCAACGAGTGCCCTATTTTAGGGTGAAAACAATTATAAATCTGAAAATGATGCATAGCATCCATGAGCAATTTTCCTTTCGCAATAATTTTGAAGTAGTGTCATTAACTACGACAGATATTGAAGGTTTACATTTCTAACGAGAAATAACGACGGATTGAATATTCTCTTTCCTATCACAAGTGATAACCAGTGTTTGATATTTTACATTTTCTTCCAAGAAATATAAGTCTATCAACGTTTTAAAATAAAATGTCTGCAGTGACAATTATTTTAGAACTTTAAATTAAAAAGTGATTCTGAATTTAGAGACTTCCAAAAAAGACCGAGGTGCACTTCAGGGTCTTCTGACAAACAAACTATTAAAACAGAGACCAGGCGAGGCCTTAAAAATAGACAGTATGCTGTATTTGAAACAAGACTGCACTCTTGAATTTCAGAATGAATATATCAGAACTGCATTATTATTTCATAAATTCCTTTTTTACTTAACATGCTGACATGTCCAGCTATTCCCAGGTGTGTGTGCGTGTGGGTGGGTTTGTGTGTGTGTGTGTGTGTGTGTGTGTGTTCAAGTTTCAGGAAGAAAATCATGATTCTTTTGTTTAGCATATATGTTTTCCACCTTAATTAACGAGATCTTTAAAAATGAAAATGAAAACCTTCCCTGACAGCCGTATTTATCTCGTCGAAGGATAAATAATTCTTCAGTGAAGTGTTGCTAGTCTATTAGAAAACGTCCTCTTGCTGGTTCCTCCCGCCGGCCCGGGCCGCCGCCTGCCACCTCCTCCGTCCCACAAGGCCCTGTTCTGACACAGGGACCTTGGTGGAGACAGCGGTTCAAACCCCCCAGAGGAGTTGCCTTCTGCTCCGTCCACCTCCCCCGTGACTTGTCAGGGGTCAGGCAGATCTGAAGTATCCACTATGACTTTAATAAAAATGGTATCATCTTTGATATACGTCCCGTTTTCCAGCACCGTCTGGGCCACGAAGACCGGGCAGCCAGAGGCAATATTCATCTCCCCCGTGGGTTTCTTAAAGCTGCTGCTGTTGGGGTCTGGCTTGAACGCGTCTCCCAGGTGACGCCGAGAGGACCCCTGGTCCATCAGCATGAGCGTCACCTTCTGCTTGAAGGGCCAGGGAAGCAGAGCGTCGTACTCTCCGCGCATAATGACAAAGAAGAGCGACAAATGCGTCCCCTTGCCCATGCCGTCCCCATTCAGGTAGACGCGGGCGCACATCTTGTAGCCGAAGTACCCGGTGTAGAAAGGCTGGCTGTACAGAGACAGCGTCTTCCCCATGACGGCCTCCTGCTTCCGCCGCTTATAGTCACGGATCTTCCAGATTAGTACCCCGTTGTAGCTGGCGGTCTCCAGCACCTGGAACCGCAGGTCCATGTCGGCCAGGCGGATGTCATGCACACTCAGCATCTGGTCGTGCCGGCTCAGCTGGGACTCCAGCAGGCCTGGCAGGCGAGGGGACAGGGGTGGAGTCAGTGGGGATCAGAAAGATGGCAGAAGCCAACCCTCACCAGCGTCTGAACTAAACACCAAGAAATCACTGAGGTTCCCGGCTGGCGGAGGACAAACGCCACACAGACATCCTGACAGACACAGACCTCAGACTTCGGCACACTCATGGTGACAGCCTGCTGAGACGCAACAGCCTAGGGTCCCTGGGCACCTCCCTGCAGCGTCTGCGACAGGAGCCTGCTGGGGGCAGGCAAGGTGCCCTGGTGCCTGCCAGCCTGAGGCTCAGGGCTCTCTGTGCCTGAGCGGCAGCAGCTTCTCCCCACCCACGTCCTCGGCCTGCTTACTCCACCCCCACACATTCCTCTCACCATTCACCCTTCCTGCAAACACTGAGAATATCACTGCGCCCCGAAGGCAGAGGCCCCAGGCCTTCCAGGGAGGAGGCACACCTGGGCTGACCAGGTGGGTGCTCCACGTCACCTGCCTGTCACTTCTGCTCCTTGGGTCTTTGTAAGCACCTGCCAGCAGGCCCTGCCCTCCACCCGGCATCCACCCTGCGCCCACGGTCTGCCCTGCTGGCCTCACATGGACCGGACAAGTCTGTGGGACCCATTTCTTTCCACCAGCAGGAAGCCTGCCACCTGGGCCCATGCTGCACCTGCACCTAGGAAGTCCTGCTCTGGGGCACCACGTGCCAACAGACCACTTACCCCACGAGTCTGGGCCACAGCACCTACCTGGGGTTGCAAGAGCCCAAGACAAGTGTCACCTGTCCCAGGACCCTCTCGAACCTGCCCCTCCCCTGCTCGGCCCACCCGCCTTACCTGTGTTCCGGGCCGCCTGCCCCGAGCTCTTGTCCACACTCTCCAGCTCGGTGACCCGGTTCTGGAGGGACTCCACGCTGCTCTTCATGCTGTCTGCTTCCTCCCAGTTCTGACGGAAGGGGCGGATCTCTTTGTCAAGCTCTTTCAGTTTCTCCGCTTGGCTGTCTATCACTCGCTTCCAAATCAAATGCATCAGAAAGGCAGACCACCGTTAGAATGCTCTGAGGATGCCCGGCGCCACCACCGGGAACCGGCTACTGAGGGGCAGAGCTGTCCGCTCAGGCCGGCCTGGCAGCCGCGCACCTGCTCTCACAGGCATCTTGTCTGCTCCTCAGGAGTCTCAGGGGACTTAGGTAACAAGGGTCCCTACTTCCCAGAGGAGATCGAGGCACAGAGAGGCTTCACCCCACTGACTGCAGGGCAGGTGGCCCCCACATCACTGTCCTGGGGTCTCAAGTTCAGGACGCTGCAGTGACACCCATCGATGCTGTCTGCAGGCCTGGGTTCCTAAAGGCTTGAGCCATCACCAGGGGCCAAACAATGTGGGCCTCCTACCTGGGTTCCGGCCCTGTCCCTGTCCCAGGATCCTGTCTGGGCCCTGAGAGCGCGCGGCCACCTCCCTGCCCTGTTCCAGGTCTGAGCATCTGCACTGGGCGCGTGACAGAAAAGGGCCCTGGTTTGGGTCTTCAGACTCTGGGTGAAGCTCCGGGGCCGAGGCCAGGGGTGCTCCCACCACGCCCCCTGCTCGGCGCCCGCCCCACAGGCACTGCACAGCCTGGGCAGCGCTGTCGACAGCGAGGCCCGACTTCATGCTACTTTATGTGAAAAATTCAGAAAACCTTTCCTCCCAGAACACACAGACCCTTTACCTCGCTAACGGACTGGAGGACGAGGCCCGGCCCCTGCGCCAGTGACCCAGCTGTCAGGGACTGGTAGGCCCACTGCCCAGAGAAGCCAGGGCCCAGAGAGTTTCCACTTCAGAAGAATTTGCATTTGTGAAATGAGCACCGAGATGCTGGAGGTGGGCCTCGGGCTGCAGGCCACGCTCACTTCCCCTTTGAAAGCTTATTTTTAAACATTCAGTGTTCGGCACCTTTGTGGCTGTTACTAACCACGAAGGAACAAGCATGATGGGTCTGGCTTACTTTCTGGGGGTAAAAGTACAGTGTTGGTCTTCTTCTTCTTTCCAAGAAAGCTGATAATAGCCAACATGTAGAAAGGAGAGACGACTTCATTGAAGGATACTATCCATGTGGATGGCACCTGACTGTGAACACGTGTGGGCCCAGGCACAAAGCTACTCAGGGACAAGCATTCAGAATGTCTGACTGGGACTGTTCTCGTGCCCTCTCCTACTGAAGGACACGCCGAGCGATGTGGACACGGTGAGTGGGCAGGGATGTCAACGACACCCGCAGTGACCAGTGCCAGTCCTGAGAGCCGCCAGGAGGGGACCGGCAGCTGCAGCGTGGCTGAGGCAAGCCTCTCGTCACTTCTGAGCCACGTTCGCCCCCAGGTAAATGTGGATGGTGCTGAGCTGCCTCCTCCCCAGACCGGGGAGGTGCCTGGGACAGTGGTCTGTAGACCTGTGGTCACCTCAAGAACAGAACTGTGGAGTCAACAACAAAAGCTACGCCACACCGACAGCAGGCCCTGACTCCAACCCGGAACAGGAGCCAGCACGCGGTGCAGGGGCAGGAAGCTACATGCTGCACACACATGCACACAGACATGGCTCTACCACACAGTGAGGGAAACTGCTATTGTTAGTGACCTTTCACGTGTATAAACAGTACCGGTTCAAAGCAGAGCAGCAGCCTAAACCAAGCTTTCTCTGCCAAAGGCAGCCGAGGTGACTGCGTTCCCGAGAGCGGTCCACACGCAGCCACGGCGGCGTCACAGGAATATATCCTAGATGCAGGCGTGGGACTTCAGCAGAAGACACTAAGTCAGCAGCTGAGACACACAGCAGACTGCACACCATGTAAACAGCCCTGGGCAAGAACACCAAACACAAGACCTGCTCCCAGACAGGTGAGGGCCGCGGTGGAGACGGGCCGGTCCGGACGCCCTGACCACGGCCCTCAGCAGAATGCCGGGGACTCTCCACAGGAGGCCTGTTGGTGTTTTACGCTTATTGGCTTATTCAACCCTAATGACACGTGTGTTTCCTAATACAATCTAATATTTTGTTGTTCTTTTCCTCATCTCTGGACAACCACAAAGTTCAATACAAATGAAATTCATTCAGCTATTTCCCAGATAATTTAGGGAATGCTCCGTAAGGACAAACACTGACAAACCATTTGGCTGCATATGGAGCTATAACGGCGGAGGCACAGCGCACAACCACTGTGCAGACAGCAGCTAGAGACAAGACGCCGACAGGCACCTCGTGCGGCCTGTGTCGGTGACGGGCCGGGGCAGCTTAGGGGCTGTGTGCAGACACCTTTGGATCGGAGAGTGGAACCCAGGGAGTGAGTGTGGGAATCCCTGGGAAATTTGGAACAAGAGTCTGGTTTCACCTCACTTTTGGAAGTGAAACTTTACACATAACTACTCATGAACAACATGAAATCTTAAATAATAACAAAAGCAGCTACTTTTAAAAATCATGGCCTTAGCTCTTGTTGCACCAACAGCGGGTCAAAGGCGGAGAGAGGCTGGGGCCTGCTCTCGGGAAAGGAGGCGGGAACCCTGGGTGGGCCGCGCTAGTCCCGGCGGCCTGGCCTTCCCAGGGTCGGCACTTGGCAGGAGACAGGCCCACCCTTGGGAACCGTCCTGGATGAGCCCCCGCGCGGCCCGAGGCCTCTCACCTGCAAGTGCAGGATCTTGGACTCGTTGTTCCGCAGCATCTCCTTCTGCCTCTCGATCTCAATCTCGAAGCTGCATATCTGGTTGTGCAGGCTCTGGATGCTCTTGTTCTTCTCCACACTTTCATTCTGCAGCAAGGAGACCTGGAAAAGAAATTCTTCAATGAAGCACACAAAAAGTGGTTTTAATGCTAATTAGTAACAATTATGATAATAAACTCCCACAAATAAGCCTTCCCTTAGCTCACCGGATGGAGTTCCAGGGCAGAAATCCCCCACACGGGACACGAAGTCCTGGCGATGCAACGGGAGCTCCCACCCAGCTGCGGGCACCCTCCCACCCTCCCAGGTGAGGTCAAGTGCAGCCCCGGGTCTCAGAACAAATGGGAGGCTTCCTAAAGTTTCTGCTGAAAACGAGTCACTCCCTTACCAAAGAGGCTTTCCGACTTTGACCAGGAAATGCAGTAGGAACCACATTCTTACATGTCACTATGTATCACGTGCGTGCGTGTGTGTGTACTTAAAAAGCAGGTGCCACAAAACCACCCTTGTCCTCACCACTTACAACACACCCTGATATTTCCTATTTTATTCTCATTTGCTTTAAAAAATGCTAGTCGCAACCCACTAATTATTTCATGTCTACCGACAGGCCCCTCTGCACCCTGAAAAGCTCTCCCAGCATGAGAAAGTGGTGAAGCCAGCTCCTCTCCAAGGGAGCCGGGGCTGCGGGTGCCCCCAGCTGCCTCCGCAAGCTCACCTGCAGCGCCTCCTCAGCCCAAGGCAGGTCCACGCCCACCTTGGACTTTTTTGAAGTCTCTTTCTGAGACACAATTAGCTCTCAAAAGCCAACTTCCTCTGGTCTAAAGCCCCCAGGGTGAGGATCTGAGGGCAACTCCTTCAAGGCTTCGACACAGGATTTCTACACAGGCACCTGGCCCCCCGAAAGGCCTCCTCTACCCGAGCATGGGTGTGGCTGCCCCCCTGGAAGTCACTGTGCGCTCAGATGGACAGGAATGACTCCTGGCCTGAGGACCGTGGTGCTGTCCCTGAGCTGGTGGCCCAAGAGCAGTCAGGAGAAGCTCAGGAGTGATCAGAGCGGATTCCCAACAGTGTCCCTTTACGGAATGACCACTGAAGACAGACGTCCTATGCTCGAGATGTTCGGGCGAGCAGCACCTTTGGACACAATCACAGTCTGTTTTACTTTAGAACAAATGTGTTTACTGAGGAAGACAAAACCTGCAGTGTCTCCTGGGGCTGGACTCAGCACAGTCGGACTGTCTTTCCTAAGATCCGCCGTCTCCAGTGCCCACGATGCCCACATGTGGCTCCGTGCCCAGTGCTGTCTCCTTTCCTGCGGTCACAGTCCACTCGTTCCCACAATTCCCAGACTCTTCAGTCTCACACCAAAAAGGAGATACGAGCATGTGCCAACCCTGCTGAAAACATCTCGTATCTCCAAGAACAGCAGCAAACACGTCTCCTTGGGAGACTCAGAATGCCTCACCTTGGAGACCCTCATGCATACTAAACACTAAGTTCTTCACTGGGCAGCTTTCCTGATTCAAACTCATTTTATTTATTTACATATATTACTGGGAGAACCGGCCCACACCTGCGGAAGCCGCTCGCACTCATCCATCAGGTAGACGACATGCACCAGAGAGGCGGCCTAACAAGTGTTTCTAGGAGGCTCAGGCAACACTCCCACAACAGGTGCACAGGCCCTTGCCTCCCGAGAAGACCCCCCGGAGAACATCCTTGTCGGGCCTGTGCTGGGAGCAACTCCGTCTCCCTCCTAAAATGCAGGGTGTGGACGGGTGCTTTTAAGTCCAGATTTTACAAAACATTTTCTATATTTTGACCACAAATGTAATGTGATGACCAGTCTCTCCGAACCGACCTAAACATTCTATTTTCTATCACGTGAACAAAATAACCCGAGATTGCAGCTGGATAATCTATACCGAGGAAAAACCTTTGCGAGTAATCACAAGTTTCTCCACCTTGGTGCGGCCTTCACTTCGGGCCCAGTGAAGAGAGGGTCCAGGGGAGGCTGCATGGGGTCGAGGTTCGGCGGCCTGATGGACAGTCGAGGGCAGGGCTCTGAGCAGCACCCAAGACCAGCACCTCCGGTCTGCCCTTGCAGCGCCCCTCAGGCTGCAGGGTGGGCATGTCGCGGTGACACCAAGCGAGGTGTTCGCAGTGAGGCTGCTGCGGGCTGCGTGCAGGTGGCCACGCTGGCAGGTGTGGGTCCCCAGTGAAGGGGCGCTTCGCTGTGAGGTACTCTGACCAAGTAGGGGGAGAACCTACTGATGGGGAACCTCCAGGCGCCCCACAGGGTGTCAGCCCAGAACCATGCTGGTGGAACTGGACAGCTCCCACCGCAGCCTGCTGGACTGTTATGTAATCAGTGCAGCTGGAATAACCAATCCATTTCAATGAGAGAGAACCTTTTAAATGAATGAGAAGCCGTATTTATGAGACTTAAGCCCTGAGATCCACGCCTACCATTTTTAAAAGGGCAGAAACAGAACAGCCTTCAGAAAACAGATTCTAGGAAACCATCATGGACTCAGCAGCGCCACATGCTGACAGGACAGTGAACTAACACTTCACGTTCAGCAGACCTCCTCCCAGTGTGTATCTTCAGCTTGAGCATTTATATTAAAACACTACTTTATTTCAGATTTGATGAGACATTTGATTTAAGCCCTGGCCAGTTTGGCGCAGCGGTTAGAGTGTCGGCTGGCAGACCAGTGAGTCGTGGTTTCAATTCTGGCTACGGGCATGTACCTCAGTTGTGGTTGGTCCCAGGCCCTGGCTGGGGTTGTGTGGGAGGCAACCAGTCAATGTGTCTCTCTCACATTGATGTTTCTCTCTCTCTCCTGCCCTCCCTTCCACTCTGTCTGAAAATAAATGGAAAAAATCTCCTTGGGTGAAGATTAAAAATAAATAAAAAGCAGGGCACATGCAACTGAAAACCAGAACTCCTTTGTCGACATGTGAGATCACATGAGGGGAATCTGCTTGTCTGACCGGCTCGTGACGCCGTTTCCTTTACCCCCGAACCGTTAATAACTGTAACAGTTTGTCACTAACAGGTTTCCTCTTTTTTTTTTTTTTTTTTTGTAATCCTCACTCGAGGACATTTTTTTGTTCAGATAGAGAGGGAGGAAGAGAGAGAGAGAGAGAAACATCGACGCGAAGGGACACATCGAGTGGCTGCCACCTGCACGACCAACCAGGGCCGGGGACAAACTGCAACCGAGGTACGTGCCCTTAGCGGAACTGAACCCGGGTCTCTCGGGACCGCAGGCCGACGCTCTAACCGCTGAGCCAAACCGGCCAGGGCAACAGGTCTCCTCTTTGAGGTGACCTGAGGAGATCGAGGACCCAGGGGAAGCAGGACGTGCACCTACCTTCTTCTCCAGTGAGCTGCTCCACTCCTTCAGCAAGTCGACGTGCTGCACCGCGGAGCTGGCCTCGTGGGCCTTCATCTGCTGGTTGGTCCCCTGCGAGAACAGAGGTGCGGAGCATGAAGCCCAGGGTCGCACCACAAGAGCGGAAAGCCTAACAGACGGACGGCCTAAGAGCAGCGTGGACCATGAGGTGGGGGCCAGGCTGGCAGGCCGTGCCCAGAGTCCCTACTGGGAGCAGGCAAGAGGCTGGCCACCAAGGCTAGGGGACGGGCTCTGTGGCCGGGGGACGGGCTCTGCAGCTGCACAGTCTCAAGGCCGTGTGCCTCGCTTCTCAAGCTGCTCAGAGGGTGCCTTCTCGGCTATGCTCATACTTGTGATAGCGAGAAATTAAATTTCAGACATCATTTTCATTCCTTTATAAATGTTTTCATTAAAAATATAGATGGAAAATGTTTGGACAGCTTCAGTTACAGCTAGAGACTGATACAACAATCTAGTGGACATGGAATCGGACGAGGATTTGGAATAACTCACCGAGATATTAACTTATCAGGAAGCACACTGTCTCAGGAAATGTGCTGCTCACTGCCGTGAGCATACTTGGAAAGGTACGTACAAAACATAAACAATCTACAGAGTACATAAGATGTAGACCATCTTAGTCAGTACTAAGCACAGGAAGTAGTACTTCACATATTTAAGGAAATAGTTGGTATAAAAATGGAATTTGTTTTGATATTGAAAAATAAAGCCACAGGAAGCATTTTAATGATCTCCAAAACATATACTCTGTACATAGGATTTTCATATATGTATGTTGATATGAGTATTGCTGAATACCGACATACACATATGCATACACAGAATGAATGGCAACTACATACGACATCACGGGGTGAGGGCTCCGTGCCCTCTAGAGCGAGGCACAGGGAAAGCGGCATCCTTCTCACTTAGGCCTTTTACTTCCTAAGAAAATACTACGATGCCAATACCTCTGTCCTGATTTCACAGGATGCATAGCTAACACATAAAATTAAATATAAGATACTCTAATGGCAATATATATTGTCTTCACATAGTTTTAAAATTAAGATCTACATTAAATAAAAATTCAGTTCAAATTCACTACAACCTCGGACGTGCTAAAAAACAAACCAAAGCCAGAGCGTCTCACAGCGCGGATGCGGCAGTGACAGATGTCCTCTCCCCACGGCCCTCTGGGCTGCGGCTTGTGTGTGGGGTGCACGCCCCTGGAACCATGCTAGCTGCACGCCCACTCATGCTGTTACGGCTGACATTCCCGACTGGCTGCTGGAGAGCCCCCCCATCAGGCCTGCGCCCGCTCGCTAGCTGGTCTCAGACACAGCCGTTCTCGGGGAACGTGCTGACTTCCTCCTGGCACAGGCAGTGGGGTAATTCGGTTCCGTGACAAAGACTCAAAGTCCAGAACTGGCACGTTAGATAACTTGTCAATGTGATAACTTTCTCTCATGGCAGAATGTCAGCGACTGGGAAGGACAGATGTCGGATACTGACCTGAAAAACGCAGCCATAGCGCTTAAAACTACAGGTGCTGGGGGCATTGACACACTCTGACAAGTGCGCACTCAACTGCAACAGGAAAGAGACGTGAGTTGTGGCACGAACGTTCGCATGAACATGTTCAAGCAGGTTAAAGGCACAGTCACCTGGGCTGTACTGTCACGAACGGTGTGTACAGCCACAGGTGTGCACCTATCACTGGCTCCCGAACTTCGGCAGTAAATTTACAGTATCATCACATGTACACACATATATACACCAATATACAGAAATACGTTCACTGTAACATTGCTAAAACTTGCATTTTCTTTAGAATTGTCCAAAATGTGACATGCCATCTGCAGTGCCAGAATTAAAAAGGAAAAAAACGTAAACTAAAATGCACATTTAAAGACTGTAAACAAAAACTGCATGAAACACAAAAAAGGAAGCATTCAGGATGCAACTAGGCCACACACCTCATATACAGTACACAAAAATAAATTTATTTCCAAAGCAAGTTTACAGGACAAACCACCAGGTGCAACACTCGAGGTAACTGGAGATGTTCCTCCTACTAAGACGCTCCCTCTGCAGGGCTGTGCATTCACGGAGCTTCCAGGGACCGCTAAGGTCATTCTAACCACGTGAATCCTAACTGTCACCTCTCGCCATGGGAAAAAATTAGGAGGAAGCTGGAGAGGATCTCTCATGTGCAAGGAAAGAGCCTCTGTGCAGCTTATATGTTGGCAACTCATCGAACACAAACCACTTACACTCTTGATGCCTCAGGAGGGAAGGGGCCGACTGCCTGCCTTGTGGACGAGTGCTGGGCCCTGGGCTCCCATGATCTAAGGACAGTTTCTCCTTTACTGAAGAAATAAACTCTCATCAGGAAACTCTGGTGAAAGACCTTCCTGGGAACAATCAGACCCTGAATCGGCAGCGGGTGTGGGATGTCTGTCCATGGGCCAGAGCCCACGCACCCCAGGGCCCACAGCGTGTCACTCTGGCAGCTGCACTTGTTTCTACAGCTTCTCCTCCATCTACAGGACAAAGATGGGCCCTTCCCTTTAGGTCAGCACTCAGGGAGGAGAGGAAAGGGGGCCGCAGGACTGCTCTCTCACCCTGTCTTGACTGCTACGGAGGAGGCAGGTGCTGAGAGGGTGGCCTGAGGGACCCAGCCGACCAAGGCCGAGGCTGACCTCTGCAGAAGGTCTGAGCCAGGGCGGCCGTGGTGGCAGACATGCAGCCTAGCGCACCTGCTGTCCCCAGAGCCAGCCTGGAAGCTCAGGCTGCACCTGCAGGGAGCGCTGAGGGGTGCGTCCCAGGGCCACGCAGACACAGCCTGAGGCGGCATGCGCAGTGCGTCAGGTTAAGATGTCAGAGGTGCTCTTTCACGGCTGCACCACCTCGGAAACTGAGCAGCTAATGCTGGGCTAAAATGAGGACACTGAGTTTCACGCAATTTCTAGTGTGCCACTGTGAATTCAGGGTCACACTTTTTCCTAAATTGGCTTTATTATCATTACTCATAGAATATACAGGTGCTTTGGAATAGAGGCAAAAAGAATCTATACACTAATGATACCTTTCATCAAAACCCCAAGATAAATGCAGGTTTAAAGATTTTTTAAAATACAAGTAACTTAGAGGCGAAATGGAGGCAGCTTGTCCCTCATTCAGATAGCCCCACGTGAGTAAGAATTTAGGGACATGTATAAAACCCTGAAAGTTATTTCAACAGTACAGACCCTTCACACGCTCACTTTAGCAGGGGCTTCCCGCTGTGGCCGTAACCGACATGCACGCATCTCCGGGCGCCAGGGGCCCTGCCTCGCCCAGCAGTCACCTCGTGTGAGGGTGCACCTTGGGCGAGAGTAGCTCTTGGGGTCCTCCCTGCACCCTGTGTCTCCCTCAGCAGGGACATGAGATGACTCCTCACCCTGGACCAGGGTAAAGTACAGGCTGCTGGAAAGGCTGAGGTGAGCAGGTTCCTCAGGTCAGAGCACCCTGACTACGGGGACGCACGTGCCCACAGGAGCCCCAGATGGCACCCCGAACACAACCAAAGGGGCTCCAGCTCAGGATCAGGTAAAAACAGTAAGCATGCTTGGAATGTATCCTGATCGGGTGAAGTCCACCCAACTCTACTTCCTGAGGGCGGTGTGCGCTGTGGCGCCGGGTCAGGGGCCTTCTCTCTGCTCCCGAAATGCAGCGGCCACAGTGCCCACTGGCTTCCCAGGGCCAACCCCGCACGGCACGCGTGGCCATTAACTCATTTTATTCTTAATTAATTTCTTTTCTTGAGATACTGTACAGTAATTCCTATTTTATAGATGTACAAATAGTTTCTTTTTGAAAGAAAAGCAGCACCTTTACTTGCATTGTGAAGAAATCCCACTTTCTCTATTCTCAACAACATTTGTTCGGAATTTACCACTCTGTCGCTTTTCACTGCTCGCTTCTGCAAACTGCCTCCCCAAACAGCAGGTCTGTGCCGCTTTTCCAGCATCCTCATCATGGCTGGAGCCTGCGAACACCTCAGGTGTCCGCTCGCTCATCCTGAAGTCAGCCCCAACCCCTGGCCGGGCCCTGGCCACGCCCTTACCTCGCTCCTCAGGAGGGTCTGGACTCTGCACTGATGAGGGCAGGACACCACCACGCACGGACAGTCAGTGTCTTCATGTTTCTGGAGGAGAAAACCAGTGTCAACTCCGGAACATACAGGTCCCACCGGCGTTCCCACAAGGAGCCGGAGCTGCTCACAGTACTGCTCCGCAGTCACGAGGCTCCAGGACTCCGGGTAAGCCCTCGTCCTGAATAAATAAGGCCTCCCAGCAGACGCTCACCCCTGATGCACCGTGGGAGCGGTGCCCTCTTAGCAGCACCCCTGGGCCTACACTGCAGCAGGGACGCTGAGGCCAGCCCGGGTCCAGCCTTTGCTGGTTGGAGAGGACAGGTTTCATCTGGCCTCTCAGTCTGGGGTCTGGAAATGATGCTTCTCAAATACCTGAAACAGTAAGACCTCCTGGGTATTTAAATTACTGCCCTGTAATCTTACGGAGATTATCTTCGGTACATGGAAAATGTGGGTAAATTCTGCTTGAATCCCTCTCTGGATGGGGCCCAGATAATGGTGGCTGTTCAACTCAGTGCCACAGGTGCCCATCTTGTACACCTATCCATAAGCAAAGCGAGGGCAAGACAGGTAACAGGGCCCAGAGAACAGGTGGAGCCGGAGGGGGAACTGCCCGCTCAACAAAGCCCCTGCGGTGGACGGCTCCGGGGACACACCCTACTCTCTTCAGCTCCTCTGAGCTTCCACTCAGGCTGCGGTTACACTGAATGACGGGGGAGGCCTGACCAAGTGCCTCGTCTGACTGGGCAGGCGAGGGGACCAAGGATAAGGGTGACCCACATAAGCGAGTGAGCGAGGATGGTCCTCTCCCAAGTCCTGGAGCCAGGCGTGGGTTTGAGTCCCTCGTCTCCACTGTGGGTCCGTGGGGCAGCGATGACTAAGGCACACACTGCTCTGCTCCTGGGCCAGGTCCTCAGAGACCCCTACAGGGAGGCCCGGTGCTCAGAGCTCATCAGAGGGTACCTACTGGCAGGTCTCCCACAGGGGCACCAGCTTTGGCTTTCTGTCCTGCCTGCCTATGCCCAGAATTCTGAGTCCCCAGGTGCCAGTCTTTCAGGGAGAAACCTGAGACAAATGACTTCTCTGCTTTATCTGTAAAAGGTGGGAGTGGCCAGGGGTGAGGGCTGAGCCAGTCCTGGGCCTGCAGAGCTCCCCCAGCCAATGCTCTGCCTCCTCCTGGAACCTGCCCTTGACCCCACCTTCACGAACCACTGGGAACGCAAACAGATCATCACCCTGGAGATATCAGGGGACAGGGGTGGAGTGGGGGGGGCTGAAGAATAAGTGAGGGGTGGGGGCGGTGTTCTGGGGAGGGTTCCACACCTCTGTGTGTACCCTCTGCAGGGCTGCGCACGGGCACCTGCCAACAGGTTTCCAGGAGTCAGCTGTGCTGGGTGACAAAGGTATGGTACCTAAAGTGGGGTTTTCACAAATACTGCCAAGCCACCCTCCTATGACCCCACCCACACGCTCCGATCGCCCCGAGCTGCAAGCTCCAGCCTCGTAAGTGCCGTCAAGCCTGCCGATCTCCGCCAGTGCAGCAAGTCAAAACAGCGGCGTGCTTTGCAACCCTTCAACAGTGTGCGGTTAAGCACGTTTTTGATATTAACCATTTATATTTCCTGTGAATTGCCTTTTCTTGGCCTTTGCCCATTGTAGTGGGTTGAACAGTGACCCTTCCCCCCAACTCATGTCTATCCAGAACCTTGGAATGTGGCCTTATTTGGGAACAGGGCCTTTGCTGATGGAACGCTAGGATGAGGCCACGCTGGTCAGGGAGGGGCCTAGATCTACTGACTGGGGTCCTGATACGAGAAGGACACACGGCATGTGAACTGGGGCAGACCTCAGCAGTGTGGCTGCGGGCCAGCATGCACCCAGGATGCCCCGCCCAAGATGGGGGTGGGGGTGGGGGTGGGTTCGTCTCTGGAGCCTTCACAGGGAGCACAGCCCTGACGACATACCTTGGTTTGGGCTTTCTAGCCTCCAGAACTGTTAGAGAATATATTCCTGTTGTTTTAAAACACCAACTTTCTGCCCTGGACGGTTTGGCTCAGAGGTTAGAGCATCGGCCCGCGGACCAATGAGTCGCAGGTTCGATTCCACTCAAGGGCACGTACCTCAGTTGCAATTCATCCCTGGCTCTGGTTGGGGTCGTGCGGGAGGCAACCACTTGTGTCCCTTTCACGTTAATGTTTCTCTCTCTCTCTCCCACTCTATCTGAACAAAAAAGTGAAAAAAGTGTCCTTGGCTGAGGAATAAAAAAAATAAGTAAATTTAAAAAATAAAACACCAGCCTTGGCCGGTTTTGCTCAGTGGTTAGAGCATCGACCTGCGGTCCAGAGAGACCCGGGTTCGGTTCCCGCTAAGGGCATGTACCTCAGTTGCAGTTTGTCCTCAGCCCTGGTTGGTCGTGCGGGTGGCAGCCTCTCGATGTGTCCCTTTCACGTCGATGTCTCTCTCTCTCTCTCTCTCTCTCTCTCTCTCTCTCTCTCTCTCTCTCCCCCTCCTACTCTATCTGAACAAAAAATAGAAAAATGTCCTCAGGTGAGGATAAAAAAAAAACCCACCAACTTTGTGGTCCCTTGTTACAGCAGCCAAAGGAAAATAACAGTCATTAAAATGCTGCTCATCTACTGGAGCAGGAACTCTGCATCCTGACACAGCCAGCCTATCTGTCAAGTTACACGTGACTTTGATATGCGCAGAGCAGATGTAACATGCAGGGGAGCCGGGAGAGCAGGACCATCTGGTGACACCCCCAGGGGCCAGCCCATCTACCTGTGTGCTCCTGCCTCATCTGTGCCCTCCCCCACGAGCCACCATCAAAACTAGCCTCAAACTGTTTCTACTGTCTTTGCTTTAAAAATATTTTGCTGCACACATATTTGTGCCAGACAAAATACTGTTTTGTTTTGATTGCTTCTGAATTTTATCAAAACAGAATTCTACCCAAGGAGTTGTCTGCCACGTGGCTCAGTGTCAGGCTTCTCAGGCTGATCGTGTGCTGTGCACATCTGCAGGGTCTCACCTCACAGGTGTGACTGTCACACACACATCCTCACGTGTCACACGGCCCATGGGGCCTCCACACTGGTGTGTGCACTCTCCAGCAGGTGAAGGTGCGGGCTGTCTCCGGGCTCCGGAGGCTCTGGCTATGTGCGGCCATCCTGGCCTGTGTGCCTGACAGCTTCTCCCTGGCCAGGGGAGGAGCTACTAGTTAACTGAGCACATGAATGTTCTGCCAAATTGTTTTTCAAAGTGGCTACACCTACAAACCTCCCATTGCAATGTATGTTCTCCCATAACATGGGATGCTTGTCATCCTGACTTCTCACAAATGAACACAACTGCTAAAGAAGGCTAACTGTGAAGCGATGCTGACCTGCAGATGGACGATACAGCATCAACGCCAGTGCAAGCGCAGACAAAACTCCCACAGGATGTGAATGCTCAGAGTGCCGGGCTTCACCCACGCTATGCTATCAGCACTGCCGTAAGGACCCGACACAATGTGGGGAACGCAGGAATGCCAGGCGAGCGGAGCTCGGGTCTGCCCGAAGCTAAACGGCTGCTCTGTGTAAACGTGCCCAGAAGGCCTGGGAGGGTGAGGCTAAGTGTGTTCGAGTGGAAACAAGACTGGGAGCCAAAATCACGTCAATGGGACAGGAGGCCGGGCACCAAGGGACCTCTCCCTCGTTGTGTGAGGACATGAGTGTACAATGGTCTGACTAGCGTCAAGTGCCTGGTGCACACGGAGGGACCGGGAACAGATACACCTCATAGAACTACAGGTCCGGACAGACTGCAGCACATTCCTTAACGTACACTTGAATGTCAGCATCGCTAAAACAGGTCGTCTCGAGGGTGCAGTGAGATTTTAAGGAGGCTGGATTTGCACAACTCAGGCCCCAAACTTTCTAGTGAGCAGTCTATGCCTCTGCATCTGTTGTGCCTCTCGCCCGTTTGCAGCGGACAGATTTAAGACCCAGATCAAATCCACTGCTCTCTGCTTACCGAAGCCTTCGTGACCCGTCCTTCTCATGGCACTTCATTCCTACCAGTCTCAGCGAGACGAAGGGGCAGGCCAGTCTGTGCTCAAGTGCGCCGTGAGCAGCCAGCTCCCTGTCTGGTGCCCACCAGGCCTTCCAACATCTCGTGAATCTGGACACCACGTTATTTTAAAACCGGTCTCTTCACAGCCTCGTTTGGAGTTCAGTCGGTTACTTACGTGGTGTTTAACTGACAAGCTCTACAATTCTTTCTCAAATGAAAATTAATCACTGGATTCTATTCTGCAGAGAGAGGTCATTGATTCTTGCAGGAAGCAAAATGCAAGTTTGACAGCAACAGGCCCACATGTGCCAGGCCTGGGGTACTGCTCGTTAGGTGCATGTCTCCTTCACTCGAGCCTAATTACCAAAGGGATTATTCAGCTATGACAAATACTACTGCTGTTCTCCAAAGGGAGGGCACAGTTCTGAAAAGCTCTTAGTAACTGGAAACGTCTATAGAATTGTACAGGAAAAAGATTTCACAATGGAAGAAAGTCACAGGCATAAGAAAGTTACACAAAGTAAGATAAACATGGAGATTATCAAGATCATTTCATACCAAAACCCAAAAACTTTCCCTAATTTTGGTCAGTAAGTGCTTCAGAATGCCCACCAGGAACTTAGCTGTGGCCCTTGCGCCCAGGCTGCACTTTCCTAGTGCCCTCCCACCTGAGGTCCCCATCAGTCGTCACCCTGCCATGCCCAGAAGTCGATTCCCAGCCCCTCTGCTCAGCCTTCCAGCACCATCTGCCCCACCTGCCCCTCACCCCGCTCCCCTGCTCTGGGCACCACTCCCCTGGTCCTTGGCAGTGGCCACTCCTCTGCTGGATGGCCCCTCTCTGCAGTCTGCCAGTATTCGTGTGCTGGGCTGCTGGGCTGGCCTTGGTTCTGCAGCCTGGACAACTCCCGTCCTCCCCCAGCCTGTTACCGTCCACGAGCCTCGCCTTGGCAGGACACGCTGGCCCATGCAGCTGCTCTAGTTACAGATGCCGGTAGTCACCCTCAGCGCATTAGCTCATCCTACTGGTCTACCTTTGAAACTACCCCAGAACCCCTCCCTCCCCCTACTCTCCTTGTCCAGGCCAACACTGTGCCTCCCTGTCACCACCCCACGCACCTGTCGCACCTTCCAGAGCAGTGCAGGAAATGTCACCCCAGTTCAGGGCTGCCCTCTTGTCAGCCTCCTGACCCTTTGGCACCTTGACTCTGTTACGTGCTGGGAGCATGCTGGCCTCTCAACAGTTCCTAAAATTCACCTGCCAAGTTAGTCCCAGCTCAGAGAGCCCCACTGTTCCCTCTGCTGGGAGGTTCTTCCTGCCTCGGCCGTTGACGCAGTCAGAGGCCAGCCCTGATCACCTGTGCCCTGATGTAGCTTCCTGTTCTCCACAGTACCAATTGCTACTGCACACTGTGTGTGTACCTGTTACTCGTCTCTGCCCATGAGAAGGTGAGTTTCACCAAGAAACCCTCAGACCCAAGAACAATGTCAAGCACATAGTCGACACTTAGTAAATACTTATTCCACAAATGGACCCATTTTGAGGGTTACCACACCACTGATTGTTTTTTTTATCCTCACCCAAGGACATTTTTCCATTTTTTGTTCAGATAGAGTGAGAGGGAGTGGAAGGGAGAGAGAGGGGGGGAGAGAGAGAGAGAGAGAGAGAGAGAGAGAGAGAAACATCGACGTGAAAGGGACACATCGAGTGGCTGTCACAGGCATGACCAACCAGAGCTGGGGACAAACTACAACCAAGGTACATGCCCTTAGCGGGAACCAAACACGCGTCTCTCTGGACCACAGGCCGACGCTCTAACCGCTGAGCCAAACTGGCCAGGGCCACCACTTTTTAAAGTTTGTTCTCCACTCCCAAACCCTCTCTCTTTCTCTTTAATTTACATGATATTGAACCATGTCAAAATAATCGAGGTATGAAAAACATGTCAAGTTCTCATCTCTCTGCAGGACAGACAGCGGCACGTCAATGGTGCAGGACAATTACCCTGCCGAAGGGACGTTACCATGGGGCTGTGAAAAATGAAGCAATCTAACAAGATTTTCAGGCCATTCCTGAGACAAGTGAAAAAATTCTACCTCTTTTGAATAATTAGTCATTTTTTTTGGCATCCCAAATGATAGTCAACCAAGGCAATGAAAACGTTAATTACATACATGAAAACGGGTAAAACAAATAAAGCTTAACTCCGAAATAAAGTCAGATTAAATTGCTATTTTCTCCTATCTTGTCTCTTTATTCCTGTTAGAATAGTCATTTAAAAGCTATTCTGTGGACAAACCACATCTGGATTGAGCAATACTGCACCTGCAACGTGATCATGGGAACTTGGCTTTTGCAGTGGCTGCATGTGGCCTCGCGGTATTTACAGGCCTTATCCACATGGTCACGCAGGTCTTTTCTCAGGACCCTTTCTTTGCAGTCAGCGCGGACACACGGAAGCTCTTCAAACTGGCAGTCATTCTTCAAGTGCACCTAGAAGGCAAACAGTGCAAAGTTCTCAGTCGGCAAAAAATGCCATCAGCAACACCAGATTTTAGCCTCTATGCAATCAAACCCTGCAGAAGTGCTTCTGTCTGCCGAGACTAGCGCTCCACAGAGAAGACTGACACGTGTACGGAGGGCACTGCATTTACTCAAATGACTGCTCTGAAGAAGCAAGTCGACTCCTCCTCCTAGATAAATACATGGTTATCTGCTAAGGGCTTTGTTTTATTCTAATTCAAATCTCCTTTCGGGATAAAATGTTACCAACCAATAAAACACAAGAAGTTATGTAGAATTTCATGGTTTAAAAAAAACAAAAAAAGAGGCTTTAATGGGCCTTCCCAAATTAAAATTCAATACTATTTCTCTCTATTCTAAACAGGGTGGGGGTTTAAAACCCAGTTGCGAATTCTGCTAATGATGTCACCGAAAGAACATGTTGTACCCGAGGGCTCCGACTGCTCTCACACTGATTGTGTGTTGAAGGATTGATGCAAACGTGGACCTCAGTGGGCATCACACCAACCAGGGACACGTATGTTCTGTGTAAAACCCACCGTGTCACCTCGGTACTGACCAGCAGATGTCCCAGGGTTAGTTGCTCTGCACAGCCTCGACTTTCATTCCTACAGTAGATCTGAAGGGCCAGAATCTCCCTCTTGCAGCAGTTATCCTTAAACACCTGAAACAGAAAGACAGTCACTTTAGAGGATTAGTATTTCTTAATCTCCACATGATGCTACTTTGGACAACCCAAACCACTTTAAAAAATCATGAAAGCATCTCTTCAGTGGACTTCAGAAAGCATTAAGGACCATCTTAATTTCTAATGTCCATAAGTAGAAGAAAGAAGCTGCCCCCACAAAAAGACATTGCTTCAATAGCCCAACCTCAACTATGGTCTTTTATTAGAAATGCCGAAGGAAAGCCAGTCACACTGAACGCAGAGATCGCTATGGAGCGTCTGGACGGTCTGGATTCGCTCTGACACAATCTCAAGGCGGGCACGCCAGGACCAAGTTCACATTTGGACTCAGGACGCTTCTGGGAGCCAGCTCTGAGAGGGTAGCAACAGGAGCGCACCCCGATCAAGGGACAAGGGCAGAGCCTGCAGAATGCAAGGCCTTCCTAGATGGCTTGCTGGAGAAACTTCTGTGAATGATCACACCTCACAGATGGTTTGTAAAACATTTACTTTGGTTCTTTCTCCTAAGAGTAAGTCACTCACAACTCATTTTTCACCAAAAAGGAGGCATTAGCCTGCTATTTAAAAAATATATTTTATCCCTGGTCGGCTTGGCTCAGCGGTTAGAGCGTCGGCCTGCAGTCCGGAGAGACCTGGGTTCGGTTCCCGCTAAGGGCACGTACTTCGGTTGCAGTTTGTCCCCGGCCCTGGTTGGATTGTGCAGGTGGCAGCCACTCGATGTGTCCCTTTCACGTTGATGTTTCTCTCTCTCTTCCTCTCTTTCCCTTCCACTCTATCTGAACAAAAAAATGGAAAAATGTCGAGTGAGGATAAAAAAAAATATTTTAAATATTTATTGCAAAGACTGAGGGTGATCCAATAGTGAAAATATTTCCCTTTCAGAATGAGAACCCTCCGTTCTTTAATTTTATTCCCTCTTTAGAAGCAGGCCCAGCGGGCCTCCATCAGCAGTCCTCACCACCTGGGCCTCCGGCCTCTGCCTCTGAGGAACTCCGCATGCTAACACCACCACAGTGGGAAAACAGACAGGGTGCCTTTCTCAACTCCACAGGCAGAGAAACAGAATCGACAGCTGTTAAGCGTTAAACTAATTTGGAGTCAAATCTAATCCTTTATAAATATTACTTTTTTAAAAGGTCATAATTTAAGATATGAAAGTCAACAAAGTAAGTATTTTTTTTTATCCTCACCCGAGGACATTCCTGCTTTTATCTTCAGATACAGCGGGAGGGAGGGAGGGAGGGAGAGAAACATCTATGCGAGACTCATCGAGTGGCTGCCACCCACATGACCCCAACCAGGGCCAGGGACAAACTGCAACCGAGGCACGTGCCCTTAGTGGGAACCGAACCCGGGACTCTCTGGTTCGCCGGCCGACGCTCTAACTGCTGAGCCAAATCGGCCAGGGCCAAGGAAGTATTTTTATTTATATTTTTATCCTCACCTGAGGACATTTTTCCATATTTTGTTCATAGAGTGGGAGGGAGGGAGAGAGAGAGAGAGAGAGAGAGAAACATTGATGTGAAAGGGACACATCGAGTGGTTGCCACCCACACAACCCAACCAGGGCCGGGGACAAACTGCAACCGAGGTACATGCTCTTAGCGGGAACCGAACCCGGGTCTCTCTGGACCACAGGCTGACGCTCTAACCGCTGATCCAAACTGGCCAGGACCAAAGGAAGTATTTTTAATTGGTGAGAAATAAGCTTCCTTTTTGTGCCAAAGTTTAAGTCATTTGAGTTTAACTTGACAGAGAAGAACCACAGACGGAAACATAGTAACAGAAGTACAGAATGCGAGAGCTGAAAAAGAGCGCTGTTTATTCACTACAACCGTCCACCACGATGAGGACCCTGGGGTCCCACTGCGGCCCCATCGTCAGGGATCTAGCCGTGGTCTCCCAGGGCCCAGCTTTCCCACGAGGACTGATGACGTTACTCATCTCCTCTCTGATCCTTCAAAAAAACTCGTCCTTTTCCTCCAGCGATCAATGCCGCTGACAAAAGGAACAGTGCTGGAGAATGAATGGAGGTGCTGAAACCTCCTTGGTCTGCTGTCGCGACCTTCTCACAGTCACACCCGTCAGATGCACCTTTACAAAGTGCCAGGTTAGCTGCCGTGTTAAGAGGCTGAGGTGGGTGATTTGTTTTTCTTAAAAACAATCCCCTTCCTGTTACCAACCAAAGTTTTTAGAAGCAGATAAATGTTTGGAAAGAAAAGGCAGATGGACACTTGGCCAATCCCGTCTCTACACTGTGCCAAGCAGGTGCCCCCAGCCGCCCTGCCCTACAGCCCGGGGCACCCATCACAGTGACCCGCAGGCCACTGCGCTCTTCTGGGCTGCCCAACGGCACCCAGTCTGCGAAGTGCTGCAAAGAGGAGAGCCCCAGAGCGAGAATTCAACTGTATAATTTAATGACCTGCATTTAAAAAACTGTTAGGTTCATTAATCAAAATACCAGAACCACAGATTACTATTGATATTTTAAGTATTTCAATGAGTCATTTCAAACTACAAGTGTGCCTGACAGGGTTTGGCAGCACACGACGGCCACAGAGACGCCGCGAGAGGGGATCAGGCCTCAGGATGGAAGCTGATGGGAGACCTGGGTGGCCTCCTGAGCTCTGGCAGGGTGGCCCCCTGTGACACCTATGAGCTTTCCCTGGCACACAGAGTCATAAGGGGAGGGAAGGGGCTGAAATCTCAGGTGTGCAATGACTTGAAGATGCTACCTGAGGGCAGAGAGACAGTGAGCTCGTGTTTGTGTAAGACCCCAGGTGACAACCTGTGCACCTCACTCTCACCACCTCCTTGCTCCTCCCAGGTCTTAGGAGGGCGCCACTCCCATGTCAGGTAAGGGGAAGCTCAGAGTGTGAAGCACCTCGCTGGGGCAGACTTGCCCTGTGTCCGGGCGTCGGCATGACATGGCAGACATGACCCCACTGCACCAGCTGTCACACTGAGGTCAAGTTGGAGCTGGAGCACTATCCAGCTCACACATGAGACCAAATACTGTATCAAAGACCCAAGAATACCTTATCTTTAATGATGCTTTCTTGACACGCAGTACATTTTGGGCTGGTGGAGCTGAGAGGAAACACAAACACGTTAGGGTGGAGTCCCATCCCGGTCCGGTGCGAGCCTCGATGGCCCGCAGCTGTGGGGCGTTCGTGACGACCAGAGCTTTGGGATGCGGGGCAAGTCTGGTCGACACATGAAGTCATAGGAAGAGAGGGCAAACGTGTTTAATGGTAACTTTTCATAAGGAAGTTGAGAAGAACAGCTAGTCAGTCCCATTTGGAAAGCCCCTTTCAGTTAAAAGTGAAATTTTGTATCAGAAACCAAAACCAGCTACGCCGGCGTGTCCAGGGGCTCAGGAGCCAGCACTTTCCCTACACCCTCGTGCCCACCAATGGGGCCCACCGTGAAGGGAAGGCAGTGCCACTGCACACACTTGACAGTGTGTGCCGGGCGTGGGCAGAGGGGCAGGGTCCAGCAGCCTGGGAACAGGGCAGGAGAGCTGAGGGCTGATGGGGGAGGAAAGGAATGTGACTAACACTATGAGCTCGTTCATTTAGATGACACTATCTGACATGGAGGTGCTGCTAGGCTGTTTTAATCACAGGAATCTTTTCACACCCTTAGACCCCAGGGCTGAGCAACATCCAGGCAGGGTCCTGACAGCTATAGAACACGGGGCAGCAGAAGAAGCAGGAGCAGAAAAGGATGCACGAAGCCAGAGAGGAACAGCCCGCCCCCACCTGCCCTGAATTCAGGAACAACTGGTGCTTGGAGTTAACTCAAGAGTGACTCCACCCACAACAGGGAGCTGGGTTCACTGTCCCGGACAGTGGACAGGCCCACAGCTGGGAGGACCCAAAGGAGGGTGATGGGGACGGAGGCTGCGGTTGTGCCCAGTGGTGAGTTAGAAAGAGGAGGGGGCACCTTCCCAGACCCTGTGCCCTGACAGGGACAGAGTAAACCCAGGGCCCAGTACCATGGCCAGGAGACACCTGCGGGTGGAGGAAGACACTTGCATGGCCAGTGTTATTTTTGCTGAGATGCGCCCCCATGACTCTAAGGTGGCATCAGTACTCAGCTGACCAGGCTCCCACGGGCCTGGTGCACGCTCTGCTCACAGTCGCTGGCTCAGCGCACACACAGTGGATTACTCCTCAACCCTGCACACCAGAACACTTGCACATTAAGGATTCCGCAGTCAGGGTCTCCTCCCCCGAACTGTGAGCTAGCTCCTTGGGCAAAAGTCAGCAACACTGTCAGGGGACACCACAGACGGAACACCAGGGTCAGAGTGGCTGGTACCATCAAGAAGGTGGCAGGGGAGACTTTACAAATGCTTAGGGGAGGAGAAGACAGAAGTCTGCGGACGGGGCCAGGTGGTCCAGGCCACGGGTCACAGGGGCCCATGAATTCAGGTGTGGGTCCCGCTAGGCTTCCCTAAATGCCTCATTTATTTGGGTTTCTGGAGAGCTCAGACCTTAGAGCTTGCTTTCTGGAGAAGCAGACGGAGGAGCGTGAGGGAGACGCTGCCTCGGGGGGCGGGGTGGGCCTACCTCAGCACGGCGGCCATGCAGCTGTCGCAGAAGCGGTGCCCACACTCGGTCTGCTTCGGGTTGCACAGCACCAGCCGGCACTTCTCACACTTGTACTTGTCTTCCACGGACTTCACAAACCTCTCTTTGTACCCTCCTTGCTCAGGGACGAACACGGACGCCCCAGCGCTTCGGTCTGGGTGCAGCTTGAGTGGTGGGTTGGTCTGCAGTGAGCCAGAAGGGTCCATCTTTTTACTCGACTCCATTGTAAGAAGAGAAATTCTGCTAGAAAAGAACAGTGATGAGTAAGTCAAAAGCTTACCTGTCCCACCACCCCTGCAAGGAGAGAGCACACGGCTCGGAAAAGCAGCAGGTCGGAAGGAGAGACGTGCTGGGGACCAGGGGAGCAGGCGTGCCCCTCCCCTCTTGGCCACACACTGCTACTTGCCTCACTCCTCAGAACACTAAAGGTGTGAGCTGTATTAAGGTTCTTTAAATGACAGAAAATACTTTCTGTGCCATAATTTCCAACTCTATACCTCATTCTGATGTTTTCGCTGAAGCCAACAACCATTCTCCACCAGTTTTACTTCCTAGTAGCCTCACGTGGAGGACATCTGGATGGCACGACTCAGGTGGCCCCTCACACCGCAATGGCACCGCAGTCGAGCTGTGAGCAGAGCAGGTGTCTCTCACGCTGACAACAGCCTTCTGTCTGCGGACGCCTGCTGCTCCTATGTTCACGGTGTGCCCCGACCACAGTGTACCCACAGTGTCCCAGCCTGGGCGTGGCCGGCCTGGCCTTGCCTCTCCTGCCGCAACCCCCTTTCTAGTCACGTTACAAACCCTGCAACAGCGGCCCTTGCACTGTGCACACAGAGCTTCCCAGTGGGCCCGTCGTGCGTGGACTTACAGGCACTTTTGCGTCTAGGACAGAGTGGCAGACGGGTCTCCTGTGCCCATGCAGCAACTCTCCTACCACAGACAGTGACAAGTGTGCAGAGGGCTGGTTCCCACCTACGTGTTGCCATTAGCAGACAAAGTGAGCAGTTCCCAGACCCAAAGGACGCGGTGCCAGCCTGATGGGATGCACGGTGCGCATCTGCTGAAGCTACAGAGGAAGTTGCTTCCAAAGTCACCAGGACTCTCAAAACTACACTGTGTTCTTGTGTTCTGTCCATCTACTTCTGCTGCTTACAAACTTTTCCTGCTCTTGAGGTCCCGTGGATCCGCCCCCACCCCACCCTTCCCCCTGGGAGCCAGGGCTGGGCACAGCCACACACCTTGGCTCTGCTGGAACTGGAGGTCAGCCAAGCAAGGGTTCTCAAGCTGGGCTGGGCAGAGCCCACTCTCTCCCGGCCTCAGTACTCACGCTGCCTCCCTGCCTCTTTCTGAGGCTGAAAGAATGAACACTTCAAGCCACAGGATGTAAAGGACTCAAGCCAGCTAGCTGTACAACATGTGACAGATAATGAGCTGGTGTCCCAGCCACACGTGGGTTAGTTTTAATAAAACAGAACACTACTGTGCAACATGTGGAGCCTTCTGTTAAGTCTGTGAAACCAAAACAAGTCTTCACAATGACCTCAGAAGCCAGCAAGCCTTTGCCCACAAACCCGTTCACTAAGATGCTCAGTAGGAAGGTACCCCGTGCTCACCATGCCTGGCAGAGGAAAGGGTGGATCAGAAGTGGACCTGCCTGACCTCTGCTCTCTCCACACTGGGCACCTCCGTCCACAGATATTCTAGGTGCTGCCCCTCCTAGGATGCACCCTCCACCTTCCCAAGAAGCCCAGCCTGGCCAACCCCACTGGCCGACTTGCTCTGCCCTGCCTATGGTTCCATGGTGCTTCCTGCCACCCAGGACCACAGGCGGAGTATTGACTCATTCTCTCTCTCTGAGCTAGAACGTAAGCTCCCCCGATGACATGGGTTTTGATCTGTCTGGTCCCTAGAATAGTGCCTGATGGGTAGAAGGTACTTCATACACATGAACAAAGAGAAAGTGAGGTCTGAGCCACTCAACCAAATTGTATTTCTGTGACAACCAACTCTTCAGGAAAAGAAAACTCTTCAGCTTTCGGATCGGATCTGATAGCTTTACACCTTGAAAGCCCTCATTTAGATTAAAGCTACTTACCACTTCAGAGTAGTATTTTGTCCTGTGGAGCTTAGCAAACTGTGTGTTCTATAATTTTTAATAAGAAATGTTTGTTTGTTCGGAGGTAAATTCCCATTTCAAGTATGAGAGACAACTAACTTATCAAGCTGGTGATAACTGTGCACTTCCCTACAAGCCGTGCTCTACGCGCAGAAGCAGACGGTGCACTTTGGGAAGCTCTGTGTTTACATGCTACTAAGAGAACAGATGCAGAAGGCCCAGGCACACGACAGAGCCTCTCGCCGCCCTGGCCAGCGAGCACGGCTGCAGCCACGTCTGTCAGGACTTGCCTGTAGTGTGGGGCACGATGAGGCCACTCTGCAGTGGACACTGGGGCCTCTCGCAGCCCTTCCCAGCATCCCTGCATCCCGCCCAATGGGGCCCATTCCTGAGCTATGCCTTTGAAGACAGAGGAGAAGACGCCCCAAGGGGTTGGACAGCAGGAACAAGAATACACCAGCCTCCTCTCCCTACTGTTCGGTGAAGAAAAAGAACCACAGGAGAGCTGTCTACATGTGAGACACCCAGAATGCCTCTCAGGCCGCAGAGACAGGACGCCAAGGCCTGGTGGCCAGGGTGGGGGGCGTATGTCTGCTGCTGGCACAGGGCTTCCTGCAGGGCGATGTGAGGGGTCAGCAGCCACATGGCGGAGGCTGCACAGCTCTGCGAATCTACCAAAATCCACAGAAAAATGCCCTTTATTCAAAACGACTCCATTTGGCTTCGGTCAATTTGTGATATTTATATAAAGTGTCGCATACTTTATTACGTTTTTCTTTATTGTTTTTTTTTTTTAGAGAGAGAGAGAGAAAGTGAGAGGGAGAGATAGATAGAAACATTAATGAGAGAGAACATCGAGTGGCCGCCTCCTACACGTCCCCCAACTGGGGATTTGGCCCACAACCTGGGCATGTGCCCTGACCGGAAATCAAACCCATGACCTCTTGGTACATGGGTCGACGCCCAACCCCTGAGCACACTGGCCGGGCATAGAGAGTCACATACTTTACAATGTAGGGTTGTGAAACGAAAACTGTATGTATCTGACACACAAAGGGGTCTAAGATTTTCACTGACCTTGGGGAGAAAACAACAACTAAGACACAAGGGTAAAAGGGAAATTTAAGTTCCTTCCCTGTGGCCGATCCTTGGGAACAGCACCTTCTTTCCATGTGAGAAGCAGACACCGCCTCTCATTCCCAGAGTGTCGCCAGGCCTCCCTGAGGTGTCCTGTGCAGAACCCTCTGCTGGCTGCAGCACTGGACACACAAAAGCCACATCCTTTGGCCACAGGGGGTTGGGAAGCCCAACAAGAATTGAGCTGTTTCCTCATCTTTGATGGCTTAAAGTCTTTCTTCAAAATGCCCCTTCTTGGCAATTAGGCAAGAAAAAGAAATAAAAGGCATCCAGCTTGGAAAGGGAGAAGTAAAACTATTTCTAGTTTCAGAGGCCCTGACATAGAACATACTGAGGAATGACCCGAAGGCTAGCTGAACTAACAGACTTGCTCAGCAAAGCTGCAAGATGAAAACCGACAACAGGTGCAAGTCAACTGTATTTCTCTCCACTGGCAATGAACAACCCAAAAATGAAATTCAGAAAACAGTCATTTAAAATCACATCAAAAAGAATAACACACCCAGGAACATGCATAACCAAGGAGGTAGGGGAAGACATGTGCCCTGGAAGTTACAGAACATTGTCCAGATGGCGTGGCCTAAACAGCAAGCTTGCTCAGACAGCAACATTATGCAAACCCATCTCCAGAGTCACCTCACCTTGTTAAAAGCCTACTTTTTTTTTTTTTTTTCCAGAATAAGCTGAACCTAAGATTCATATGAAAATGAAGGGACCCAGAATGGACAAACAATCGTGAAAAAGAACAAAGTTGGAGAACTCACCCCTCCTGATTTCAAAACTTCAACAACTCAGTCAGGACAGGGCGGTACTGGTGCGAGCACAGACCTGCAGACACGCGGAACAAACTGAGAGTCCAGACACGAGCCCTGACATTTATGGTCTCGTGGGTTCTGCCGAGGCCGCCACGTCGGCGCAACAGAGGGAACAGTGTGCACTGGCCCAGCCATCTTGCTCCTGCTCAGAACAAAGGCTCCACTCCCAGGCGTTCTCATCAAGCTCTGTAAGGGTTGGGCTGAGTGTCACCACACGACAGCTGCTCAGATACCTGCCCTCCTTCCCTCCCTGGTGATCAACCAGGCATAGCTCTCATACAGAAATACTTCTTCAGGGAGGACAGAAGCGGGGAGTTCTAAGACCTCCCTTACTGGTATCCTTTCTTGCCTTTAAGAAATATATTAGCTGACACAGATAAAAGACTCTGTGCAACATACATGCAAGGTAAGAACACAACAGAAACAAACCCCAGAACACACCACCCACTCAGCAGCCACCATCTCTGTGTGCCCCTTCCTCAGCCATCCTCCTGCCCTCCAGGACATCAGCTTGAACCTTGCATTTATAATTCTCTTCCTATCATAAATGTTTTTCTTCTTAAACAATATAGTTTTGCCTGTTTTTAACGTCATACCACACGTCATTGGTATCATACACATTCATCTGTGCTTCTTTGTGCAGTGGATATACCGCGTTCATTTCTATGGCTACGTCATATTCCATGCTGTACTTACCCATTTTCTAATCACACTGCTTCCGGTCTTTGCTATTATAAACAGTCTGCTCTGAACATCCTGGCATGTCTGTTCTGGGGCCCTCATACGAGTTTCTCTAGGATATATTCTCAAGATTGGGGACCAGGGTCTAGAGCAAACAGTCTGTGGGTCAAATATAGCCAGCAGCCCGTTTCTGTTAGGTCCTTGAGCTAAGAATACTTTTAGATTGTTATGGGGCTGAACAAACAAACAACTGAAACAAGGACAGCTATGTGACAAGACCGCTGTGGTCCACAAAGCCTAGAATGTTTACCATCCTGCCTTTCACTGTGAAAGGACTCGACGCTGGAGTGCAGGGGAGCTGCAGGTCTGCACGTGGTGTGCACGGCACCTCACCAGTAGGGCCAGACTGCTCTCCAAAGCAAAGAGCATCCTCACCAACACCGTGGATTATCAGAAATCTTAATTTCTGCCAACCTAAAAGGTACGATGGG